AGCCGCTCTCAGCGCTTGCCGCCCGTTTTCTGCAAAGTGGGTGTGGCTCAGAAACAGGGGTCCAAAAATCGAACCCTGGTAAATAGAAAGGTTGACTAAAACCTGCGTAACCCCAGCCGTTTAAGTTTCAGCCGCACTCAAGTGCAAGGAAGCAGAAGACTTGAGTGGCAGAAGAGTGCGACTAAGGTGGCGTTTGGTGGAATCTACCGCATTGAGAATGCTGAGTACATGCCCCAGCGAAACCAGTGTACTGGGCTATGATTTCAAATTGCGAACCCTGAGAAATGAAGGGTTGGACATCAATTCCGATATGAGTTTGTGTCAGAATAGCAATTTCCCTCTTAAACCAGCCTAAAAAGGGCGCCCTCAAAACTACCAAAGAGCCCTAATTGGAAGCTTCCCAAAACTTGTGTCTGGCTCCGCTGCTTCAAGTTGCCTGACACATGCAGCTACAGCGCACCAAGGTTCTATCGCCTCGGCCAGACGGGCGAAGTTTCCAGGCAGTGGCTTTTTTCGGGGCTTTCAGCGCCGCGCCTGGAGTCTGGCGTCTCTGCAGCTTCGACGACATGATTTGGACAAGAGGGTTAACAAAACAACTGCCACTTGCGAGTGCTGTGATCTTGTGTGGGCCGGTTGACAAAGACCTTGCTCCAATCAACCGATCAGAATCCAGCCAAGAGGATTTCATTTCTTGGTTGTCCTTTTGCTCTCAAGAAATTCATTCTACGCTGTAAGCAAGGGACTCCTTCTATTTCCGCAAAAGAACGAACATGGACACACCCTGGCTGCAGTCGATTGGCAGGTATCCAATTCACTTCCACGTGAGCCAGGACAGGGCTTTCGCAGGGCTTCAAGGAACTGAAGCTGAGGTTGGCTCAGGCACCAGAGAAAAGAAACAGAGCACCTTTGCGAGTCCGCAAAAAAAGGAACCAGATTCATGTCCCATGTCCCAGATTCCCATGTCCCAGATTTTTCCCATGTCCCTTCCCGGATTTTCCAACTTGGGGTTTCCAGCTCTTCATCGAGCCCATTCCTTCAGATCCTGTGGCCCGAGAAAACCGCGCTGAAAATTCCGCGGAGGAAGGGGGCACTGACGCCCCGCGCTTTGTCCCTTTGGGCCCGGAGCGGATTGAATCTCCAAGTGGATTATCAAGCAGGCCGGTCATTTTTGTTTCTTCCCCGTGGCTCATGGATTGCATGCTTTTTCATGCAGTTTTTTTCCCCTCTTTTTTTCCTTTTTTTTTGGATTGCAGTGCCCACTGACGACTTTTGGCAGGACTATGGGCAGTACTGCTATGCACGGTACAACTCCATCCACCGCAGTTTCCAGCGAGCTGGGGCCTGAGGCATTGCATCGGCATCAAACGGCCAGGGTTCAATACCAAGGGTTCCATTTTGGGATAGGTGAATTCACCACCCATAGAACCTATTTTTGTGGTTGGATTGAATCGAATGTTCACTGGGGGTACGGGGGTTGACCCATGGCCATGTGTCTAACATTGTGATATTTGATTGAAACCTCTCAAGTTCCACTGTATTGGGGATGGCCCCCCCAAGCCATGAGCTTTTTCGGCCGGGCTGCCTTCCTTTTTTTGATATCTTCCACTCTTCGGACTTGTTTGACCTCAAATCGCGCGGCCAATGGGTGACTGATGGAATATGATAATGTTTCAGAGGATGTCATGGCTGAACATAATTCACTGCCTAAGAGCCACCTTTATTTTCCCTTTCAATTTCACCCACCCAAACAATCGACACCAGGAAGGAGCCTTGTTTCACTCCATTGCTCCGATTTGAAGCTTGTACCGAGCCATCCAAGCCAGTCAGGCAAGAGCGATATCTCGAGATTATTCCGGGGGGATTGGGGCTTTCTGGTTCCCTTCCAGTTTCTGAACCGGCACGTGCCTGTTGGGTCGACGCTCTTGGTGTTTTGATACGACAGTTCTTACCCTCCCCCAGACGATTCCATGGAAGCAACCGAGTTTCAGTCCGAATTGGAAGGCTTTGCAACCCATTTACCTTGGTGGCTCCCAGCCATCCCCTTAGCTTTTTGGCCTTTTCGTGTTTAGTGGTAGTTTCCATTTAACCCACTAAAAGTTAGTCACTTTTAGCGGGGGATCTGAGGGCAGTCCAGTTACATCAGCCAATTGGGGCAGCTTCCGGCGGCTCGTAGGGAGCGTCATGAGCTGATGGCGATCGCCGCTGAGGCTGTTGCCATCCACTCAACGAACTACGTGAGCGTCAAGGGCAACGTGGCGTTTGACATCATCGGGCACATGCGGCTTGCCACGTGAAGGGATCGGATCCAAAGAGTCGACGCAACTTGCGGACGTCTGAAAAAAAAACACAAGATGAGTGGATCCAGCATGTATTTGCCTTGGTCTAACTTGGGGACACTTAGTAGGGGTTTAGACTTTAGAGACACAGTATGAGTGGATCATGACGCGGAGTGTTGACAATGGCCCGCATGCGGCTTATCAGCCATCTTCGGGACGCTTTGAAAGCTGAACCCTGGCTTTTGGCATTTCGGGTCGACCTGACGCCTGTTTAGAGACATTGGGTTGGCGGGCCGTTTCCGCCGTTCCACTGCCAAAGTATTTTGAGGCGCCCGTTTCCAGCAGGGGTGCGTGTCTCCCTATGGCAGAAGGAGACAGTGACTTCTGGCCAACTACAGCCGCACCCACCGGCCTCCTGATTTTGCCATGGTCAAAGTCACCCCCTTGGTGGGTGAAAGGGAATCCCCATTTCTGACTTTGACAGCCAGAAGCCGTCAAAATAATGAGCCCCCCACCACAAATGGCATCTGCCAGTTTGTGCTTTTCAGAGGAAGTTCTAGTTCCAAGGGAGCTTTTCTCAGGTTCCATGTCAAGTGGGGGTTTGCCCAACTTTTTCAAAATGGTGAACCCGTTTTGGATGGGTTTGAAAGGGATGACGGGGTGCTCACCCAAATGCTCGCTGGGTCGGACTGGGCACTCCTGCAGGTTCTTTGTGGAGACGGGCATGGAGATGCTCGGTTCTCAGCGAGCCCAATTTTGACCCCGAAACTCTGAGGATATTTCTCTCACCGAGGGACACCAACTCAAAAAGACTTCACCGACCAGGGACACCAACTTAAGAAGACTTTTCTTTCCCGACATCGGACATTCCCTACTGCAGCTTTGACTCGGGTTTTGAAACCGCGTTTTTTTTCTTCTTCGCGTGGATTTTTTGAAGGAACTCCAAAGTGAAACCATCTTCTTTGTGTGCACGTCAGCTGATTTGGTTGTCTGAACCAGGCACAACACCCTGGAGGGCAACCTCGCAGTGCAGCGCTTAAACACGGAGCCGCCCCCCTCTCCTGTTTTTGGGGTGGGGGTGGGGTGATGGGTGGGTTTGAAGCATCGCCATGTTTTTGGCAATGGAACATAAGCTCCGGCCTTTGTGTTTGGGGACCTCCTGTCCTTTTGGCGGTTGGTAGTGTTGCGTACATCTTCGGCACGAGTCAAATACAACCCTTCCGAACACCTGGCCCGACCGTAGCCGAGGTGGGCGCAATTCCACTGCTCTCGGGCATGCTGGAGAGCGACCAGGAGTAACGTGCGGTGGTGGGTTGGTGGGTTGGTGGGTTGGTGGGTTGGTGGGTTGGTGGGTTGGTGGGTTGGTGGGTTGGTGGGTTGGTGGGTTGGTGGGTTGGTGGGTTGGTGGGTTGGTGGGTTGGTGGGTTGGATGTGAGCATGGCTGCTCGCAAACGTTGTTGTTGTTCAGTTTTCAATATTCCAGGGGAATTCCTTTGAATGATAAAGGATATATACCTGTACCACTTTCCCCATTAAGCGGATGATATGTTTTTGGGTCACAGTGACAGGAGTCCACGTTTGGTTGACGTATTTCCACAAAATAGAGATGTCAAAAAACGCATAGGGATCGTTGGAACGAGCAGGTCCCGCGTATTTGCTGGCTCTCGTTTTTGTGCCACAAGATGCAGGCTGGGGGTCGAAGAACAGGCGAAAGGGCCACTTCTCCGTGCTTGGCCATGAGCTTCCTTTTGGCTTCCTTTCTGCCGGGCTGGGAGTGACACATTGATGGTCAAACAATATGGACCCTGCCGCCGGTATATCGAACTTTTCCAAGCAGGGGGGCCCTAATCGTGCCCCCCGCCCTATCAATCTTGTTGGTTCTCAGGGGATGCTGGGGGTTTTGGGAAGCCCAATGGATTCCAAAGCAAACCACTAGTTGGATGGTCGGGGTGATTCCCACATGGGTATGGGTCAAACTGAAACCACCAGGAATTGGACCGCAGGTTTCAGTCCTTGGTTCCATTTACCAGGGCTTCATTTTGGGTACCTATTTTTGACCCACAGCCACATATCCAAATGCGAGTTGGTTGACCTTTTGCCAAACACCCCCTGTTACACGAGAGCTCACCGGCCGATGGCATTGGCCATAGGAACCTGCCGGTTTTTGGACTGCTGCTCCCAACAACGTTTGGAGAGACAACGTCGCGGTCTGAGATGGAGCGTGGTTCGCCTTTGTAGAGTTGGTGCCCGTTTTAAGGTCGGTCTGAGGGGACAATTAACCGGCCACACCAACATATGTGGGCCTTATGTATTTTGGCACTAGACGGCTCCTCAGCAAAGTGCTCGACGTGTGTTTTCACAAGGCGCGAGCGGTGGCAGCTGCACTTGACACGCTGAGTAGACTTGTTGAAGTTGACTTCCCAGGTTGCAGTCACCGGATCCGATGGCTGGTACTTTCAGCTGTGTGGGGCTTAGTGCTCATTCGGGTCGATCGTCAATTTTTTGGAGTTGGTACCTTTTTTTTGCTTCAAAGGGAAATCGTCGTTTTTTGGAGTTGGTACCCCTTTTTGTTTGGGGCTTCAAAGGGAAACCAAAAGGAACACCTCCATGGTGGCGGGTCTCCTGAAGAAAGACACACCCATACACCCATGGCTCCAAGCTCGCCTGCTTTGTGCCTCAGCCAAGCAGCCGCGGTTCAGGCCTAACACGCCCATCTCCCATTCCATGGACGTCTACAAGGCAAGTGGGCCGCGGTTGTATGAGTTGTTTTGTGTGCGTGTGTGTAGTTTTGCCGAGCATTATGACTCAACTTCATTTTTTAAACCAAACAACACAATAATTTGGTATTGTTAGTGTTAGGCAACTGTTGGTTTTGCCGAGCATAAAGTGCGAAGTGGCCGTAGTTGCTCTTCCAGGGTCAGTGTGGCAGGCCTTCACATGAGCCCGGCAGAGCATGACTGATGTGCTTTCTTTGTCGCAGTGGCAGAGGAATTCAACTAGTCAGACGGACATGGCTTGTGTTAAATTTCTCGGAACTGAACCTGGCTTGTTGGGCCATCTGGGTGAAGCTTGGGGCGAGGCCAGAAATCAGCGCGCGTACTGCAGCCGCCCTTCTAGTTCTGTACATGACGTGGTAAGATTGCGAAGTGCCGAATATCCAAGGTTTCCTTCAGGCACGTATTCTTTGGCTCTATTGCCTCATCCAAGGCGGCAGTCACAAAGCACATCATCCCTTTGGTTTGACCGTTACATCCCATGCGACAGCACGCTCGGGCCTTTTGTAAGACCCGCGGGCCTTGCTGGCGCGCCCCCGGTTCTCACGCGGCAAGTTCTTCGCACCTTGTTGTTTGCTTTGTTTTTTGGTTCTGCTCATTTTTAGTAGCTGGAAAATAGAAAGTGTTTTTTGATAGCATACCAAGGGGCTGCAAAAAAAGGCAACGATTTTTTGATACCACAGCAAGGGTTGTGAAGTTGGGTCAAAGATCCTTTGAGTTTTTCCACGGATCCTGGCCTCTGACGTTTGACGTGGCAGGACAGCATTTGCCCCGTGGGCGACCGCATCGGCGAGTGGAGCCGGAACCGCTGCCATCACCTGCCAGGCGCGGAGCCGATGTTTCTTGTGGGAAAAACAAAGAAGACCCATGAGCCCTCGTGTTTAGGTTTGGCCATGAGGCAAACACCTAACTGGGACTGGAGATGCAAAGTGCAGCCTCGTGTTGCAAGTGTTTGTTCATCATTTGCTTGCGACTGACTCTGTGGTGGATGCTCACTTTAAGACAATCATGGCGGTGGACAGGGACCTTTTTTAGTTGATGGTACCAGTGGTACTTCATAACCCAAGATGGTGCACCTTCATGATTGCTCAAAAGAGGGTATATACTCACTTTCATGTTTTTTTGGGCGGTGACCTTTGCCAAGCAGGAAGCTGTATCCGCGTCTACCTCACGTGGATCCCCCGGAAGGACACAGCTAGTCGGCATTCGGCATCAGCAGCACTTCGTCCACAGCAATTGCAGCAAGAGCAAATACCGAGGTCTCTTTTTGGTTTGTCGCAAAACGAGAACCTAAAGAGAGTGAAGTTTCTGGAGAGGTTAGTTTGACAGTTTGCAGGCTTGGGGCAAGCGGGCTCAAAGTGTCAATTGTGTTGACAAACCCAGCAGTCACATGGATTGTTCTGCGGACAGGCCAGATCAGAGCGCAATGATCGCCAGTGTCATTTGATGGCAGCCTCATCTTTGCCTTGTACTGTTTTGGGCTTTCATGCTTCGTGCTGCCCTTTGGCTGTGGGTCAAAACCAATGATACCATTTTGGGGTAGGTGCACCACTCATTTTAGTCTATTTTAGTGGGGATTGGGATGTTCACTGGGGGTACGGGATACTGACCCATGGCCATTTGAATGCTTTTGCCTTGCTCCACTGCACTCATGCATCAGCGTTTGCACCAGGAGCCGTGCAATGGAGATAGTGCCGAGAATCCCCAGATTCTGTTCAACACGACATGTACGGAGCTCAGCGTTGTCCAACAGGCAGGCGGCATGGAGGTCCACCTGGGCAAAGTGGTCAGGAGAGACATTTCCCACTTCTTCCATTAGGTTAAGAATAGTTTTTTTCCCCACTGTTGATTTTAAAGGGACTCTATCACTACTGGAAACATGTCTATTTTTCCCAGGGGACTTAAGCAAATGGAGGACTTGGTGGCCTAGACAGTTTTGTCATTCCTAGCAGCACATGGCAGCCATGTAACGCGCTTTGCCAAGGGCCAGCGACTGCGTCTTGTTCCAGAAAAACTACAGCAGGTTTCAGACCATTTTGCCCCCTTCCCAAGCACTTGAGTGAGTGAGCGTCAACTCGTCCACCATTTCTCAGCGTGGCAAGAGGCGGTTCGCCCTGGTGCCAAGCCGAACAGTTGCCTACAAGCCTTCGAATTCGAGTGTTTCTAACCTTTTGCTTGTACTCGGATTATTTCAACGGCTTGTTTCCTGTTGGTGTTTCAAGCCGAGCTTAGATATAACAAGCCGTTTTCCTCGAGAAATACCGCCTTGGAGTTTGCAGTTGGCGTTGCCGATGAGTTGCAGCGTGAGCTTGCGAGAAACAAATCCAAGCGGGAGTGACCTTGAACGAAGTGAGAACCATGCAAGCGCTCTGTCTGCATCAACTATCTTTGCCACTTGCTACTACTAGAGAAAGGAGTGTTACCTACGAGCCTAGATTGCCTTGAAGCTTCTGCCAGCCTCCTTTGAGCAATGTTTGCCGTTGGTTTGTGCAGGATGACTAGAGTGCATCGCTACCCGTGCCCATCCATCTTTCCATCAGCCAGCCAGTCAGGCAGCCAGCCATCCAGCCAGCCCAGCAGCCATCCATAAACCTTTGTTGCATTTTGCTTGGATGTTAGGACTTAGACTTTTTGCCAACTAATGGATTTTCCGTTAAACCACTGAAAGTCAGTCACTTTTAGCAGGGCAGCAGAAAACAACCGAGAAGCCAAGATTTTGTTGAACCGCCCCTTTGGACGCAGCCAGCCAGCCGCGCCAGCCGGCCTCAAGCCTCTTGAGGCTGGGGCATTGGCAGGGCTTGCTACAACTCCATGAAGGCTGGCGGCCCCTGCCCCCCGCGAACCACCCCCCCCCCCGCCCAAGCCCAATGGGCCAGCAGCCACGAATCAGGCCGATTTGGGCCTATGAGGGATTCCTTTTGGGTGCCTTTTGCTTTGGGTGCCCTCTTTGGGGGGGTCCTTGGCAACCATGGGATTGTGTCATTCAATCTTGAAGCCCTGCTTTCCAGCCGAGCAGAGGTGCCGTCGAGGGACTTTGCGAACTGACTCAAGTTCCCAAAAGCAATTGGCTGTGGGTCAAAATTAAACCACCAGAAAACCGCAGACTTTAGTTCAGATTTCCATGTACCAGGGTTTAATTTTTGGGCACCCATTTTTGACCTGCAGCCAATTGGGACTCACCAAACTGACACATCTCCCATGTCCTTCACGGGAGCCGGGTATTTCGACTGGCGCATGTGCTGAAAGCTCGTACTCCCTCATGGGAGGTGCGGAAAGAACGGGTTTGCGTTCCTCTTTCCGACTCCAGGGGTGTTGTTGTTTCGACATCGGCAAAAGCACCAAAGGATGTTGTCGATGCACTTATGCTGCATGATGTAGTCAGACTGCATGCCGTCGTGACACAGCAGCATGACCGCAATAGCGTCAATCAGCATCACGCAACATAATTAGCAGCAGCGGCGTAGCAGATTCACGCAGCATACCAGCATCATGCAGCTTACCCGCGTCAGGCAGAATGTAAGAAATACGACGGCATGATTAGGGCATCAACCCTCAGAACAATTTGGTGGAGGGAGCCTACTCGGAGCACCAAGAGAGTACCATGCTTGCTGTGAGCAGCAGTTTTGTGCCTGCGTGACCCGTATTGGCAATACTTTGCCAACTTTGGGCATTGCAGATGGGCTCCATCCACAACCACCACATGACAGCGGTGGAGTCTGGCTCGTGCAGAACTCAGGTTCTTTCGAGTTCTGTTGATCGATGTCATGTGCAAGTGCATCCAACCGTTTCCGAGCGCATGTAGGAAAACCAAAGCATCTTCTGTAGCCGGGGTTGCACAACCCGAATGCGAAGAACATGAATTCTCAGTTTCTTCCACGTGAGGGGCTGGAAAGACCAGCCATGGCGACGAAGGATTGTTTCACTCAAGGCTATGGATTTCAGACGCTCTCTTGGTTGGCTTTTGTGGGATGCCCAAGGGAAATGGACGATGGAGATGGAAACATCACTTCAACTTTGAGAAACACCAAAGCTGCTCAAGGCAAGACTACTTCTCCGTGAAGTTTATCCGCACTGCCGCTGCCGAACACGGCAACAAGTTTGAGACGGACTTCTTGAACATCCCTCACATCAAGGCCTGGGGACGCTGCCCCGTGGGTGCGAGGGAAACCAAAGGGCAACCATGGGTCCATCATTTGAGACAGAGCTGCCTTCTTTGCGGCACACCCTGCATGGTGGCGAAGCAAAGTTTAGTTTCACACCCATGCACGGTTCTTTGGCTTTGGGAGGGGGTGGTTCGAACAATAAGGTTTTTTTTTTTTTTTTTTTTTTGTTGGGGGGGGGTTATTGTTCGAAGCATGAGGCCTTTGGAATGATGATGCTTTCTTGCTTTATGTTTGAATTTCTGGGCACTTGCTGCCAGAACGAGTGGCTAGGCATCCCTCTGAACATACTTGTTTGGCACGCTGGAAGGCAACGAGCTTGTTTTCGAGAGTGCTCGTGTCGTTCGGGCTGGGACCCTTTTCGGGCTGGGACGCCAGACCACCATATGAGGGTCCCTCAATTTGAACCGGATCTAGCCACATGAGCAGTGCCACGCCAACATTCGTTTAGTTTGTCGCAGCGCAACACATACGAGAGCTGATATGGCTCAGGACAGTGTGTTCGTGGGTGTTTTGCCGGAGAACTTGGACAAAAAGTCCACGGCCATGTCCCAGCTCTTGCCTCAGATGCTCAAAAGGTGTCAAAAGGCGGTGGGTCAAAACCGTTTTGGTACCATATTTTGACCCATCAACAGGATTTGGTCCGGAAACGAGGGCAAGTTGTGGCTGGGTGGCTGGGTGGCTGGGTGAGTGGGTGGCTGGGCGGCTGGGCGGCTTATGTGAGGTCTATCCTGTTGCCACAGAACGAGCAGTTCCTGGTCACGGACTCCATGTGGGTGAACATGGGCAAGGCGTGACCTCGTGAGGCCCAACAGGAAGCAGGAAATCTTATGAGAGGATTGCCTCGTGAAGTTTGGTCTCAAAGGAGCGTGTCTGGTCAATCTGGGGTTCGGGACACGGTGCGCCCGGTCTGAAACCACACCTGCGGCCGGTGCTTGAAATCGGGCCCTTTACAGCAAGACCAAATGTGCCGCGATTGGTGTACTTGTGGTTATGCTAAGGATCCCTTTACGGGGAGCCACGAGCATGGCGTGCAGGGAGTTCTGACCTGTGCTCATGCGCTTCATGTGGATGTACTGGCCTGGCCCCGGATTAGGAACCCCGCTTTCATGTTGATCAGGGGTGTCTCATTTGACAGGAGAGCCTTCACCTTTGCTTTGAAGTTGGACCCTATGAATCAGCCAGCTGAAATCTACATGCGCCCCAAATGGGATTCGACCCCACTTTCGATTGTATTATTTCAAGGAAACAAAGGGAAACCAAGGGTTTTCATGTGAGATTCGGACCCCGTTTCGGTTTGTGTGCTTTCACGCGGAAGACACGGGGAAGCTCCGCGGTTTCATGTGGGACGCCCATCTTGAGAGGACCCCCCCCCGCCCAAAGATTTTGATCGCTGCTTTCGGCCAGTCGCCTGTCTTCAAAGGCTGCTCGAAGTGTTGGCGCCGCACTGAGGGCAAAAGCATGAGACCTGCTCTCAAGTCGGTGGATTTGCATGGGTCCCACAAAAGGCCGGCTTTAACGAACCTCGACGGGTTTGTATGTTTCTTCGATGATCGCATTTTTAGGTTGGATCACAAAACAACACTGCCATTTGGTGGGTCCCTCTATTTTGACACATACCTAGATGGCCCTGATTTCAGTTTGGTGGTTGTCAGTCAGAGCCATCTACTTTCCAAAAAGGACGCCGATGGTGCTACTGTTGTCAGGTTTGGAATTCACCATTAGGGAATTCGAGAACGTGTTGATTGCTTGCTTGCACGCGGGTCTGTCTTCAAATATGGTACCCACAAGATGTTTCTTCTTGCTTTCCCTTTTAAGCCGCCCCGGAAGAGGGATGATTCCATACGAAGACACACCTGGCGCGCAAATTTGTCTTACTTGATTCGGAACACACCCACAACTTTTCTTTGTTGCATTTTGCTTGGATGTTAAGACTTTAACTTTTTGCCAACTACTGGGTTTTCCATTAAACCACTAAAGGTTAAACTTTAGCTGGGGAGCAGAAAGCAACCGAGTTTTGGTTTTCGTGTTTGTTCATTTTCCTCCATCCGAATGGGCCTATGACCTCGCGCTGAGGTCCTTTGTCAAGTGGCGCCAGGGAGCGATCACTTACCGCTTCAAGGGCCTAGGCTGCTTGGCGAACGACACAAATGGCTTCGGGGTGGAAGCGAGACTCAGAATTTGGGAAAAGGGCCAGCGTTTTCCCAGCTATTCTCCTTTTTTTTTCCCCCCCGCAAACACCTGGTATAATACCACGAATTTCTTTCTTACTTAAACCTAATTTAAACTTCCTTTAACTCAAAAATAGTACATATAAATATAAATATATATATATATATATATATATCTGATGTATTTGAATGGTATCAGTGTTTGTCTTGGGCAATCGGCAATATAAATATTTGCTACCCCCACCTTGAAATACTCAGGTCTTTGTCCAGAACTCATTTTTTTGGCCAGACTCGGGGGACTCTGAACTGAACTGACAGGACGTGCAACGCCATGCAAAGTCAAACCAAGCTGAAGTTAAGCTCAACGTTCAAAAGGAGCTCCTAGTTAAACAGCTCGAACGCGGAGCGCACTTAAAGTGTCATTGGAGTCTGCAAAGTGGACTCTGGCAGCCCCGGGCTTAAAGCACAACTTTCAGCACAAGAGTAGTACGCAAAGCATTCTTTGGCAGCTTCATCGTGCCTGTAATTAACAGCTATTTGGTTTTATTCTATTTGCTTGACAAGGAAACTCGGCAAAACATCCGCTTGAGGAAGGAACTCAATCCCACTTGGAACTGACATCCAAAATAAAACATAAAAGTGCTTCATGTCCTTGCGCAGTTGCATTTACATGTTAGTTCGTTTTTGTACAGAATTCCATTTACATTCTAACTAACTGTAGGGGAAATCAAGCTTTCAAAGCAGCTGTCTCAGTTGCGCCTTGTTTGTCTAATACGATTCAATCACTGTCAAGAACAACTATTGAAATTCAAGTATATGAATAATAGGCAAGTTAACATGATGTCGAGTTCAAGCCAAATTCAATTTTAGCCCGTTGCAGTTTCCTGTGCATGTCAACAGTCAATTGGAGAACACAGCTAGTGTCATGGACAATTAACACTGGACCAAGATCAATGTCATAAGGGTTGTTGTCCTTGTCTAAGTCCATGTGGTTTGAACCAAGCAAGAACTGAGCCAATTGAAATAACAGAAGCGTGTTTTCACATATAGATATTATTTGTATCAAATGCTGTAAAACGCAGTGCTTTCAGCTTTTGCTCAGATCATGTTGCCCTGGATCGAAGGCCAACTACTCAAGATTCCACAGACATCGTTTTAGAACATCCTCAATCCAGGCCCCCCCAAAAAACTTGACAGTTTTTTCTAGACTCTGAGGTTTTCCCACCTGCATCGAAGATTGAAGATCTCCAGGTTTTGTTTTTGGAGAACCGTCCATCCTGGCCAGCCCTCAAGCCCCACAAAAGCCGTGGTTCCCCCAATGGCAAAATGCAGGCGGTGCACATCCACAATTTGACTCTTGGAACGTGCTTTGCTTGTCCGCCTTTTCGATTCCAGACTTGGGTAATCCAGGATCTGCCAGCAGGCACAGAAGATTCAGGATTGAAGGTTCTGTGACAACTCTTTCTGGGATTCTTCAAATATGTACTTGAGGCAATCCAGGATGTGCTGGCACGTGCTAGCACATCCTGGATTGAAGATTGAAGATTCTCAGACCACTTTTCTGGAAATCTTCAGATCCATACTTAGGTCGAGCTAATATGTGCGAGCACGTCCTGGCACATCCTGGATTTAAGGTTGAAGAATCCAAGAAAGAGTTGCGAGATAATCTTGAGTCTTCAATCTTCAATCCAGGACGTGCTAGCACATCCTGGGTTCCCCGAAGTACAGATTTGAAGAATCTCAGCAAGAGTTGTCAGATAATCTTCAATCTTCATCCAGGCACGTGCTAGCACATCCTGGATTGCATTAAGTACTGATGCCATAATTTTGGTCTAAAGAATATCGTTTTTTGGTTGAGCATCATTGTTAGAAGCTGGAAAGTGCATTTCACATACATGTTGACAGCAAACATGTCAATTTTTGAACGAACACCTGAGTATTCCCGGGGGGGGGGGGGTACAAACATATATGTCCAAGTATTCTAAGCCACGCACATATCGTCAAATCAACGGTATCGCTTCATTGTGTTTCAAACCACTCCAGAAAGGGTTTCACAAATAACAAACACACCCTGATGCGTGTTTGAATGTTCTCATCATTCAGCAAGCTTAAATAGTCTGTGCCTTTGTGGAATCTGCGTTTGGCACCTTAAAGTGAACGTGTTGAACAGTTCCCAAATTTACTTTTGGGGGTGGTGTTTTTTCCTTTGAACTTTAAACCACCAGCTAGAGGGGAATTCTGAGGATTTTACTGTAATAGGCCCTTTTCAGGAGTGCCAAAGACACTGTTTAGGAGTGCCAACATGCCGGCGAGGCCGAATTGTTTCTTGAAGGGCGGTTGTACTGTGCAAAACATAGAGGATTGCAGAAGTTGCAGTTGCACAGGATCATGAATCGCCTCCTTGGCAAAACTGAGGCTTCACCAACGTCACCAAGAAAATCAAGGTTTACAAGAAGGCTGGCTTTTTCCTTGTTTTTGACGTGCCTTGATTCTTGCTTCGGGGCGTTGTATTTTGCAGCCTGCTGATTTTTTGGTGCTCTCTCTCTCTCTCTACCTCTCTCCCTCTCTCCTGTCTCTCCCTCTCTTGTTTTTCTGGTTCCCTATATTCACGAGACCAGGTGGTCTCAAGCATTGCAGTCTTTCTGGCTGGATCCAGGACATCTTCTGGGACCTGGACGGATCCCTGACGGGCACGGCGAACTCGTACACCAGCTGGGCAGACACGTGAGGATCTCAGCCCAATGCTTTGAGACCGGAGATTCTTTCTCACTTGCCCAAGGCCGATCTTTTCGACCTCCTGGATCGCCAGTTGCGATCGTTTTTTTTTTTCTTTTCTTTTTTTTCTACATCCACTTTACCATACAAAAACCGATCGCAACCGTGAGTGAAAAAAAACGATCGCAACTTGGCGATCGTTAGTTTTGCCCAATTTTTTGTGCATTCTGGGTCCATTCGCCCCAAACAGTGACGCTTGTATTCCTGGGTCCCTAAGAAAAACGCGACTGACAGCTCTTCCATGCAAAAAGAAAAACACAGGCCTTCACCCAGGCCTTAGCCATACACCGATTCGGGTTTTCATGAAGGTTTTCCTGGGCCACTTGCACAGGCTTGCCGAGTTGCCATGGAAAGCTTGCAAGCATCGTGTGTGGCCATTATGCAGGAACTCTGCAGAGTTGGAACGAAAAGCCATCACCCTTGAGCTTTTTTTCTTCTTTTTCTGCGGCCGAAACGCCTGCGGCTGTGTAATGCAAAAGTCTAGGGGTTGATTCCCAGTCTTTTCAGCCATCGTTCTTTTCCAAAAGCAAGCCATCCCAGGTTTTTTGGTGAGAAGGATCCCTGGAAAGAATGGGGAAGTTACCCCTAGAAAAAGCGGCTTGTTTTCCATTAAACCACTAAACATTAAGGTTTTCGCAGGGGAGCAGAAAGCAACCAAGGTTTCTTTGCCGCGATTCCCAGGTTTAACCTGGGCCACTCGGGCTGCGTGTACACGCAGATCCGCTACAACACCTCGGAGGATGGATCGGTGGGCGAGAGCACGTGGCCTGGATCCTCAGGCCGTAGGTTTTCCGCTCATCGTCGAAAAAGCGGGCGATGGGGAGATGGGTGTGCTTGGGTGTGTCTTCATTGCATAAGGGGACACCCCCCCTCCCCATTTTTTTAAAAGTTTGTATATAGATATCCAGCATGGATTCGGTTTGCCTTGTTTGGTTTCCCTTTAAGGCCAACGGACATGGGGAGGCCCAAGAAAAGACAGACCCGTTTGCTGGGGTGTCAAGGGAACTAACGACTAAGATGGCCAACGTGACCTGGCCTGCGGTAATTGCAGACAATTGAGGTTGCAGTGAAAGCACAATGAGTTTTTGTAGAAAATGTGTGTCAGTGAATCAGGTATGGACTAGCAAAGGAGCCAGCCAACCAAGCGACTGACAACCAACCAACAAACAGCCAGCCAGCCAGACAGCCAGCTAACCAACTAGCCAACAACCAACCAACCAACCAACCAACCAACCAACCAACCAACCAACCAACCAACCAACCAACCAACCAACCAACCAACCAACCAACCAACCAACCAACCAACCAACCAACCAACCAACCAACCAACCAACCAATCAAAACCAAACGAAGCAAAGCAAGCAAGCAAGCAAGCAAGCAAGCAAGCAAGCAAGCAAGCAAGCAAGCAAGCAAGCAAGCAAGCAAGCAAGCAAGCAAGCAAGCAAGCAAGCAAGCAAGCAAGCAAGCAAGCAAGCAAGCAAGCAAGCAAGCAAGCAAGCAAGCAAGCAAGCAAGCAAGCAAGCAAGCAAGCAAGCAAGCAAGCAAGCAAACAAACAAACAAACAAACAAGAACAAACCGCCAATCAGGCTCGCCTTTTCTCGAGGTACAGTGACACGGATATGATCTCCGACGAGCCCTCCATCTTCTCAAGCAGCCCCGATCTCTACCAGCACGAAGGCGCGGAACTCGGGAGAAGGTTGCAGAGGGAGGCGGGCGAAATCTGGGTCTGGCTTTTTTTTTGGGACACAGAAACATGGCGTTTCTCCTTTTTAGTTTCCCTTCAAAACCAGCCAAAAACACAACAATGGGCGTTGTTCTTTGATGTTCCTTCAAAACCTGCCAAAAAAGTTTCCCTAAACAAGACGCAACCAGATCGTGATTTGTCTATCAGTTTGGCCCACGCAGTCCTGAGATGGACAACCTGAATCACATCCTGCAAGGAACAAGTAGCTCGAAAAGCACCAGACAAACCATTGGACATGAGCAAATAACCTTTCTTGCATTTTGCCAAAGGGATGTTAGGCCTTTAACCTTTTGCCAACTAATGGTTTTTCCCGTTAAACCGCTAAAAGTGAAACTTTTAGCAGGGAGCAGAAAGCACCGAGTAACAAATCACTGGTCATCTATCGTTAGCTTAAGGAGATCCAGAAAGCCGCACTGCCCAGACAGTTTTCTCCAACAGGGGGGTTAAGCCCACCCTTTTCTGTTCTCAGTGTCCTGGGGTGAGGTTTGGATACCCCCCATTGCATCCCAAGGCCACCCGGCCAAGCCACTCTGACGAGAGCCCGATCGAGGTGAAAAGAAGCTGAGGCTGTCTACTAACCTCAGCCCTCATATTGGACCTTAAACAAACCTGTGTTTGTCGGACCTTCACGCCAAACAAAACCAGTTGCCACATCTCACATTCCGTTTTCACGCCAACAACTGGGTTGTCAAGGGAAAAAAAACCCAAACAACAGAAGCGCTCAGTTTCGCTGGGAAACCACACAAACAAAACAAACAAACATGAAGCACCCAAAACGCACCCAACAAAAACCTAGAAAAAAGCACTCAACAAAAAAGCACCCCAAAAAAGGCACCTAGAAAACTGACCACCCCAAAAGCTGGAAAGTTTCAAACCATGAAGCACCCCAAAAGATGTACCCTCCCATCCACAAACATGGAAGTGCACAGACCCCTGTAGAAAGACTACTTTCCTCTTGGAAAGGGCCTTTTTGCACTTCCAGTGTTAGTTGGCGGGAGGGTATATATTATATATTGTCATATATATATATATATATATACACATACATATATGTATAACATCTCCGCGCCTTTCCCAGCGACTCCGAGTCCGGAACCACACCTTCATGACCTGCACCACGCCCATCCGGAAGCTGGGCATCGCCTGGCCAGAGCCGCAGGAGGCGCGTGGGACCCGCGACGCCGAGTCCAAGCTGAGTGGTGGGTGGACACAGAAATCCCTGGTCGAATTCCGATGCGCAGGCAACGAGCCATTGGTTTTGAATGGGTGGTTCTCTTGGTTGCCTATACAGGTAAATGGCTGTGGTTGTCGAAACTGTTTTTGGGATCCCATTTTTGGGTAGGTGAATTCACCACCCATTTCAGAACCTATTTTAGTGGTTGGATTGGGATGTTCGCTGGGGGTACGGGAGTTTGACCCATGGCCTCATGTCCAGTGGTTCCCAGATAAGATATTAGTGCGATATCTCTCTGTCTCTATAAATTTATATGGTCAGCCCCCCCCCCCAATGAACTACCTGTCCGGCTTTCTTCATAAAATGACTGCAGAAAAGCAGCGATATATATATATATATATATTATATATATATATGTATTATGCGCAGATCAAGTATGTACATACATATGCGACTGACGCGGTCCATGTGAAAAAGAGCATTGAAAAGCAGATTGGGTGGTTGGAGCTCAGTCGAGCATGGCACAACCAACACGGGGGCAGATGGTGATTGACAAGTTTGATTCAGGAACGAGAGCTGTAGCATCAAGCTTAAGGTTATTTGCCAGCTTTCACAGTGGGATTTAAAGAACACATTGCCAATATATTTTGTTTGGTCAGCATTGAAGGGTGGTCTCCTGTTGATTTCGCAAGAACCCGCTTGCTATGGACAGCCTGTGGGTTCCTTGTACGGGAAACCCAGAATTGTTTGCCACAATCAAAGGTCGTTCGGGTTGAAGGTTAGTGGAAGTCCCAACCGTAAAGGCCCTTCTCACGGTCTATATGGTTTTGGGTAGACCTGTTCACGGGTTCTTTGGCTGGTTCTTGATCCCTCAACCGACCTCGGTTTGCCCGTGTTGCCACCGTCTAGTTGGGCATCTAAACTTTGGAGCCTCTTTTTGGATGGTGTTTGCTGTTGACCCAGGATCAATACACCCGCCCCATTATATATATTTTTGGGGGGGGGCTTCCCTCAGAAGGTGGTCTGACTCCCACAAGGGGACCCCCCCCCGATCAAAGTCCACCAGAAAATTCTACTTAGATCCGGGGCTTCCAGGCTTGGGAGCCTCTGAGTTTCAAAAAATGGGACTGAGCCTGAGCCACTTGCCTCAAAACCCCAGAGGAAGACCATGGGATTATGGGATTACGACCAGTTTTGTCACCATGACCGCATGAAACCAGGACCACCATGAAAATGGGGCGGTTGCAGGTTACCAGGTTTCCATTTTAAGACTGGGCGGCTGCAGAATGGTTCTGGGATTACGACGATTTTAGTACCGGGTTTTGATTGTCAGCTTCAACATATCCAGCCAGGTCTTCCTTCGGCAGCTCACGGTCACGAACCTGGACACAGGGCTGGAGTCTCAATGGCTGGCTTGGGGCTCCTCCAACTTGTCCCTTTTGTTTTTTTGAGGGCGCTCGAAATTGCCTCCAAGCTACTTTTCACCTACTGTCCAGAGGGTTTGCCTCCAAGCTACTTGTCAACTACTTTCCAGAGGGTTTTTTGTATTGAGGATGTCGCTTTAATGAATCCCAAACTGGGAAGGCTCGTTTTGGATGTCCCTTTGATTCGCCTCCGGACCTGCAAGGTTTTGGTCGGTGCGAATCATGGTGGGTCCAGAGCTTGTCGGTGTCCATTTTTTTTTGTGCGAGGGATGTTCCAGGTAAAGAATGATATGTGTTTTCCTCGGCTTCTTCGCAAGTGATCTTTGAGGGGTCTCTGGTGTTTTCTGGGTGTCCTGGGCGACTTATCCAAGGATCTGTTCTTTTTGTCTGGGTGGGGCAGGCTATTCTTCAACGCTGGGGCCCCTTTTCTGGGGGTACCTTTGTTCGTGTGGGTTTGCGTTTTTTGGAGGCTGGGTACTCTTTGCAGGCTGTTTTTTTCTGAAGGGCCCCCCCATTTTTGTGGTTAACTGATTCTGAGACCTCATCAGGCAACCCTTAATTTGTGGTTTGCATTCGTGGTAGGAATCGAACAGAGGGAAAATGGAAACCGCCCAGCGTTCAAACCATGAATTAGAGACGCTGAAGCAATGTCAGTGTTTATCGAGATGGTCGACCCCAGCAATGGACACGTTGGCAGGATGTATCCATTTTTGTGGCCCCTTTGTGAGAACTCCCCCCCCCGCCATGCCACTACCTCATACCAGGTAACCCTCAGAACCACAGCGCCCGAGCGCTGAAAGACTGGGGGCGAAATGATGATCAGAACCACACCAGACGACCAACGCCATGATCAGGCAGAACCACGGCGAAAGAGCGCTGAAAGCCCGCGAAAAACCCAAGTGATGACCCGGCCGGCACCAAATCACAGCAGACAAGCACTTGGTTCGCCCCCCAAAGGCCAAAGTGATCACACACGCAGCAAACAGCCGACCTTCGAAGCCGGGGGAAACCAATCTTCGTTGACCTTGGGTTTCGGGGCGGTGGCGCTTCTCGTAGATGTCGCAACCAGCGACATGTGAACCACTTGCTCAAAAACCCGGGTAGATGAAGGTTGGTAAGGGCCAATCCCAGCCAGAAATAGCTGCGGATATCCGCCTTCCTAGTTCTTTACAGGTTCTGGGTTCACCATTTTAATACCGGGTTTTGATAGTGTGTGTGGGTCAAAAATATGTACCCTAAATGGGTTGCCCTGGTAAGTGGAAACATGAACCCCAAAGATGGTGGTGTTCCTTTTTTTTTTCTTTCTCAAAACCAGCCAAAAACACCAAAATGGTGTTGTTACTGTTGTTCCTTTTTAGTTTCCCTTCAAGACTAGGCAAAACAAAACACCAAAAAGGGGTTTCCCTAAACAAGAGACAAGCTTAGCTGGCTGTTCCGGCACCGAGGCTCTTCCAGCAGCACGAGTTCGAGAAGTTGGAGCTGGTGGGCTGGGGCTTCCCTGCCGCATCCTTGGACTTTTTTTTTTTTTTTTTTTTACGACCGAGGATCCGGGTGAACTGTAGCTTTGTTGCATTTGGATGTTAGAACTTTAACTTTTTGCCAACTAATGGGCTTTCCGTATTAAACCACTAAAAGTTAAACTTTTAGCAGGGGAGCAGAAAGCAACCGAGGTAGGGACGCCAAAAAAAAGGAAACCCAAATTTGGGTAGGGAGGGAAGCCAAAAAGGAAGGACGAGGTGCAGCGATTCCTCGTGTTTTTTCTGGGTTTGTTTCTTGTCACTTTGAATGGGACTCGAGGGGCGAGCCCAAGGGTAGCGGCACAGGCTTTGAGATCTCATGTTTCAACCATCAGCTCGCTTGACAAGTGCTGGCAAAGCATTCATTCTCAGCAGTGCGGGGACACTGTGCCACATGGGACTCTTTGAAAAGGATCCTTTTCTCCGCTTTTGAGCTTTGGTTTTTGTATGCAGGTGGGATGTGAGGTGTGTCTGTTTTTGAGCACACCCTTGTTGGCTTGGTTTGAAAGGAAACTCAAAGGACACCTACCACATTTTTGGGGTCCCCTATTTTCAAACAAATCCACTCGTTGTCGTTGTCATTCGTTATTGGCCTGGTCTGGTTTGGCTAGTGGCTTGGTGGTGTGTGACTGGCTTCAGAAGGCCCCTAACCTGTCTTATGTTGACAGGTTTCGGCAGGCTCCCACCAAAAGGCTTTGGGGCCGGGCAGGCTTTAAACGAAGGAAGTGAGATGGGTCAGATTTCTCAACCGGCCCCTCCCTTAGGTCCCAACTACTCTTTTTTATTTTTTAAAGATTAGTCCAAGGAAAGCTCTTCTCCTTTCTTTGCCTCCCCTATTTTGGGGGCCATATTTACAGAACACTATCTTGGGGCCATATTTTGGGGGCCATATTTGGAGAGCACCTTCCGGGCGGCTTCTGCGGACTTAAGGGAAGCTGCGCATGTCTCGCCATCGACGTGGACCTCAGGTGGTGGCGAACCAACGCCTGGCGGTGCGACCCAACTTCCTGGGCCCCGGGCTTAGCCGCTTGCGACGCGCCGCTGGTGACGCGCGCGGCCGTGTGACTGACACCTCGCCGGGCCGCGTTGATTTTTTTTGGGGGTCGCCATGGCGACCCTCTAGATCATTTTTTTTTGACTAGGTGGCTTGCGTGCTTGTTTTTTTTTCTTTTTTTTGTGGGGGGGGAGAAGAGGGGGGGGGAGTACCTCCTTTGGTGTTACAGGGAACATGAAACAGTTCCCGTTTTGAGGGTGTCAAATCCTAGTGACCAACCCATGGAAGCGCCAAGCAATGGCGGATCCTTGCCTTCTCACGCGCAAGTCTTTCTTGCGGGTACCCTTTGTTTAATTTGAAGGGACATCAGAAGGACGAGACAAACTTTTTCAGGTCTCCCTGCTTTGAGACGAACCCACATGCCCCACCAACATTTCGTTGACGCCTCATTGTTTGCAACATGCAAGGAGTCACACTGCCGGGATGAACATGAGTGACTTACATGGGCTAATTATGCATTCTACTTCGTGTTTTGGTTGGCGTTTCAGGGAGGGCCCATGTTGTAACCTATGGTTGTTTTGGGGAGGACAAGCGGGAGACGAGGCACTCATCCCAACATTTTTGTTACAACAGCTGCAGGACCGTACCGCCCAGTTGAAGTACCAATGTTGTCGGCGGTTTATTTTGGGTTTGTCTCAACAAGTTGAACCTTTTGCTACTTCAAACAGAAGGTCTGCTGACCACCAGCCTACTTGAGGCCATGCTTTTAGGGGCCTCCTGCCTTGCTGCCTTTTTCTTGAACTTTACCGGTGTTCAAGGGAAACCGAAAGGGAAGCCACCCGTCTCCGGAGGGTCCCCCCAAAGAGAGACCCACTTCCACTTGCAAGTGGAGCGCAGGCATGGACGTCACAGAGGCAGGCATCCAGTACGGCTTCAGCGTGGGGCTCGGATTCAAGACTCGGTGGCTTGGGATCTCATGGCAGATGGGGACTTTGCCGGAGTTTCCCTTTTTGTGTTTGCCGTTTTTTTTTTTTTTTTTTGGGGGGGGGGCGGGGGGAGGGGAAGATGGGGGGGAGACAAAGGTGTCAAAAGATGAACCTATATGGGTGTGTTGTTCTTTGAGGTACCCTTGGAGTTGGTTTAAAGGCAAACCAAAGGCAAAACCACCCATTTGGGAGTCCCTCTATAATGACGTACACACTGGATGAGGTTGAAATGCTTTGAGAACCATTCCGACTTTCCATGCTTGGTAAGCCATGCTGTTGTTTTTGCTGGCATATTATGGTGTCCCACGCGTGAAGAGCCGGAAACCTTACTGAAGTTTCGCCACTTGCTCAGACGACCTGATGCAAGCCAAAGAGAGCGATGCGATCAAGAACAAGCAAGTCGTGGAGCCGGAGTGGTGGCTTGGCGAAGAATTGGCGTTGCGAATCAAGCCAACTTCAAGGGGTCGAACTCCAACCCTGCCGGGGGTTGGTTGCTAAACAGCTAAGCCAAAGTGGCTGTGCTGGTTCGATTGTTAGATTGACCGCACAAAGCAGTGCTTGAAAATGCCAGCTGGGGGCCGTTTTATATTGAACACCGCGTCACTTTAGTTTTAAAATGCCGGCAGGATTCCGAGAAGATGGTTTGGTCGCCCGGGCTTCCACTTTGGATTCGTGCAAGTTTGATAGACCCCCAGCTGATTGAGATCCGGGTCATTTTGTGCCAGAGCTACGGCCTCCAAAAAGAACATATGAAATTGACAACGCAGAACATTGGTGAGCGACTAAACCAAACAAAAAACAGTCCTTTGTGGCGAATCTGTCCGGCACTTGTGCAGTGCACAACAAACATCCTGATTATTTCATTTCGCACCTGTTCATTGCGTTGGAGGCGTTAGGGGGTTCAGTTTTCCTACAGCTAACATAAGTTAAAGCCCCTTTCAACCCAACAAACCAAACCATCCAACGGGAGGCCATTCCTGTTTCTGACATCTTTGAGAGGCAAAGCTTTCTCCCGCCTCTTTCCACCCAAACCAAACCAAACCAAACCGAGGCCTTTGCAGGGAGGCTCCCTTTTATCATCTATGTGTGTCTGTGTTTTGTTTTGGTTTTTCGGTTGTCTCCTTTTGGTGGGGGGGCAGTCCGCAAAGGAAAGATTCGAGCCCAAGATGCGTGCGGTGTTTTTTTGATCCAAAAGTTCACTCCGCGAGGCTGCAGCTGCAGGTGGATTTCTGGATGGCGCGGCGCTCAATCAAAAAATCATCGCGAGATAGTCGCTTTTGCACGTTTGGGACGTGGGGTTGAGCTTCCACTTGGCTCGTCAAGATAGGGATCACCCCCCAAAGGCGGGATGGGTTCCCTTGACTTCCTGTAAACCATGCCAGGCTGCACACGGGTCTAGTCAATCCGATCCTTCTGCCAGACAATGGTCCCCAATTTTAGGACCATCATTCTTTCAGGGACCCCACTTGTTTGGAAAAGCAAACCCATATAATTTCCGTTGCCATTTTTCAGGCTTTAATTTCGAGAAACACACCCACATTATGAGAAATAAAACCCACAGTACGTGAGCATTTGAGTCCTTCACTTGCCTTCCTCAGGACTTGGCTTCATGACTTGCTTTACTTTTTCAGGTGTTTTTTCTGGTCCTCCCCCAAAAAGCAGCAGAGACACACACACACACCCATATTGCGTAGGAAAGAAACCACACAAAATCATACCAGTTAGGATGGATGAACCCCGATGACTGCTCGGTTTTCACCTCCAATCCCCAATCCCAACTGGTGCCGATCGCGGATTCTGCGAAGTTTTGACGGCGGAGGACTACGACCATGTGAAGCTCACCAACCCCTACTCCTGGTGGGCAGGAACTCGCTATGGCGAGGCCATGGCCCCCTCGGCCGCTGGTCGACCACCAAATGGGCAGTGACGTGTTGGAAGGAAGGTGAGCCAACAAGGGGAAACCTGGATTGCCAGTTGCGATCGCTTTTTTCCATCCACTTTACCCCAAAAACCAGCAACCGTGACTGAACAACGCAGCAGCTTGGCTATCTAGGAAGGCTGGTTGGCAACTTGTTGTATGGACCCAGCGTAGATGGGGGTACACGGCAGCAGCGTTTTTTGCCGCGTGTTTGTGAAGCCCGAGTGTTTTCTGCAAGTTGTTCAACCCGGTTGTTTTATCAGGCCCCTTCGGACCTTCACGTTCATGGGTCCGAAAAGCAAGTTGGGAGTCATGCTCCCCCTTTTGGGGGATGGGTTGTGAAAGGAGCGGGATACGGTCTGGTGTCGGGGATTTTGTTGCGCTTCGGGAAACACGGAGCTGCCACAGATGGGGTCGAGGACCGAGGCTGTGCAAAGGCTTTGTTGGTATCTTAGCGATTGCACGCCACCTATCATCCTGCATTTTCAGGGAGCTCTGAAAAAAAAGATGTTATCATTTTGCGGGTGCGTTTCTGTTGGAAACCAGTTTTTGGTTGGACTTCCTCGCTTTCCAACAACCATGAGGCTGACTGGAAGGCTTCAAAAGCCCTTTTCACTTCCATGATGGTTGGAAAGAGAGATTTCAGGTGGAACCAAAGCCGAACCCGCGCATCAGTGGAAATGGGAAGCCGCCAGCTGGGCAGTCAAGTTCCACTCCCCTTTCCTTCGTGGCTCCCGAATTCCGGTGCAGCGGTCTTTCAAGGCACAAGGGGGGTGTCTGTTTTTTGGGTGGGTGTCTTTTTCAGGTGGGTTTAAAGGGAAGCCGAAGTTGAATTCGGAAACCCATTTCGGGGGGTTCCAGGAAATGAAGACACGCAAGGCCCTGCTTTTCCACCAGACCTCGCGCTCCATTCCGATCACGGCAGGCAGCCGAGATGCAGGCCTTGAACCTGGAGGAGAAGAAGTGCCGCCGGCATGTTGAGAAAAACGCCTGGGTTGTTTCTGTTTGGGATGGCTTGAAAGGGACTCTAACGGGAACACCCTAGAGTCTCCATGACCCTGAAAAAATGGGTCAATGACCCCATTATTGTGGGTAATGACCCCATTTTTTAGGGGTCGTGGAGACTCCAGGACCCATAATTCTTGGGGGGTCCTCCAAAATAGGACACACACCCATTCGTCCCTTTCCCACAACGTGGCAGTGGATAAGGGGCCTTGTCAAGTGGATGGTAGTCATTCGCACTCCCGTTCACTTCCATGATAGTTGACGAGAGGGTATTCCGCGCGGAAATAGAAGTATTTGCTGAGTTGTCTTCCAACTAGCTGACTCTTTGCGGCATTTTGCGTTTGAAGAAATGAGCAACTGACACAATTTTTGGTCGTTTATTGTTGGTTTGGAGAGGACTTGGGGGGGGGGGATTCCTACAAAAAGTAAGGGGGATCCTCTCAAGTGTCCCATGGAAGAGCCGCGAGTCTTTTATGTGTTCTAATTGCATTGAAAACCCGGGGTATCATGTTGGTCCCAGGTTGGGCCTTTTGTTGAACAACCCTCGGTGATGGTTCATTGACTTCAACACGCTGATGTGAATCGAGGGTGATCAGTTGCGGGTCCAACTAGGTTTCAACCCCATTGGAGATATGCCAGTTCTGGCGAGGGCAGCTGTTTGGTGGGCAAAGCAGCTATAAAAAGAACTCGTAGCTTTGTATCGAACCCAACTAGGCGCCTGTTTGGTGTTTTTGGGGAGTTCCCTTCTGTTTCCCTTCCATTTCCCTTCTGTTTCCCTTCCGCGTCCCCTCCGTTTCCCTTCGGTTTCCCCTCCGTTTCCTCCAGTTTTCCCGTCGCAGCGATCCCACGAACGACTGCCAGGCCTTACTTGATGTCTCCGGAGCCGCTGGACTCGCCCTCCACCCTGCCCTCCATGACCCACGGCATGAAGGCGCTTGGCTTCGCGCCTTCGGGCCGAAGGGGTGGACTAAACTTCTCGAACGAACATGGGTGTGGGTCAAAAACAGGTACACAAAATGGGTCGCCCTGGTAAATGGAAGCAAGGATGCAATCTATGGTCCTCTACGTCTTCAATTTTGACCCATACCCACATCTTCAGCTGAGCTGGACCTAGCTATGCCCCCCAACTTTTTTGGGAGATCAATCACTCCTGTATCTAACCGTTTGGTGATGTAATTCTACCTCGGGGGGGACAAACAGGAACCCAGAGAACAAGAGTCAGAAAGCATCTTTCTAGGGATGGAAATCCACGTGCTGCCGAGCAATCGCCAGTGAATCTGTTAAAGGTTATGGGTCGGGTCCTATTGACGGCAGAAGCAGCCAAGGCCAACTCGTCGGGATTATTCCTGCATGATGGCAATACCTTTGAATTGAGCTCCACCACAATACGCTTGCACTCGCTCATGGTTGTGCGCAACTGGGTTTTGGAAGTTTTGAGACCAGTTTGCGTGATACCAAGGGAACGCTTCAACTGACAAAGTAGACCTGGGGATGGACCTCCCGCTTTGGTACCACCGATTGGCTTATTTCCCATCACCATGCACTCGTTGCTGGCAAGGGCTCACACGGATCCCTCCGGATGGTTAGTTTCATACTGATGTCCTGTGAGTTGGCCCCAAAACAGTTGCTGAATTTTAACATAGGCACACACATATATGGTTGATGGTTTCAGCACCCCGCTTTCAATTGTTTACATATATCTCCGTGAATTCTGTCGACCCAAAGGTGTTCAATACCCCCAACCTACTAGCCCCAGACCCCTAAATGGGATATGCAACCACTATGATCACTGTCTGGCCACTATGTAAAGGGTCTAAAATCTGTTTTCTACCCTCCTGACAGGATTTTTGTTTGGGAGACACCATCTTAGAAACGGGTTACGAGGAAATTTCTCTGGCGAAGCCGCGGCGCGATTTTCCTCTTCCTCTCGCGAGGATCAGAAGAGCTGGGCCATGAACTTCCGCTTCCCCATTCCAGCTCCGGGACCTGACAATCTCACGTTGATCCACGTGGCAAAGGGAACCAAAAAAGGGAAGCCACAAGGCAAGCAGCGGAACGGAAAACAAAACGCCGGTTTGGTGTCCTGGTGAAGCCATGGGCGGACCTCTTTGGTTTTCGGACCCCTTTGTGCTGGCCCGGTCTGGATGTTCCTAGCAAGTCTGGCCTGTCGATTTCTTTTGAGCATGTGCAGCCCAGCTCCTTAGACGACATGAAATCATGGCTATGGCTTGCCCTGGCTGCCCTCGGAAATGGTTGCCGGACTTTAGACTTCAGATCCCCCCATGAAAATCCATGGAAATGATGTCTACCAACCAATTCGTCCCTAGTTGAAAAAACAGACCCGAATGGCTCCAAGCCTAACAGGACTCCATTGAACAGGGCCTATCTGAAAACGAGGGTTCCGTCCATTTTGGAGGGTGCTTGTTGGGGTTGTTCCCCACCAGCAGCTGAGCTTTTGGCCGATGGGGGTACTACTTGGGCTTATTTCAAAGGTAATCTACAGCACCACACCCACTTTGGGGCTCGCTGCCCCGTTTGGCGATGATTTTGTTTGTTGGGAACCACCTCAAAGGGGGTTTGGTGGACATATGGCCATGAATTTTAATAGGGAACCACCTCAAAAGTGATTGGTGGACATGAATCCCCAGCTAAATGATGTCCACCAAAGGGTCTCTTATTAAAATTCACAGCCATATGAATCCCCACCGAATTCTGATGTCCACCCAAGAATTCCCCAATGAAAATTCATCCCCCATTTGGAGACAACCCCAAGTTGACACTCATTGCCGCTCGAGAGACAACTGACGGCCGAGCGAACCGTCAGCACTGAGTCCGACGCATCCTGGGAGACGATTCCCTTGGGCGCCCACTTCGAGGCTGGCGAACAGCTCATCTAACGTGACTTGCCTTTGATGTTGACCCCGGATTAAGCAGAACCCCTGGTTCATTTTGCTTGGGGGGTGCCCCTGGTTTTAGTGGGGATTCAGACCACTTTTGGAGGGAACACCCCCCTCGTAGTGGGACGGGTAAATTAATCCTGGGTCAACATTAATGTGACTTGCCTGTACTTTCTTGCATTTTGCTTGGATGTTAGGACTTTAGCTTTTCGCCAAAAAAGTTAAACTCTTAGCAGGGGAGCAGAAAGCAACCGAGTTAATGTGACTTGCCTTTAGGTGGGGTGACGCGCAAAGGGGAACTATAAGGACTCTGATTCACATTCACCTCTGCCGAATTTTGTTCCTAAAAGAACAAGGAACAAGTCGAAAGCAGGTCCCTCCAACGCATCATTTCACAGTGGCAAGTTGAAGCATGTATCCTAAGTCGGGGCTCTTCCGCTGTGCAGGTTCCAAGGCAGTTTGTGTCATGGATTGAACCCTGTTTTTGGATAGCCACAAAGGGAAACCAAGCGAACATCTCCTGTAGCGGTCCCCGAGCTCAAGAAAATGCACCTATGGCCTCATGTGTGAACATAGTATCTTTGAAGGCTACGGGTTTCAACACCACTCACAACTGTCTCCAAATTGCACACCGCGTCCTCAAAATGCCTTGGCCGCCCGAAGCCCTGAACACCTTTGCCTCTTTTTTGTTTGCCCGGTGAAGCTTCATGGCGCGTGGCGCAGACTGACTGCGCCGGTCTTCATGTTTGTGGAGTTGGCGTGGGCGCACTATCACCAATGCAGACCCTTTGATTGGCATTGAGCGATGAACTGTCAAGCTGCGCAGGCCAGGAAATGCCCTGATGAGGGCTGCATCTTGGGTGCCAAGCTCAGATCGCACCACTCTTCAAAATATGACATGTGACCAATGTCATTGATGCTAGCAATGGCGAGGTTGAGACAGCACTGATACAATCTATGCAGGGTCTTACCATATGTTTGAAACAGATCAGACACCACAGCCATTTGGGAATGTCAAATTGGCACATTTTCGGTTTCAAAAGAAGCAGCAAGGACACCAACCAATTGAGCTAGGCTTTGGGTTCTAGCTTTCACGCAAGCATTTCCCGAGGACTTGTGTCATGTCCGGTCAACTTTCCCGATTGCGGCTCCCACTGTAATTATATCACCAGTTGGTAGAATAGAAGCCAAAAGCCAGGGGGGTGTATGGCTTCTCATGATATTCCATTCGGGGTACATCTCCAGAGGTAGATGTCAAGAGCCCTTGAAATGCGCCCCGCGCTTTCTGCATCGCGCTGAGATTTGCCGGACCGGAACCAGAACTGGTCGACCTACATCCTGCACCCTGGCTGCAATGGCTGGTATGACGGTGTTTTTTGAGGGTATGAAACAAAGGAACCAAAACGAAACCTACCGTATGAGGGGGTGCCCGATTTTGACACGTGCCCATGTTATGCCTCTGTTGGAGGGGGGTCAAGGCTCCCATGTACCAAAACTCTTTGGACCCACCCTCCGTTAGGTTTAGATATCATGGGTCATTGGCAGTCATTTGCCAAGTGACCTGGATTTGTTTCTTTGGTATGCACGTTGGGTCTGCCGTCTGCCCCAAATCGGCTAGGTTGGTAGGTTTGCAGCTCGAGACACTTGGCCCTCAATTTCATTGCGAGAGTCAGTTTTCAACTTGCAGTTGTGCCGGGTCCCTTTAGAACGGGAGGCCGTTGGAGTTTCAATCAAAGCTTGTGAGATCAGATGCATGAAATTGGGCTTGGGAGTCTGGCAACCGATATTTGCTTTTTCGCTACATTCCAACCATCTGGGCGATTTACTCCATGAAGGCCCTTTGCTTAGGGATTCCCCTCATTTCCAGTTGAAGCACAATTACAATTGATTCTAACAACAAGACACACAGCCATGGGTCAAAAGCCTGTACCCCCAGTGAAAATTTCAATCCCCACTTAAAATAGACTAAAATGGGTGGTGCACCTACCCCAAAATGGTACCAAAACGATTTTGACCCACAGCCAGTTGAACGTCCCTTGGTGCACTCTGGAGCCCGTCTGTCAGAACCCCCGTTTGTCGTTTTTTTTTTTTCTTTGAGGTGGAGCGAGAAATTTGGCCCGAGCCCGAGAAAGTTGCTGTCTGCATGTAGGGGTGTGAGCTAGTGGGTCCCCCCCTAGATAGCCAAGCTGCGATCGCTTTTTTCAGTCACTGTTGCTGGTTTTTGGGGTAAAGTGGATGATTTACGGGAAACCAACATGACATCAACTATTTTGAAAAACAACCCACCCTCTCTGACTCTCTATTGGCTGATTTCGGCTTCAAGAAGGCTCAGTGACGTTTTCTTTGTGCTACCCCATGTAGAATAGATTGCATGGGTAAGAGCTGCTATTCCGTGATTGCTGCTTGGAGTTTCAGGTGGTTTCCCACAGTTGCAGTTTGGGATGACTAGAAGCTGTGCATACAATGCTTGACCGTTCCTTGGTGCAGTGTGTGGCGTGGAGCATCTGAACTCGGCATGCACTGCGTAGCATGCTGTCGTTTTGCTTCGGCTCGCAGGTGCAGCCACTGGAGAAGCTATTGAGATTGAGTCAGCAGACTGGATCATGTTCGACATGGACCGGGTTTCGACGCTTTCGACAGGTTCCCATCGGACGGAAAGATGTAGACACGTGCGAGGCACACGTTTAGCTGGAGTCTCCATGACCCCTGGAGAAAGGGGTCACAACCCCTTAATCCTAGAACAAGGGGTCACAACCGCTTAATTTTGGGTAATGACTCTATGGGTCGTGGAGACTCCAGGTAGATGTAATTTCTCTGGGCTTTGCTGAAGGCTTCGGCTTGCTGCATGCTGCAGGTTTCTTCTTGATTGGTTGTGGAAATGTGTGGTGCGCATCCAACGCTTTTTTGACACTGGTAGCCGCTTTATTGAACATGCCGGACTTCACTATCCTTATCGGTATTTACAACGGTCCATTCCCACACTATTGCAAGTAAGCCTACCATCAGGCCTGGCAAACTCGGCTGTCCATTGTTTCATCAGCAGTCCTTCAATTATTTCAATGGAACCCAGCAGTAAATTGATCAACTTTTCAGAGGGAAGTCCAGGTTCGATCAAATTCTGCCCCTGGCATTTTGTAGGGGGTTCCCTTATTCCATCAAGTTGATTCCCGAACTATTGCAAGCAAACCTAGCATAAGGCCCTGGTAAGTTCCGGAGTTTCCCTTTTTTGCCGCACATTTTACAGACCTTGGCGCAGAGTCGGCGAAAATCAGGACTCAGTGAGCTTGAAGAACCTCACCATCAAGGGCAAGTTGTCTTTCGATGACAGCCCCGAGCTCAGCCGAAGAGGATTCGCTGGGTTGGGCTTGAGGTTTGCTGTATTTTCCCTTTTGCACATTTTGGAAGGGTAGATCGAACTTTTCCGAAAGGCACATGTTGAGCATTTGACTTGAGCAGCGCCCAACCACCCCCCCATTGACTATCTTATTGGGTGGTTCCACCTGGTGATCACGTGTTAGGCCGCCTCTGAGTTTCCTGGGTTCTTGGGTCACGATGGGTTCGAATTCCTGGGTGTCGACTCCTCTGAGGCAGTGACCGCACCTTGCGGGCAGGCGATGCATCGGATCGGATCGGAGCCAACGGTCGAGATGTCCTTCCTGGATCGATCCAGCGATCGCTTCTTTCCATCGAATTACCATCCAAGAACCAGTGACTGAATAGCAGCATAGCAACTTGGCTATCTAGGATGCTGCATTTGGGGTGCACTGACTCTCTGAATTGCAACCAAAAACACCAGAGACTCGAAGAAACAAAAGAAACAACAGTGGGAACCGCACATTTTGAACGTGGCTTTGGGTTTTGTCTCTGGGGTCTTGGGTAGACTTCTTTGTATAGGTTTTGATTATTGCTTGGAGCCCAGATTTTCTAAAAGCAGACAGCTGTCGGAGTTTGTTGGGTGGTCTTTCAGATGAGAAGTGCCACGAGTCAACATTTTTATGTGACAGAAAGCTCCTCTTTGAGCCATTTGATGGGTGTGAGACAAATTGTATGGTTGTGCGGCAGTCCCTTGTTTTTCAAGTCTGGTTTTTGGTTAGACTCATTGCAGTAAGATGTTGGTAACTGTTTGGCGAGGTAGGATGTTGTCGCCAGGCAACATCCTCGTGTGGGGTGTCCTGGAAATCGGCCCGACACTCAGGCTGAAGCGATTTCGTCCATTTTTTTTTTTAAACGGGTGCCCGTTTGGCTGGTTTCAGCGGAAACCACACGGACACTATCCATCTTCGGTGAGCGAGAAACCCACCTCCAGAAGCTCTTAGTGGTTTTCAGGGCGCCTTTTGGTGGCTTGGTTTAGTGCAGCTCAGTCCGCTTCAGCCACGCTTCAGCGGTCTTCGCGTCGCGTGAGTCGCCTGAGGCACCGCGGAGCGGCCCTTCGGCCAGACCACGGGCGCCAAAGCCTACGTCCAGCTCTCGGGCAACGTCTTGGACACCGAGGACCGCTTCGGCGCGGCGAATCGGGGGGAGGGGGGGGTGTTGTTGACACCCGGTGGGCAATGACCCAGTCACCAACCTGAGGGGTACGCCAAAAAGCGGAAGCCCAAAAAACACAGATGCGTCTTTTTCTCTCGGTTTGCATCTTGCATCTTTCGACTTGCAGAGATTCATGTGTTGACCTGCAAACAGTGCTGGTGTTGTTTCTAGACTTAGAGACCCCTTTTGAATGGTCCCCAGTGGGTGAAACAGTCAATGGTCCCCAGTGGGTGAAACAGTCGGACACGGCAATATTTTTTGTTTTTCAGAGGTTTGGGAATCTGGGACTGTGTCATTTCTATGGTGAACATATGAGTTCCAAATTGGCGGTCCATGTGTTCTAATTTTGGGACTATGGAACATATGGGGTCCAACATTATTTGTCCATCAATCAACGCACGCAAACTGGGGGGGACTCAGCGAAAAAATCCGAACTATTATCTTTGAGCAAACTATTTCGACCATGGCTCATACCAGGTCGTCTTGAAACCCCAACAACACAAATATTGGTGCCGTCCCGTTGCAGTCTTGGAAACGCCGAACCCCAGAGGGTTCCCCTCCAAAAAGACACCACCCATCTCATGATACTGCAACCTTGCTGGACTATCGTGTGGCCGTGGGTCAAACATAGGTACTCAAAATGGAACCCTGGTAAGTGGAAACATGCGGTCCATATCCTGGTGGTTTAATATTGAGCAATACCCACATAGTCGATGCATCACATGACAACGGGTGCAAGCACAGAGCCTTGCCCCGGACTTCAACCCATGTGGATGCCCCCCGACGGAGAAAGGAGGGCTAAAAGCAAAGAGGGCGAAACGAGTGAGACACTCAAAACGCGTGGAAGTGAAGGTAAGGGAAGGTTTTGAATCGCTGGTGCAAAAGTTGCTGGCTTATTCCGGACACTCCACACAAAACGAGTTACTGCTGCTGGGAAGAAACAGCAACTGGCGATCCAGGTGTAATTATTTCGCCCCTTCAGTGCCTTCCCAACCGCTCTTGTGGTTCAGCATGGCAGAATGGGTCCTGACTCAACAGGAGTCACCAGGACTGATTTTGACTTAAGCAGCCAATCGGTCTCCTTTCAGTTTCCCGTTGTCCATCTGGTGACCGCTATTGGTGGATTTGCCGCGTCTCGGTTTCGGTACCTCATCAAACACCAACTGGCCGGTGCCAAATGGGTACATGCGCTCAAATCCAGGAATTGAAGGGGATGACATGCAGCACACAAGCCCAACATTTGATGAAGTGGGCAAAACTCCATATCAGTTAGTGACTTTTGTTGAGTTCACACAGGCTTTTTCAAGTCGGATGCCTAGAAGCTTGCAACACCTTCGCGGGGTGCGCCACAAGTTTCTCGCCAAGTTCTCATATTGGCTATTGTCTAGTAAGGGTTGGCCTGAGTTTAACACAGTGAGAATGATGGCGGCTGCAATTCAGGAGTATGTCTACATCCAAGAGCAGTCCCTCTGGGGCAAGGCCAAGCGATGGAGAGAGAGAGAGAGAGAGAGAGTCGATCTCTGAAAAGGGACAAGCCTTGATTTATTTTCTGAATCAAGGGACCAAGATTCCTGTCAAAAGCAGAAGCCTGCCAAAAAGTTGAAAGGAACTTGGCTAGCTGGCGGTTGGAAAGGAGCCCTGAGCTGGTATCCAAATTTGCCTTTGCGGGGAGCCATTCGGAGCTACCAGAATTTCTGTCAGGACACGTGTCTTTTTTGTTGAGGCCGCGCTTCTTTTGTTGTAAAAGAAGCCAAAGCTGAAGGAAAACAAACAAGAATGCCGGTAGGCAGGAAAGAGGACCGAGTATGCATCGAAACTTCGCCAAGAGGGGCATCCTTCTTTCGCCAAGTGGGGTGCCGGTTTTCCTATGAGACGACAGGTGATCTCCGTGATTGGCCAAGCGGCGGCCTCGGAGATCGACGGCCTTTGGGACTGGCGGTGGTCACTCCGAGTCACCGGTTGTGGGGTGAGGGGTTTGTCTTGTGCTTGCGAGTGCATATGGCTGTGGGTCCAAACCAATGGTACCATATTGGGGTGGATAAACATCCATTTGCCGGGAACTTTGATGTTCACCAGGGGACCCACAGCCATATGGTACCTGCTCTTCTCGCGAGTGATGAGGTATTCTAGGCAAATTGCAAAGACTGCGTCCACTTGCCAAAGTCAGACACAGTTCAACTGTTTCCTCGATGGGTCTTGCTAAGTGCAGCTGTTGGAGTGGGGGGGGGGGTTGGCGAGTGGTTGGGTAGTTGGGTTGGGGAGTTGGGTTGGGAGGGGGGGGGTTGCGTGGGAGTTGGGGTGGGTGGGAGGCACCAAATGTGGAAAACTACAAGTTGCGCAAGCTGTCGATGGGTCCGCTGCATGCCTCAAACAACTGACCCTGAAGATCTGTCAATGGGCCCATTGCCCTGTCAAAGCGAAATGACTGGAGCTGTCGAGCGGTGCCATAGGTGAACACTTATGGCGCAACGGTGGCAAACACCTGGTCTCGCGCTCGGAGAGTGTATGTTTTTCATGGCATCCGATTTTGCAGGTGGTAGGGGAAGCTCGAAGGAAACCAACCATATGGCTGTGGTTGTCAAAACCGTTTCGGTCCCATTTTGGGGTGGGTGCACCACTCATTTTAGAGCCTATTTTAGTGGGGATTGGGATGTTCACTGGGGGTACGTGAGGGTCCCATTCGGATTCAAAGGGAGCGCTGGTCGGACACCAATCGTCATATGAGGGTTCCAATTCCAATGATGAGGCACGCCCTTCCCCGTTTCTTCGTTTTGGCATTCAGGCTGAGGGATTGGATGGCATGCATGTGACCTAAGCATTGCACCAGCGTTGCTTGTTTCGCTGGCGCAAGCATATAGCGGCATGCCGACCCACCTCCACGGCACAGAGGCTTGGGAATATTTAATATTTGTTAAAAAAAAGGACATGTGAAGTGGCTATGAGCCCTTTGACATCATTTACATAATTTGTTTCGGCAACGTCAAGTTCGAATTCGGCATGCGCCCTTCACTGAGAAACCTCAAGCATCCCCCCCTTTCCCGCCGTGCCATGAGACTTGCAGGCCATTTTGCAGCCAAGAACCCCAAAACAAGAATAGCCCGAATGAAGGAGGTGGCTAAATAGATCCATCATACCCCCCCTCCATTCATTCATTGGGGTTGAGCCTCGCTTGCTAACCGAGGCTCCGGCTGGAAAGCAGCATCGAAGCAGGCGAGAGTACCGCCTGCCTGCGCAACACCACTGGGCGGGGTGGCCCGAGGATGGGAAGTTTAGGGCTCGACCGGGGGAACTATGAGTTCTCTGGTTCTTGCGGGACATTTCCTCCATTTGCTTAAGAATAGTTTCTTATTTTCCCTTGTTGGTTTTAAAAGGAATTCATCACCACTGGACATATTTTTTTCTTTTTCCTGGGGCCTTGAACCAAATGGAAGATTTCGTGGGTTCCCTGGCTTTTGTGGGACACTTTATGGGTTCTCCCATGCCCCCAACCTCAGGCGCTTATTTCTCCTTTCGGAAAAGCGAAGCAGCGGCGCATGCAAAGATGCCGAACACGGTGGCTCCTGTTTGGGGCATTTTTATGCGTATTTCTCTTTTCGTTGCCCGATATTTTCTCAGGGATTTATTTCAGAGGGACAATCTTTGACGAAGAGCTCCGGTGGTTGCCGTGCCTGGGTGGTGCTGTTGGTTCCGTTTTTTTTGTTTGGCGCTTCCTCGCTTCATGTTGCGCCCGCCCTCCTTTTCCCTCAAGTGTGTTTCTTCCGTGGTTTCTTTCTGGGTCCCGAAGGGCAAACGAGTCTCTGAATGGGGGCCGCGACAAGTCTCTTTGACCCCAAGAAAGAGAGGCCTGGCCTCAGCAAAGATGGTGCACAGATGCCAATGTTCCGGTTGGAAAGGCAGGGTTCCAGTGCACCAAATCAAACCAATGTTGGAACGGTCACCTGTCAAGCCGACCAAAAGCTTCTTAGCTCCCGTTGCAGGCAAACCTTCTTGGGAAAGCACAACCAAAGAAACCACTCCCCGCTCACCTTTGAGAGCGTGTAGGGTTCGACTGAACTATGTTATTGAAACACATCGGGTCAAAAACGAGAAAAAGCACCTTCAAAAACATCGGTGCATTTTGCTTGGATTTTAGGGCTTTACCCTTTTGCCAACGAATTTGGGTTTTCCGTATTAAACCACCTGTTAGCAGGGGAGCAGAAAGCAACCAAGAAAACATCGGGTCATATGGAAGTAGCACCACGAGCAAGGTGCTTTGAGCGTGTGTCACCACCTGGATCGCCAGTTGCGATCGCTTTTGCCATGCACTTTGCCATCCAAAAACCGATCGCAACAGTGACTGGAAAAAGCGATCGCAACTTGGCGATCTAGGAATACAACAACCCTCAAGCAAAAGTATCCTTGGAGCCAACCCAGTGAATCCTCTGCTGAGCTCTGGGCTGTCTTATCTTGGTCCCCCAGCTAGGTGCCCTTTCCCACCCCTCTTTTTGGGGAGGGTTCCCCTACTAAAATCAACTAGAGAAGAAAAAAAAAAAAAAAAAAAACACGGGTACCAACTTCTTCCAACCTCAAACGACTGGAGGGCCTATGACCCGTCGCGTGGTGTCCACCAGTCGCCGATGGACCCGGCGCCCAGGCCCATCGATTGGCCCGCGGGCTCGGAGGTGGCCTTCTCCGTGACGGAGCGGGGCCCTCGGCGAGGCTTTGGAAAGAAGCCGTTGGGAATCAACCGAGCCGTTGGGAGCTCCCAGCTTTTTTGTTTCTTCTTTTTTTTTTTTTGGGGGGGGGGGGGAAGTTTTTTTTTTGGGGGGGGGGGGGGGGGGGGGTCCGGCGATTTGTGTTGAAATGTATGTATTTATTGATTGGATATTTTTTTTTTGGGGGGGGGCTGAGCCGTTCAACACACCATTTGGCAAGGGATTTTTGAGTGTATCGATCTTCCAGCACTCCCACAGGTCCTATGCTTGTGTGGTAGGATATGCTTCTAGTGTGTTGTGGTCTGATTCCAGATTGTTGGGTGACACCCCTTCAATGGATGGATTGCCTTTGCTTTCCCTTTCAACCAAGCTCACAGAGGGAACCCTCACAAACCACACACTACGCACACACACACACAAGACACGTGCCATGTTGATCGAACCGCTTTTCTTCTCCGAACCATCCGAGGTTCGACAGCCCTTGGGGCAGAACCTTCACCCGGACGCTGTCGAGCAACGCGGCGCGGAGCCGAGAAAGACGTCGAGTCGGCTTTCGGGGTCAACAAGCCCTAAGGAGGTCCGGGTCCGGTGAAAAATTCGTCACTGTTGTAGGCGGGGGGCGGGGAGGACATCTTGATGCCATGGATTCCCACCAACCGGAAGGGCATCTTGGACCCCCCAGTGAAGGTCAGAAGTTCGAACACTACTTCAAGCAAAAGGGGCCCCTCCAGGTCCTTTCGTCAGGGTCAACATTGGCATTCGCTGTGGTTCGAGCTTCAAGTGTCAGCCGCTTGCATATCCTCATCGTTTTCTAAAGGGGTCCTTGGTGTGCGTGAGCTCTTTCAGAGAACCCAAAGGGAAAGGCCGCACTTTGCGGGCGGAAGGGGGGGCGTTCCCCATTTGAGAGAACTAACTCCAAATTCAGAAACGCACCTTTGCAGACACACGGCCCGGCTCCATTCCCAGCCCTTCCGTTGAGCTCCACTAAGACCTATGACGGCGCAAGCGCCTGCTATAGGCGGGGATGCAAGCTTGCTGGCGAGACGACTACGCAGATTCACTTGGCGTTGACTGTTGGATGAAAAACGGGAAGATGTTCTGCTGGAGCCTTCCAAGAACCTACAGATTTGCGCCCCAAAGTTTTGGGCTGGTTTGCCGTCATTGGAATGCAGTCACGCTCGGACCGGGCTGGCAGCAACAGCAGGCTGACCGAGTCTCTTACATGTTGCGTCCTAGTTCCGGAAGCTTTTCGGAGGCATCCACAGCTGCAAGCTCCACCTCGTCACATGCTTGACCCGGGTGCCCCCCCTTTAGGAAGCCCCCCGAAAATCTTTGCTGCAAGCGCAGAACCCTACTCTTGGGTTTCCAAAGAGCAGGTTCTCGTCGCAGATCCGCCTTTTCTCCACGCAAAGTTCGGTCAGCTTTCCAGTCGGCCATTTACGGGATTCGGGACACGGCCCAATCGCACAAGGAACCTGGGCCTAATGTACCGATGCTCATAAGAGGACCAAGCGTTTTTTTTGTTTTGCCTTGGTGCACGTAAGCCCCCCAGGTCTCAAAGCCATTCCCAGCCTTCCCCTCGAAGAAATGGTGGACCCCTGTTGGTTAGTATTTAAAGGTCAACCAAAAGGACACCAACAAGTTGCGGGTACCGGTGCTCCACCTCCCCCCCCGGGTTTCGCCAGGATTGAGTGGACGGGGCAGCTCTATGAGAAGCGCTTTGCAGATGACATCCAGGTGGATGACGCTGGCAAGAAGGCGCCGGGTGGTGGCTCCTTCTTCAAATGGACCTGCTTTTGGCTGTTATTTAAAGGGAAATCAAGCGGAAGCCAACAGTTTCCGGGGACCCTTTGAGAAACTTGGCTCCTTTGTCTTGAGGCTCGGTACCCTTTTGGGGGTCGGGTTAACTAGGTATTTGCGCTGATATTGTGTTGAGTACCGCAAAGACTTCTTGAAACCAAGGCTTACCCTTAAGGAAAGCAACCGCCACTGGATTGAAGTCACTCAACAAAATCATCGCCTGGACGAATCTCCTTGCAGAGCTCGAGCCTAGTCCAAGGCTCGGCATAGCTCGCCAGGTGTCTCTCCGTGCTGTGGTAGCCCGAGTAGATCGAACCGCCGGAGTCCCAGCCGAGAGCTTTGGGCACGTTCGAAGGTGCGTGTTTGGTTTGAGGATACCCTTTCTTGGGCTGCATCAAAGGGAAGCCAGAAGAGAAACCTAGCATGTTGGGCGTTACCTCATTTACAGTTTAAGGAGTCCAACAAGAATGTTCGACCCCATTTTGGGTCGGCTTCGTTTGTTTTTTAGTCAGCTGCTTCAAAGTGGATCGCAGTTTTGAGGATCCCCCCCCATTTGCACCCCACATTGTAGGCTTGTATGATCTTGTATGCGAGCCTGGCTGATTGATGGTGTTTCTCAAAGGGGACCGGCTGAGTCTCCTCTCAGCCTCCCCCTTATGGTTGCCATTCGTATTGAAGCACCCAGTATGTCGGTATGCCAAAACCAGAGCCCTTTTGATTTTAGGGGTGTCTTTTTTAAAGAGGTAACCAATGTGAGTTGCCAAGCAGGGAGTCCCGGTTTTGATATCATCATGATACCGTACAGGGGGGGGGGAGGCTCGCAAGAAGGCTTATGTATGGGTGAGAGTTGAAAAGGTACCCAGGGCGATCCCCAGTATGGTATCATCGCGCCATCAGTTTGCATTGAGAGGTCAACATCCAGTCTGCTTCCATCGACACCACCGGGGGAAGCGCTTACGGCGGTCACATCGAGATCTTCGACTTGCGCGGGCGCTCGATTGGCTTGGTCCAGGGAGCGGGCGAAATACCCCATTCCGACCACCAGAACGACTTACTTACTTTCCCACAAACACCAGGGGACGCACCAACTTTCCTACATCCATTGGTGGGAGCGTGGCTCAGGCAAGCCAGTTCGGGCAGTCCACACTGCTTTGATGCCGGATTGGACTTTGACTCTGACTCGCTCGATTATTTGAGGGTTTCCCACAGATTCTAGATGCTACAACAGCAGGATCCGGGTTTTTCCCCCTTTTTTCCTACTTACTCATTTTGCAAGACTCTCCTACTCCGCCCCTCCTGCAGATCAATCGCTCAGGACGCTGGATGACATCGTGCAAAGCAAATGGGTTGGCACGGTGGACATGAAGTGCCCACGGATCACAGGACAACCATTTGCCTGTATGGGCGTGGCTCAAAATTAACCGGGAGGGGTTACGCAGGTTTTGGTCCATGTTTCCACTTACCAGGGTTCCATTTTGGTACCGGTTTTTTAAGCCACTGCCATATGGATGTGTCGTCAAAATTGTGGTTTCTCAAAATGGTTGAGGTTCCGTCTCGGTTCCCTTTAGCTAGAACCCCCAAAAAGGTCGATTCTCCATTTTCGGAGAAGCACAGACATATGATTGCAATATGGCGAGCTCTGGGAAGATGAGCACTCCATGATGTAGGTCCTTTACTTGGGGGGATCACTGTATTTCAAGTTCGGGAAAATTATTCTAGTTCCCCCGGTAGTGCCCTTTTACCGTTTGGGGGAGGGTTCCCCTACTAAAATAGACTACAGAAAAAAGAGCACTCTTATTCTAACCTCTCTACTGGAGCACCTAGTCTTGCTGAATTGGCAGAATGATTCTCTGACCATGGGTAGGTAGCACAGAAGCCCTGAGCGAAGGGCACCCAAGGTTCGCTGATGTCGAGCCCGGGACTATGAACCTAGTGCATTGATTGGGGGTGTTTCCCACAAAAGTGAGGGTTCACGTCTAAAATGGATCACCCTTTTAATCAACTAGAGATGCCCCCAATTCTTATCGTAGGTTTTGGATTTCTTTTTGTTTCCAGGGGGGGAAGATGTTTCCACGGGACCGGGCCGAAGCATCTCGACCAAACGAAGGTTCCTCTCTCCGTTACTCGGCTTGGCTGCTCATAGAGGAACCACTCTCTATTCTAGGAAACGGTTTGGATGCGGTTTTTGTGGATCCACCATTGTGGGATAGCAAAAGAGTACTAGAAGAGTATTAAAAGAGGAACAACTCACCAAACAGCATGGGGAAGCCACAGAAAGCGCATCCAATCCGTTTGCTGGATCTATTGCTGGTCCATGTCCGTCCCAATTCAGAGGAGTTTACTGGCACGGCACCTCACACCCTTGACCTTGCAGCTACCCCGTCGTTTTGGGGGTATTGTTCCTGGGCTTAAGACAGATCTCACATGACATGTCAACAGTAGAATCCTCAAAGCGGGAGCCTGAGATCAGTGCAGCCTCTTGAGCGAGTCCAAAAAGACGGCCATCTCCCGCCATCAACCAGAAGATGCTACGGAAGGATGTCAGCTGACAGGTACACCCGGTTCCAAAATCTGGGCAAGGGCGCCTTGTCTGCTGCGGCAGCCTTAGCTGGCGGAAGGGCGGCTCTGGCCGCTTTTTTCGGCTCCGGCTCGACTTGAGTTTCCTGGTTATGCTGTGGGACTGGTGACTCCATCCAGCATCCCAAAGTCGAAGCCTTGAAGCATGAAAGGGGTGTGTCTGAAAATAAGGGACTCGTCAACACGAGTCAGCTCTTCTTTTTCGAGCCAAGACTCGGTGTTGTTTTTTTTCAATTATTATTATTATTATTTTCTTTTCTTCTCTCTCGTGAAAACCAACCCACCAGTTGTTTCTTCTTTCTTTTTCTTTTTTTGGCGGGGGGGGGGGGCGGGTGTTTTTTTGCGGAGGGCGGGTGGGCCACACGCCCAAAGAGCCCTGGCTCGCAGCCATCCGCCAGCGCAACCGCGGCTCGAATGCTCGTCTGCGAGGCTGTGAAGGTGACCTACAGCTCCAACTTCGCCGGGGGTCACAGGGAATGGCCATGGCCGAAGCGGCCAAATTTCGCCTCCCCCGCCTTGCAACAGGAAAACATTTGCAAAGTGGCCTCCTTGTAAGCTGTTTTCCAAAACTCCTGCAACATTCAAAGGACAGGAAAACAGCAAAACAGGGTTGGGGAGGGCTGGGTTGGGTTGGGTTGCAGGAAATCTACAGGAAAACGGGTTATATAGGGTGTTTTGGGGCCATTTCCTGGCAACATTCAAAGGGTTGGGTTACAACAGGGTTGGGGAGGGTTGGGTTGGGTTGGGTTTCAGGAGATACAGGCTTGTTTAAAGGGTGTTTTGGGGGTAGATTTTCCGGTAGACTTCCCTGCCAAAACCCTTTAAAACATGGCACCTCACAGGAAAATGGTCCCAAGAGGAAACTGATCTTCCAGATTCCAGGTACCCTCCCTCGGGTGCCGTGTTGCAACGTGGGAGGAAAGGTAAACCTCCAGATAGCCACGTTGCGTTCCCGCTCGGATTGGTGGTTCGGATTGGTGCTTCGGATTTTGCCGTTTTTTTTCAGATGGACAGGAGGGAAGCTCAAAAAGCAGTCACAATTGCCGGAGGGAAAAAATAACAGCAACTGTTGATAGATTTTGGGGGTTGTTTCCTGTGGAATCCGGATCCGTTTTGCGGGTGCCCGGTCCCCTTTTGGTGAGATGAGTGGTTGAGTTGGGAGATTCTCGACATGGGATTCGGACCCCTTTGGGTTGGTGAAAAGAAAGCCAAATGGACAACCCTGTCCGGTAGCCAAACAACAACGGCGCTTCTTTTTCGCCTGTTTGCTTTCGAATGTGTTTTTTTGATCAGCAGGGTTGAGGGCCGGCCCCAAACGGCGGATTCCTCGCGGGAAAAGCACGTGGGGCACGCACGCCATAGTGTTTGCTCTCGTGTTTCCACATCACAATATATATGTTATGCCTTTGGGGTTGTTTGAAGGGGAGACCACTTGGAGCACGTGCCGTTTCTTTCGGGCTCGATATATATATATATATATATATCTATATCTATATCTATATAGATTAGATGCTACCCCCCCCCCCCCCCCCACCCAAATGTCGACCTTTTTGTTGGTTTCAACGCTATTTGCGGTGTTTATGCCTTTATTCGTGCTCTGGGGGCACCATATATTTGGAGGCGCCTCCTTCACCAGATCCTCAAGTCTGCACCAATGGTTTCACGCCCGAAGCGCTTCAGGAGCCGCCACCAGTGCTCATCTTCGATGGTTGCTCTTGGACGAGCTCTGTGGTGGCTCTGGCGGTTTTTCAGAGGGAAGTCTCCGAACGGGATAGGTGTGTGCGCGCATGTGTGTGTGTGTGTGCCCGCGCTATTTTGAGGTTACCCATTTTAGGTTGGTTTCAAAGGAGGCCAAAAAAGACACCCACCATTTTGGGGGGTTTGCCTATTTCGACACATACCCATATGGCTTGTGCGCCCGGAACACAGGAAGGCCAAGCGGTTTTTCTTTGGTTTGCTTTTCAACCAAACCCCTCAAACAAGTTTGCCGCAGCAAGCCATTTAGGCGCGCTATCACAAGGCGCAACAATTTTGAGGAACTAATCGGAGCAACTCCCCCAAAAAGAGTTGGACCGCTTTTCAAGTTCAGGCCTCAGGCCTGAACAGCAGTCCCATTGCAATGGGCCGAGCTTTCCCTGGATTTGTTTTCGATCCGGCCGCTGATGGATGGTCGCCTCCAAAACTCCCATACAAGGTCTGCGAGGGATGGGATGGGATGGGATGGTCAAGATAGAGGACCCTAAAATGGTGGCTTTAACTTCAAGTTGGAAAGGGCAGCCTCAAAAAAGCATGCGATCAAATCGGCAAACTGGGGCCCGCTGATTCCCAAAGCGCACCAAAGCGCACCTCCCAGCCGGCTTGGCATAGAGCTTTCCACGCGAGTGTGCCATGTTTAGAGTCAAGGCATCCTCAGCTACAAAAGTTGGGTGTGCTTCCTTCTTGCTGGGCTTCCTTGATGTCCTTGCGGCCACCAAGCACACTCCTTCGGAGCGACTGCCAGGAGTACGCCCTGCACTTGGAGTCCTCCAACGTGCCAGTGCTGATCACCAACAACGCGCGGCAGCCAAGGTTGCGAGCCTTGAGGAAAGGTGAGAACCTTCTTTCTGCCTGGAAAGGGGCGGGGGGGGGCAGGGAAGGGGCGGGTGGGGGGGATTTTGTCTACCTTATTTTGGGTGACCCCAAATTGGTTCTCTCAGATTGATACTCCACATGATTGTCTTTTTCGAGCGATCGCTACCATTACCCTTCGAAGAGGGAAGGGGGTGGTCTACCGTATGTCTAGGACCCTTCGAAGCGGAAAGTAGTTGGTATCCCGGGTTCATGCATGGGTCTGTCTCAAAATAGGGGAACTTGTTTTGGATGGTTTTAAAGGGAAGCCAAGAAAGGGACACCAAAGGGAAACCAATCACCTGGGTGGGGTCTCCCCAATTTTGAAGAACACCCGTATGGGTTGAATTGGACAAAGGGTTTAGGTTTAATCTATGCCACAGTGGGCAAAGGCAGCAAAAGGACCCATTTGGAGGCCACCGCCCAGATCTCTCCATGGGCCCCGAGCATAGATCCCCCTTTCGACGGGGAAGAGCCTGAATTTGTTCTCGGGAGAAGGGCGAAATGCCGAAAGGCTGTAAGACCCACACCCAGATATTTGGTGTAGGTGTTAGCAGCGCGTGACCCCGAGTTTTTTTTGGGATGGATGTTGCGCCCAGAATTTGTCGAGCGACGCCTTCCCGGGTTGTCCAGATCGGAGGGCCATTTTTTTTAGGTTTTTTTTTTCGTTTTTTTTTAGGAATTATTTTTGTTTTTCAGGGTCGGTGGCTTTTCGGCTTTTGTGGCTTTTACGTGGCTTTTTGGCTTTTGTGGCTTTTCATTTCGCATCATCTGCATTCACAGTTCCTCTCTTTTCGCATCCTCTGCATTGCCAGTTCTGCTGCGGCAGGTGGCTTTTTGGCTTTTTGGCTTTTTGGCTTTTTGGCTTTTTGGCTTTTTGGCTTTTTGGCTTTTTGGCTTTTTGGCTTTTGGCGGCTTTCTGGCTTTGGCTTTTCGCATCCTGATGCTTTCCCAGTTGGTTTTTGGCCTTGGCTTCCTGCATCCTCAGCATCGCAAGTTCCTCTCTGGGCCCCCCGCCACCCCCCTTTCGATTAAAATGCACGCCTAATTGAATCATCACTTTTTCGATCATCATGCGACAGCTACTTTTTAGATTCTTTGCCCCTATTTTTTCGATCATCATGGGGGGGGGTCTTCCGTTTTACAGGGATTAGTTTGCCCGTATTTGAATCCTCACTTGTACCATGAGGCCTTGCCGCAGAGGAACTGATGACCCCCCTGCTGTTTTATTTTTAACATATATTTTTTTTTGGCCCTAATTGAATCATCACTTTTTCAATCATCATGGGGGGGGGGCTGCCGCCCCCCCCAACCCCCCCGCGATTTTTTGGACTTTTTGCCCCTAATTGAATCATCACTTTTTTCGATCATCATGCGACCGCTACTTTTTAGATTCTTTGCCCCTAATTTTTCGATCATCATGGGGGGGGCTGCCGCCCCCGCAATTTTTTAGACTTTTTGCCCCTGATTGAATCATCACTTTTTTCATTTTCAATCATCATGGAGGGAATTGCCCCCCCCCCCCGCTACGTTTTAGGTGTTTTACAGGGATTAGTTTGCCCGTGTTTGAATCCTCACTTGTACCATGAGGCCTTGCCGCAGAGGAACTGATGACCCCCGGCTGCTTTTTTTTAATATTTGTTGGCCCTTTTTGAATCATCACTTCTTCAATCATCATGGGGGGGGGCTGCCGCCCCCCCCAACCCCCCCGCTATTTGTTGGACTTTTTGCCCCTAATTGAATCATCACTTTTTCGATCATCATGCGACCGCTACTTTTTAGATTCTTTGCCCTTAATTTTTCGATCATCATGGGGGGGGCTGCCGCCCCCCCCCCCAACCCCCCCGCTATTTTTTAGACTTTTTGCCCCTGATTGAATCATCACTTTTTCGATCTACAGGGATTAGTTTGCCCGTATTTGAATCCTCACTTGTACCATGAGGCCTTGCCGCAGAGGAACTGATGACCCCCCCGCTGCTTTTTTAATATTTGTTTGGCCCTAACTACGTTTTAGGTGTTTTACAGGGATTAGTTTGCCCGTATTTGAATCCTCACTTTTACCGTGGGATGCGGGAAGCCAATTTGCTGGTGATGCTGGGGATGTTGGCTGGACATGCGGGGGATGTTGAAAACGATGCTGATGATGTTGACGGACTAGCGTAAAATACGTACATTTCGCGAGAAAATGCTGTAAATTACAGCATTTTAGTAGCCAGGACGGAAAACAAAAAAACATCCCAAAATAAAACAAAAAAAAATCCCAAATTAAATCTCGACCCGTCCAGATCTGCCAGATCTGGACACGAGGGCTGGTGACTGGTGCACAGGGCACTCGGAGAAAAAACAAAACAAAACAAAACAAAACAGAAATCACATCAAAGCTTGGTTGGGGTTCCCCGTTTGTCCTCTTGCCATTTGGCTTTTCCAACCCTAGGGCACCTCTTTGGCACCTCTTTTGGGAAGTCAAGAGGAAGCATCCCCCCGTTTTTGGCTCAAATTTTGGAAACATGTTTCAGCATGGCATTTTTTTGGCAGGTCATGGTGCATTCCTTGAACGGCGGCATCTTCCTGCAAGATGCCCACGACTCGGCTCATGGGTGCAAGGGTGATGAAAAGGGCAGGCTCTCAAGGAAATGTGTCCCCAAGCGTTCTCCACTTGGAGCCGGGGGTGTCCAGCTACGAGCCTTCGGGACATTCTCGGGGCTTTGGCCGCTTGCGAGATTTTGGGGAAGCGCCTGTGGATTGCCGTGCTAAAAGAGTGCTGAATGTGTACAATCCTTGGCCTTGTGCAGTTGGCGCTTAATTCGGTGCCCTTCATGGAAGCACACGAACCACCCGGGGTTCTGCGTCAGGAGCGGGGCACCACACCTTTTTGATACTAGGGGACCGAGCAAAGTTCCCCGAAACTGACACATGCCGAGGGTCGCTTTTAGGATTCATGTCAACTTTGGAATGATCCAGGACGCTGGTGGTCAGAGGACCCCCCCCCAAAGATCATTTACTGACGTACGAAAAGGCGGACCACCCCTGAATTGCACGGTCCTCCGGCTTGATCTAGTGTCTTTGATGGGGTTATGGTTTCAGGAAAAAAATCAGGCGCCGCTCTGTTCAGGGCAGCGCTGTGACAATGAAGGACAACGCCATCCTCGGCGCGGATACCAAAGCGAAGAACCTGACGAGACTTCACTCGTTTCCCCCAGTTTCGGGACTTGATACGACCACTTTAGTCACAAGGTCATGCTTTTTTTTGCGGCCAACCCCAGGAAGTGAGTCCACCATCAGCAAAACGATATGGCACAAGCCACATTCGCCAAAGTACCATTGAGAAGGGGGGGAGTGTGATTTTCTTTCTCATGGTGTCTCGTACACTGCCTGTGATCTTGGCAATGTTCACACAACATGTAGTGCGCCGGGGTGTACAACAAAATAAACCAGCAAATAGAACAATATGTGTAGACATATATATTTGGGGGAAAAAACACTTCCATCTAACTTCTTGTGCTATAGATTAGTTGGAGTTTAGCCGAATATATATATATATATATATATATATATATGTATATTTATATTTACATTTTCATGTAGCTGCTATTTGGAATGGATTTGCTTGTTTAAGCTGTAATTGAACATAAACACATTTTTGAAAACTATATCCTTGCTAAACTATATTCAATATGCCAATTCTAGTTGAAGTAACATCTTATTTGGAAAGGGTATCATACTGGGACATTGTGGAGGACTCCGGGCTCCAAATTATCACGCTTTGGGGACCCACAATTGGACATTTCGAGAATATCAATTTTGAAATTCTAGATTTGCCATCCCCAAAAGGCAGTAAAACCAGGGTCCATGGCAAAAAAAGGGTTGCCTATGTATATATATATATATCTATATATGGTTGTCCCCCCATAAACCACATTTCTGCCAGTCTTGCACTGAAACCATGTAAGCACACATCATGACCCAAAGTAAAGCTTCAGCAAGCCTTGGAACTTGTGTAGCCTTGCATGAGTATTGCATGAACAGACACTGTGGTGTACCCTGTGTTGTGAGGCAAAGGCACCCATTTCACCTTTTTGGTCTTTGAATGCCTTCAACATGCCAACAACTCGTAGAAAGCAAACCCAAAACCAAAAACAGACTTGGGCACGCCACAAAAGAAAAACAGGAGCAACTCAATGAGAATTGTTGGTTTAGCAGACAAGTTGAGCAGTCTTGATTTCCCAGTGGTGTTTTTTTTGTTTTGTTTTGTTTTTGTTGCCTTACACATACATACATGCATACATACATACATACATACATGCATGCATGCATGCATACATACACACATACATACATACATACATACACACACACATACATACATACATACATACATACATACATACATACATACATACATACATACATACATACATACATACATACATACATACATACATACATACATACATACATACATACATACATACATACATACATACATACATACATACATATGCAAACGTATGTAACGGCTGCGGACACAAATCAGTGAGGAGGAGAAAAAGCCTCAGAAGGGGGGGCTTCTCGGTGTTTGGGCAGATTTTCGGGTTGCGTATTGTCCTCCAGATTGGGAAGAGTCACTATCAAAACACGGGTAGATGAAGGTTAGTAGGGGACCGATCCCAACCATAAATAGCTGCGGCCGCCTTCTTAATCCTGTACATGGTTCTGGGTAGACCATTTCAGTACCAGGTTTTGATTGCGACTCAGATTGGGATCAAGGTGTGAAGATGGCAGACACTGCGCCAAGGGCGCCTCTTGGCAGCAGAAGACGAGGGGAAGTTTGGGTGTCGCAAAGGGGCCTTGGCTTGGCTGTGGGTGGTCAAAACCGTTTTGGGATCTCATTTTCACCACCCATTTTAGGACCTTCCTATTTTAGTGGGTATTGAATCGGATGTTCACTGGGGGTATGGGCTTTTGACCCAGGGCCACTTGAGCAAGCTTCTGGCAGCTTGGACAATTTCAACTCATGCGTTCAAAGAAATCAAGTTGAGGAAGGCCCTGGATTTCGGATTTAGGATTTCCGGCGGAGACAGCGAGCAAGTTCTCTCGGTTTACTTTTCCTCATGGATGCTGACTTTCACGGAGTCATCACAGGTGCTGCGCTTTTCGGTTGGTTTTGCAAGGATTTCTTTGTTGCATTTTGCTTGGATGTCAGGACTTTAACTTTTTGCCAACTAGTGGGTTTTCCATTAAACCAGTGAAAGTTAAACATTTAGCAAGAACAGAAAGCAACCAAGATTTGGTATGCTGGCACTGGGTTGCCGGGTTTTCTGGCCCACCACAGCCTTGCCGCCTTGCGGGGGGGGGTCACAAGCTCGAATGCTTTCCAGAAAAGTGAGAAGACTGCCATGGGATTTGGGGGACCCCTTTTTTTGCCAACCACAAACCAGGTTTTGCGTCTTCTACGCCCCCCCGTGCCCTTTCTCACCGTTTCCGTTTTGGTTGGGAGATTCGGTTCCCCTTCTAAAAAAAACAAAACTGAAAAATAAATCGGGTACCAACTTGTTCTAACCTCAAACTACTGGAGGACCTCGTCTTGCTCGAAGCACTGGGTCCAAATGATTTGGGTTTGGCCAAGGATCGCGGAGGATGACTCGCAAGTCATTGCCCTTGACCTCAGACGGCTTCAAGACTTGTTGATATTTGGCTGTGGTTTAAAAAAAACGGTACGAACATGGAACCCTGGTACCAAGTAAGTGGAAACATGGACCACAACCTGCGGTTTGCCCCTCCTGTTTAATTTTGAGCCACACCCATTTGGGAGCCGCCATTCGCGCTGAGACATTTTTTTCGTGTGCTTCGTGTCGCGGAATGCCAGCGAATAGTTGGATCAGCATGCTTGAACATATCTGAACCCTATGAGGAGTCCTTCACGTGGTTCTGGGATATGCTCAAGAGGTATATTGGAGGGTTCTTGGAAGTATCGTCTTGGAGTCTTGTTGGTTTGCCATCGACATGTCAGTCACGTGAAAAGACACATTGCCCTGTGCATGACCTCGGCCTGAGTCTCGTTGTTGTTTGTTTTTCTATTTGCAGCCCTTGCTCAGCGAGGTCATCCAGTATGCTGGCATCCGCTGTGACACCATGCCCAGTGCCCAGCACATTGCATGCGTGGCAGGACCTTGAGGTCCTACTGACTTTGGGCAAAGGACTGGCAAACGGCACTGACTCAGGGCTTGGGGCAAACGGCACTGACTCAGGGCTTGGCAACCTTGCCCCGAAGTATCCTTTAGCCTCTTTTTGTGTGAATGAAAGTTCATCCGGACTTGCAGTCGCCCACTCACCCCGGCTTTCCTTTTTCCTCCCACCTCCTCCCACCTCCTCCCACGGCCTCCGTGAGCAGAGCGAGATGAGGCCCGCGCGCATGATCGGGAACTTGGTGTCGGGCTCCGAAGATATGGGCTTTATGCATCCAGCCACAGGCCCAGATGAACCAGCGGTTGCGCGATGCCTTGGATGCCTGATGTACCCTCCTGACCCCTCTTGCTATGTTTTTGAGATGCTGGCGTTTTTATTTTTATTTTTTAGTTTCATGGACAAGCACAAAGAACACTCCATATGTTTGCCAACAGTCCAGCAGCGTAACCCTTTCAAAGGAGACGCTTACGAATAGGTTCCCCTGATGCTGGGGATGGATGAAGTCCACTTCGCACCACTTTCAAACCATGGCAAACCATTGTTTATTGGCTAGGTCCCCCATTAGTGCCCTTTTACTGTTTCGTTTTGGTTCAGAGGGTTCCCGCACTAAAATGCACTGATGTACTACACAAAAAAAATGGGTACCCTTATTCTAAGCTCTCTACGAGAGGACCTAGTTGGTACTTACAGTGAACTCACATCCAGTGGTGCGAAATGGCTTTCGTCCATCCGCGGCATCTACAGGTTCCCCAACTTCCCCAAATCGATACACGAATCGACTTGAGGCCGAGACGTGCCCTCCCCGAGCGATCTTCAACAATGAGGCGGTGGGGGTTGTCACAGGAGCCCGGCGCTGAGAAGGGATGCCTGATTTGGATTTGGATTAGGGGACAAAGGGCTAGAAATCAGAATTCGGTGGATTTACATCCACCAACTTGTGAGGTTCCCTACATAACAAGTTCAGCAATTGTTTGGCAAGCCGCGAATATGCGGGGGGGGGGGGGGCTTTGGGTGAGGCCAGCCTTGTCGACTCCGAAAGCGGCAATTTTGACTTTTGGCCTTTTGAACAAAGACACAACACTGTCACAACACCAACACACATACATCGGACTGTTGCAGGGAAGAAGATCACAAACACAAAAAATAGAACCTCGCGCGTGGCCTTTGTCGCCTTCCCAGGTGTTCCTCCACACCCAGAAGGCGGCGAGTTGTCAGACCATCAACCTCTACACCGCCGGCGCCACGGAGTCATACTGTGGATGGACAAAAGCCATTTCGCACCACCTAAGGAATTCTGGAATGATGGTTCCCCTGTAAGTTCCGATAAACCATGGTTTCCCATGGTGTCCATCTGGTGCAGGATTTTGTCCATCAGTATCCCCCAACAGCAACCCAGAAAGGAGCCCTTGGCAAGGAGCCCAGGAGCCCTTTCGGAACCCGGAACCCTTGGAAAGCCCCCCCCCCACTTTCAAAGGAAAGCTTGCCCGGCCTGAACGCACGAAACCGGCTCAGCTTGGATGGATGATATTTAGGTTCAACCACTGGCAACAAGCTTCTCACTTGCTGGAGGTCCAAGAATTGGGGGGCTTCGATGGAAGTCCGCGTCATGTCTGGCGTGGGCCGAAAATCGCCAGCCCAAAAGTGGAACCAAGACTTCCAGCCCCGCCCAGTTACTACTAGTCAGCCAACCAGCCATTTTCCCTTTTGGCTTTGTGGACTTCAACCGCCCAGTTCCCACTGGTTTTCTAAACAAGTCTCCTTTTGTTCCATCCACAAAACCCCGGGAAAGGCCCCGCGGAAAGGCCCTGGACTACTTTCGACCGAGCCGGCAAGCTGAGATCTGGAAAGCCGCACACGTGGCGCTCTATCTCTCGGATGTGATCCCCTCTCAGACCATGCTCTCCAACATCGCCCGCCCGCCATGCTTCTTCACACGCCTCCTGACTCCTTATTTTATCATTGATCATGGCCATTGAGCTCAGCCTCCTTATTGTACCATGATCGGAAACGGATTTGAGCTCAATGGCCCAATCAATTTGACCATCAAAGTCATGCCCGAAGTGGGGTAAAGGGAAACAACCACATGAAAACACACTTTGACAACCACAAGAAACTGGTACAATAGTGGTCCCAGTTTCGCCTGGAATTGTTTAGGCATGCCCACGGTTTGTTTGGTGAAAAACCACCTCTCTACCGGGGTAAGGCATGAACCCTGTACAAAGGTTTAGACAACCACAAGGGTTCCTAAGCCCTGACCCACCAGAAAGTTGGGACCATGCCTCATACGAGTCACTGAACTTTGGTTTGTCGAATGTTGGTTTGAGAGGACGTGAGCAATCAAAACCGGGATAGATGAAGGTTGGAAGGGATAATCCCAATCATAAATAGCTGGGGCCGCCTTCTTAATTCTTTACATGGTTCTGGGTAGACCATTTTAATACCGGGTTTTGAGTGTGACTCACATGAGGGAAAACCCAAACTCTCGAGCAGCCTTAGCCGTCATCATTTGTAGTCAAGGGCATGACATTGGGTGCACTCACCAAATTAACACCTAGGAGATGGAGGTTACTCGCCAACATCCAATACCACGAGACAACGCCGCTCCACATTGACCGTGACTTACATAGATGAAGCTCGGCATGGCCTAATCCGGGCATTAAGGCGGTCATGTCGTGTACCCATCATGTAGCTTGCCTTGCGCTGGCCTCATTATTTTACCATGATCAAAGTCACCCCCTAAGTGACGGGTTAAAGGGAAACAACTCCATTTTCTGACTTTGATACGCCTAGAAACGGTCAAAATAATGACCCCAGTTGCGCTTGCCATGGCATGCCCTCCATGCACAGTGGCAGCTGCACTTGTGACGCTACAGAGATGGCCGGCATGATTGTTTGTCTCCAATGGGTTACACCCAATCGTGGGTTTTCTCTCAACATGAACCAGGGGAGTCAAGTTCTCGTATGGCAAGCATGCGTTTCTTTGGCTGTGCTGCTTGTTGTCTGGTTGACAGCACATCACTTGCGCAGAATGCCAGGTAATTGCAGACTCGCACATTGGCTGGGCACTCATGATGCCTGATGATGCCACTTCATGGTTGGACTTGCCAAAACGAATCCAAATCAAGCAACTTCAAAATAGGTTGGCGGGCATAAATCAATGAGTTTGAATGATGTTCACGGCTACATGTGCTTCGACGCAACCTGTGCGAGCCGTACAGGAGCCTTCGAACTTGTGTGTTCATGTTCAACGCAGGATTGACATCCTGGTTGATTTTTCAAGGGCATGCCCCATTGAAAAAAAAGGGCCGTCTGAGATTGTTTGGGGGGCACACACCCTAAGACTTTGCCAGGTTTTTGGACCCAGGTCATTGCGCAACTCAGAACGCTTCCCGAAGCTTTTGACCGCAAAAGCATCGCGAAGGCATCATCCCCTACATGAGCGTGGGATCAGCCTTCAGGCCGGGAAGCGTGGCTGGGAGATGGAGGTGCAGCGAACGAATCCTTGATGGTCCAAATTCATCCGAAGCCCTCGAGGGCTCAGCCCGAATCAGCCCCCTTTTGCGTGGAAGTGGTAGGCACCAGGGGGTTCGGCCAACGCGTTTCATGTTGCCGCTGCTTCAGCAGCCGAGACTTCTCGGTTTCCCTTTGAGGGCAATCACGGTTGCTTAAACGAGTTTCCTTGATGGCCAAGTTGCGATCGCTTTTTTTCAGTCACCGTTGCTGGGTTTTGGAGTAAAGTGGATGGAGAAAAGCAGCAACTGGCGATCCAGGCTGGCTCTGTTTGTGTTTCAATTAATAAGTACCGCCAAATGATTGGAGATGACTCACCACCGAATTCTGATGTCCACCAGAGGGTCCAATTAAGTTTTACACCCACCCCGTTTTGACCAAACCAAGCTGATCAGGAGATTGTTCCTCCGCAACACCACCTTCATCGGCACCTCTCCTGCCGGCACGTCCTGTGCCCCTGCAATTTCTGGGCCTGTGGGCCACGCTGCAGGGTGAACGTTGCTTTGTTGCATGTTGCCAAGGGATGTTAGGACTTTAACTTTTTGCCAACTAATGGGTTTTCCGTATTAAACCACTAAAAGTTAAACTTTTAGCAGGGGAGCAGAAGGCAACTGAGGTTGTACAGGTTCGTGCAACCAAAAGTCGAAGGTTGCCGATCCAGCATGCGGCATGCGAGCATCCCGAAGGATGTGGGGAGACTCTTTCCTTTAGAAACAGGTGCCCGTGCCGTGGTGTGAAAGGGGACGCTTCGGAAAACCGCATGAAAGCCCATGCAGTTGGGGTTCCCTCATTTTGAGGCAAATCGGGTTGCCACCCCCCCAAAAAGCAGAAGAAGAAGAAGAAGAAGAAGAAGAAGAAGAAGAAGAAGAAGAAGAAGAAAGAACCGGAACATGGATGGGGGAGTGTTCTTCCCCTGAAGCAAATCATCCACAACCAGGGATTGCTGATTTTCAAGACGCCCGTGCTTCTGGGCGGCAATTCGTTTTTTGGAAGGATCAACTGTATGTGGGTTCCCGGTCCTTCCGCAAGTTGATTTTTGGCTCAACCAGTTCTGGGCCTTTTTTTCTCACCCAGAGGCTCCCAGGGACCCGACCCCTCCATTAGACACCCCGCTAACCGGTGGTTGGGACCCGGTCTCAAGACCCTAAATCCGTCGGGAGCCTCTGGGCACGCAAAGTGAGAAGGGCTGTCCCTGTGCTAGGCATCCAGCTGTGGGAAAGCTGGGCTACCCCGGTGGAACTTTGGGCGGTCCAGGTACTTCGTCCAACTTCTGCCGGACGCAGACCATCACCGATCCATACGCCGACGCCGGCGGCCTCGATTCGTTCGGCTCGCCGGCGTGGGCGGTTCTGTTCCCAGGGCGATTTTCGGGTTCTAGCAAAGTCGAGGTAAACCCGGGAAAGAAGAAAACCATTAACAGGTTTAATTGTGTAAATCCAAGTTCCCATTGACTTTTGGTTCGCAAAGTCGATGTAAACCTTTATGACCATGTTAGTAGAACCAAAGTGGTTTCTCAACGTTTTGCGACTCCAGATGGTTGGGTTTCCTTTTGGATTCCCCCAAAAGCCCTACCAAAAGGGCGCCCCCGAGTGAAAGCTGCTGCGCGAGACTCAACATGTGTCCCTCAAACCTATCACCGAGATGCCTTCCCGCCTTCCTCGTCACTTCCGCCACCCCGGGCGCGGCAAGGTTTTCTCGCCGCGTTTCTTTCCCCGTAGACTCGGGGGGAATCACTCACCTCTGGAACCAACGGAAGGCACAGAGCAGCAGAGCACGGGGCGACTTTTGAGAGGGGCAACAGCATGAGGCCAGTTTCAGAGTATCCAAGGCCTGATTGAGGGGCGCCCAGTAAAAAAAGCTTTCAGTGAGCAGGCTCCGGCCGTAGTCTGCGTGTGGCAAAAGTTGAGCCTCCGAAAGGAACCCAAATTGGTTTAAATCCCTTCACGGGGCACCCAACGGATATTCCTCTCTCCGGGGTGACATGTTCATCAACTTGTGTGTGGCAGGGGCCCTTTGCATTTCTCCCCTGTCGGCAATTCTCCCTTTAGTGGAGCAATGTTCCAGGGAAAACACATCCCCCTACGTTGGGGTCTATCATGCTTTGATTTGAGTTGCGGTTCGGAGGAAGGTCACAGTGTGAAAGATGGCACTCGCCATTAAGGTTCTACAATTCCTTTAACTCACAGACATCTTCACCTTCCATTTGCTTCAGACTGTGCTTTATTTCATTTCTTCTTGTTTTTTAGCGGGAATCTATCACTGGATTCCATTTTTTGTCTTTCGTCACCCTCTCCGTTTCCGGCCAACAACTTCCGGTGGCTCCCGGCCATCCGGTTCCTTGGCCTTTTGGCTTTTTAGTTGGTTTAGGGGTTGGATTTCCATGTAACCCACTAAAGGTTAAACTTCTGGCAAGTGGGGATTTCCATGTAACCCACTCACAAGTCACTTTTAGCTTGGTGGGGATTTGCATGGATTCCCCACGTTTCGCAGGGGATCCCGAAAACGGGCGGCCCAGCTTTCCTCGCCGGGGCACGGGCCTCGTGGGCTGGGACGTCGGCCCCAGACCTGCGGCTCCATGTTCGTGGGCGCAGAGCTGCGGCGTGTGGGGCCGGCGCCTCTGAGGGGTTTCGAGTTGCGAGGTGGAAAGGTTCGAAGGCATAGGTGTCCTTTTTGGTTGTTTTGGTCGAAAAATAGATGGCCCTGGTTTACCTGGTGGTTTAATCATCCACCAGGGCCATCTATTTGCCCCAAAAGGACACCTATGTTCGAAGGCAGAATTCTAAGGCTTGATTCTAAGGCTTGATTCGAGGTTAGAAACCTTATTCTTTCGCCTTCACCTTAGAAGTACCATCGAAAGCTTGCGAGGTTCGATTCCGACCAGTCTCTTCACCCATCGTTCTCTTTAGAAACCACCTTATTCTCCAGGTGGTTGGCCCGTTTTTTGAAGAGAAGGATCCCTGAAGAGAATGGGGAGGGTACCACTAGAATAATGTGAACCCCCAGAGTAAGCAGAACCCCCAGTTGATTTTGCTTGGGGGGTGTCCCCTTGTAGTGGGGACTCAGCCCACCTTTGGAGGGAACATCCCCCTAATAGTGGGTCTAGGTCCCCCAGCAATTGGTGCCCGACCTCTCACCCGATTCTTTTTTTGGTTGGGAGGGTTCCCCTACTAAAAGAGACTACAGAAAAAAAGGACCATAACAGGCAGTGAGGACCCTAACGAAAAGAAGCCTTTGGTGCGTTTTGCTACGATGTTAGGACTTTAACTTTTCGCCAACAAATGGGTTTTCGATTGAACCGCTAAAAGTTAAACTTTTAGTAGGGGAGCAGACAGCAACCGAGTTTTGAGGTTCGTTGGGCAACAATTGATGGGTTTCGCTGGGTTTGATGGATATGCACCAGGAAAACCCATTTTTCCCAAAATTGAACACCTATGTTCAAGATGTTGAGGGAAACCCCAAAAGAAACTCCAAGGGAACTTCAAACACAAAGGAAACCCCACAGCAAGCCAATGGCTTGTGGGGCCCCCATTCAAGGAGACAAGCTCGTGCAGTTGTGTGGCCCGAGATGGCGATCTTTGTCTGTGTTTGAGGGTAGCTTTCAAGCCGCCTGGGTGTGAACTGGAGAAACAACCGTGCTGGCGTCCCAAATTTGTTTTGACACATACCCGCAATCAACACACGGGTGAGTGAAGGTTACTGATAGTCTAGGTAGTGGGGACAGTCTCCTTGGCACACGGAGATTTGCCTATTCGATTGTGGGTCTTGGATAGAGCCCTGGTGTATAGTATGCATCTTAATGCGGGAGAACTGCACACATGATTGGTGGAGATAAGTTCTGGTCCTCCAAGAAACTCCCAACACACATTCATGCCCCCGAATGTCCTTGGTTCCATTTCCCAGTGCAACCCATTTTGGGGTAAACCGATATTTGACAACCACAGCCATATGGCCATGGGTCAAAATCCCGTACCCCCACTGAACATCCCAATCCCCACTAAAATAGGAAGCCTAAAATTTGGGTGGTGACTTCACCTACCAACCAAAATGGGATCCCAAAACGGTTTTGACGACCACAGCCCATATGGGCAAAACGCCGGAGAACCTCTCCACTTCAGACTCACCGCTCCAGGTTTGTGACCCCCATCCAGACCAAGAACAAGAAGCCAGAGCCCCAGAGGACGAGGGGCACTTTGCGCACTTGTGGGGAGGACGGGAGAAGTCGAGGGGAATGTGAGGAAGGTTTTTTGGACCAAGTGAGCCGAGAATTGAAAGGTGATTCTTGCCAGTTCAGATGGTTTATCGACTTTTTTCCAGAAGTGCTGCGAAAGGGACAGCTCTTCGTTCCAGCAGCAGCAAGAGCTTTGGCTTCCATGCAAGCGCAGCTTGCAATAATCATCAGAGAACGGCATGTTTTTGGAAAATCTGTCAGCCCTTGCTCAGCGTGAAGAACACATTCAATGGATCTCAGCGAATGTTTTGGGATTGTTTTGACACCAGGGTCCCTATATGTCTCGTTTTGGTGGTTTTAAACATCGCCTTTTTGGCCAATGAAAGGTGAGTGTCCCCTGGTGGGGTGATTTTTGAGGGGAAATACGAGGAGCCCTGTTTGACATCAGGGTCAGAGATCAACTTGTCCTATTTGAGGAGCAAATATGTGAGGTATGGAATTTCGGAGGCTACCATCAGAGAACCTCATGTGTGCCAAAAGACCTGCGCGCTTGGGGTGGCCAAGGGTTATATCGAGTTTTGAATGCTAGCGCCTCTAAGTCGTGAATGTCGGGGAGCTTGAACATATTTTAGACTTCGGTTCAGGTCCTGCTGGACGACCAAGCCGGCATACGAGTGCCGGCTGATGTCCCCTGCGTGGCGTTGGCATGGTCTTGGGGCGGACGCGATGTCGGCGCTCTTTTTTGAGGGGCACCGGGGCCTTCCCTACCTTTCTATTGGCGCAAGCAGGGAAGCAACCATATTTCAGCTTCCCGGCAGTAGGTGGCTTGGATTGGCGGTGAGGGTACAGAGTACCTTCCAGATTTGGCTTCAGAAATTCAGGCTATCCCCAAACCGCCAATCCAAACCACCAACTAAGGGATACTCAATGTGTGTTGTAATGGTACGAAAGGGAGCCTGCCTTTTCAACAATGTCTTGGAGCCGTTGCCACCTTTGTTGATGTACACCAAAGGGAACCCAAGTAGCGGGGTAGCCGCATTTTAGGCTGACAAGCCAGGCTCCATTTTGAAGAAAGTAGCCACGTGTGCTTCAAGCTTAGCCACAAGTGTTTCCTACCTTGCAGCGGACGTTGGTGGGATCCATTGGGATGCGAATCCCTGAAATGGCGGGTCAGCGGCTAAACTGCTTTCATTGGCTTTCTTTTTCTCCTTTTTTTTCTCGAAAGATTAAACATGAATCACTCATCCGGCAGACAGTGCGCAGCGTCGGAACATTGGGACCACTCAAGACCGTCCATCCCAGACTCTTGACAAGACGTGCCCTGCGCAAGCGATATCAATAAATGGTGTGTCACATGATACACATTCGGTCAACATATCCAGCAGTTCTTGAACCATTTTGGAGGGGCACGGGTGGGGTGGGGTGTGCAAGCAATAAATTGCAACATAATCTCAGTTGTTCAGTGGCACTTTTTTTTAGTTTCTTTTGGTGGCTGCCCCACTAAAAATGGTCTTCCCCAAAAAGGGTTCCCTTTTTTCTCCAAGGTCACTGAACCACTGAGTAATATGTTTGTGGCATTTTGTGGCTATGCATTGGATTCCGGCAAGTGCCAAAAAGGGACTTGGTCGATTCCGTGCATGGCCAACCAGGATTTGTTGGGCGCGCGGTGCCCAGGGTCGGGCCCAACTGTTGTTCTTAGTCCTTCAGTACAAACCTTTTGCTTCGTGTCGTGCGCGGGGCAGGATGGGTGCACGCTGCATTCGTGAATTCCTTGACGTCGCCGCAGCCACCCTGCCTCATCGCCCGGACATCCCTTCATTTCTGCCCTAAAATCAACTTCAGGAAGCATGAATGAACTTTTTTCCACAACCTTATAGGAGGCATGCCCTGTGCTTGTCTTTCCCTACGGGCTGGGAGGGGGGGGAAAAGGGGGCAGGTTGGGACACAAGTCTGAGGCCTATGTGACTTGCAAGTCTGTTTAAACGGCCTGAAATGTAAGAATGCACCCTTCTTTTCCATCAGCCATGTCAGCTGACAGGGTGTCGGGACTACAGAGCCCTCTTCAACAGCTCTCTTTTCCCCTTCCATGATTCAGGATCCCCCTTCAAGCCCCAACGCTGACTCACTTTGAGCCGCCAAAATCAGAAGGTGACTTGCAAACCCGCCTGAACAAAAAAAACTAAACAACAAAAACTAGCAAGCCATGTAAGCCAAAAACGCCCAGAGCGCTAGGGGAAAAGCCAAGTGGCCCCATGGGGCGGCCGGGCGCCCAGCCTTTCTGCCAGGCAGCCGAGCAACAATCCCTGCCATCAGCCCTGGGAGAAGGCCGGGCGCAGCGCGCGGCTCACGTCCCAAGTTGATTCGCGTGGGTATGGGCCAAAACCGTTTTGGGATACCAGTTTGGGGTTTTCGGTGAATTCACCACCCATTTTGGGCTTCCTATTTTAGTGGTTGGATTGAATCGGATTTTCACTGGGTACGATTTGGATTTTGAAGAAAGGCCACATGGACCAATTCTAAAAAATCCCAAAGACCTGACCTAAACGATCCGATCAGCTGGATAAGGCCTTCAAGGATGTGTTCGGAAAACCTTTGTTCAGCACACGAGCAACGCACATTGCTCCCTCACGGTTGCCCGAGAGGCGTGGCCCTTTTTTGGGTATCAATTTTGTGCCTTACATCCTCTTGCTCGCCCTGTCTGGATGTCTGTCACTCCAGCTTGGGTCGATGGAGGCGCAGAGGGCCACGATCTGAGGCATAGGTCGTGCTGGGGCCAACCAGATGTGCAGAGCAGGAGGGTGGGACATGCGGGGGCTTTAGGTTGCCACCTGGATACCAAGAACACCTTCAAAGTGGGAGCGTAGTCATGGGATCGAAGTTCCCAGATGACAGGACATCCACATGCAGAAGGGCCTCGGCAGCCACCTCAGACAGCCAATGTCGATTGGACTCGCCAGCCGAAGCTACCACTGAAACGCGAGTCCTCGGTGCTAGCGTGATTGAATGGGGGATCCTCTTTGTTGGCCCCAAAACACGGGGTAGAACCAAGTCCGCAACCTTTGAAACCTTGGTATGAAACTGTTGTCAAAGTTTCCAGGTCAGCTTGACTGAACTAAGGCAGTACTCAGGCTGGGTGTTTCCCAAAACGTGGCGGTAATCCTTTTCAGGTAGCTCTAAAAATAGGTCTCTTTTCCCATGAACCCATCCAAACTAGTCGGAAGTTTGAAACTTTCGACCAGCGTTTGGATTCTAAGGGGGATCAATATCAAACCCTGGCCACTTGACGCCCCTCGGAAAATGAACAGACCCAAGGGCTTCTACGCGAACAGGGGCCCGGTGAACCCAAATGGGGGCTGGTTCTGCTGTCCTTTGCGCGAAATTCGCTGACAACCGGGTGCCTGGAAAAAAGCTGTCCAAACCGGAACCTCCCCCACTCTTCGGTGGATGCCTCAAAGAAACGCCCAAAGAAAAGCCAGGTCAACTCTCACAAAAGGGAGGCCGTCCAGGGGCCAGGCATCGCCCGTGTAGGTTTGCCTGGAGTCTTCCCTAGATCACACACTCGGAGAAAACCCAGGAAACCAACAGAACAACCACCCAGTTTGGAGGTCCTCCAGTAAAAGACACACCCGAATGGGGGGTTTGTCCCATGGGGCCAACATGTGTGTACTGGTGGACCTCCAAACTGGGTGGTTCTGTTGGTTTCCCTTTGAAACCTCCCGGAAAAGGGGCCGGCATTTCCATCAAAAAACAACAACACACACACAGACCTGGAGTCAACCTGGGGTCCTGACCCCTAAAATTTTGGTTTGCATGACCCCATCCCATTTTCTTCACGGGACCCAGGGGCCCTTCCGGCTTCTGCGTTCGCTCGCGAGGCTGGACCTTCTTCGAGGACACCACCTTTGCGTATTGGAAGAGCTCGGACTGCGACCGATCGCCCGGGGCCTCTCAACACGGATCGATGGCTGGTCGAAAGGAGGGCCTCAGGGGGAAGGGACGCTGGGCAGAAGGTTGGGCTGAAACATGCGGACACCGGAGCCAAATTTTTATAGCACCTCTTCTGTTTTTCTTTTTTATGGGGGGGGGAGTTGTTCTTGGCGTGTTTTTTGTTTTTTTGGCAGGGAGACCAGTTGCCAGAACCTGTTTTTCATCTTAAGGGCCAGACACGAGGGTTGTTCCGGTGACTCGCGCGCGCCCAGGGATCGCGCCATCGCTCCGAACATGTGGGGCGCAGAGGCGCGAGGGGTTTGGTGGCAGCTGATGTTTGGAAGGGTTTTTGCTAGACTTCAAGTCGCGTGACTTTTCATTTTTCCTCTTGCCTTTGAAGACGGAGCTACAAAGAGCTACCAGGAGTTCTGTACGGACTTGGCAGATCTGGAGGGACATGGGTGCGGGGTCGGGGGGGGGGAGCTCTGGATTTTTGCACGACAAGGGCACGATTTCGGCACGTGAAAAAAAAGCAAAAAAAAACGAGCGAGTTTGTGCATGGCCCTGGTGCTTTAAGCCCCAAGCATTTGAGAAGGGGTCTTCGGTTCCTGCCTGGCTTAAAAGGAAATGACCGAGGTTCCCGATCTGGAGACAGAGTCATATGAGCCTTCAGAATTATGTTGAATGAACCAAACACAAACACCGGGTCTGGGATCCCCAAGGCCCAAGTGCTGGCAGAATTGCAATTTTTGAGGGTTGGTGTGTTGGTCCCTCTTGTGGCTCCCTTGTGGAAAAAAGGAAGGGACTCACGCCTACCTGGGTCCAACAGTGAGCACTGGGACTCTTCCTTTTGAACAACCGACATTGAATCACATGCTTGGCCAAATAACATGGTCAGGTGGAGGCTGCATCCGGAGGCTGTAACATGAGTGAAAATCTTCTCTCTCTCTCTCTCTCTTACTCTCTTTGTCTGTCTCTTACAGTCTTTCTCAGTCTCTTGCTCTCTTTCTCTTTCACTCTCTTTTTTTGTCTTGCTCTTTTCTCCTTTTTTTCCACAATGTTTCTCTCTCTCTCTCCCTCTGTCTCTTTCTTACCCTCTGTTACTCTCTCTTTCTCTCTCGCTCTCTCTTGCTCTCTTTCTCTGACTGTTGCCTTCTTTTTACTCCCTCTCTTTCTCTCTCTTACTCGTTTTTTTCTTACTGTTTCTCTCTTTGTCTCGTTTTTGTTTCTCTTTGTTTTGTTTTGTTTTCTATTTCTCTCATTTTCTCTCTGTGTTTCTTTTTTCTCTCTTTTTCTCTCTTGTCTCTCTTTTCTCTCTCTTGCTAGTTGCTTTTTTCGTCTCTCTCTCTCTCTCTTACTATATTTCTCTGTATCTTGCTCTTTTATACTCTCTCTCTCTCTCTCGCTTACTCACTTTTTCTTACTTGTTCTCTCTGTTTCTCTCTTTTTCTCGTTTATTTTTTCAACTAATATTTTTCTTTTTTTTCTTTCTTTTTCTCTCTTTTCTCTCTTTTTCTCTCTCTCTCTCTCTCTGTCTCTCTCTCTCTTTCTCTCTCTCTCTTTCTCTGTCTCTTGCTCTTTTACTCTCTTTTTTTTCTCTTTCTCTCTCTCTCTCTCTCTCTCTTCCTCGTTACTATCTGTCTTTTTCTCTCTCTTTCTTGCTTGCTCTTTGTCCGCCACTTTTTTTTTGTCTCTCTCTCTCTCTCTCTTCTACCTTATTCCCTAGATAGCTGAACGCTACAGGGGTTTTACCTTCTAAAAAGAAGGGAGAGTTATTTGCGAGATTGACGGCTGGGTGCTCGGGGGCTTGCAGTTTCGGGGTGCTGGTGTGGGTGCTGTTTGGGCTACTGTTTGGGCTGCAGGTGATGCGCGGGCGCATTGTTTTAAGATAGCCGGCAGGGTGCTAGGGCATGCACTTTGGGTGCTGGTGCAGGTGTTGTTTTGGTGTGCTGTTTGAGGTGCTGGTGATGGTGCGGGCGCACTTTTGCGATTGATGGCAAGGTGCTTGGGGTGCTGGTGGTTTTGGGGGTGGGCGTGGGCACGTTTCTGCGAGATTGACGGCTGGTGCAGGCGCTTTTTTGGGGGGCCTGGTGTCGGCCAGGTGTGTTTTTGCGAGATTGACGCCAGCATCCAATTTGGGGGTTCTTGTGCAGGTGCTATTTTGGGATGCTGTTTGGGGTGTTGGTTGAGGTGCTCTTCGGGCGCTTGGAGCGCTTCGTTGTTTTTTGTTTTTCCAGGTGAACTTCCCGGCAAGCTTCACCAGGACCACCTGGTATGAGGCCGGGCGTGTCTAGGTCAATGGGCCCTCCAAATGTGGCGAGTTACATAACGCGAAATGCGGCCGCCCGAGGTTCGTCTGGTTTCCCTTGTAAGCTGGCCGACCTCACCAGTTCGACTGACCAACCAGAAAATTCACCAGTTCACCAGTTCGCTCAGGCGTATCGTTCGAGGTGCTTGCCAGGAGAAAATTGAGTACTGCCAACGCCTGGGTTTGGGGGCTGGCTCCTTTTCCATGAACCCGTTCATAAGGACCTTTCACTCGAGGCTTTCTCTTCGGTGTCCCAGAATTCTTCGCAACAGGCTGGGCTTTTGCTCGACAAGTGCGTTGGAATCTGAGCTTGACCCCAATGAAGGGCCACATATCCGGCTGAAGTAGCGTCAAAGTTACTTCTGTTGAGCTGAGTATTCGGTGTTTCATTGGTATCACCAATCCATGGCAGACGATAGGGGACTCTCCAAAAAACGAAAAAACAAACCCTGGAAAAGGATGGAAACGCTGGAAAACGACCAGGGGACTCTCAAACTGAGTAGCGAAACGGCCGTAAGTAAGTAATGTCGACCGTGCCTCAACTGAACTGTGTGCACCTTGCCCCAAGATGGCATTTGTTTATATTTCTTTGCATCATTTGCCCAGTTGTTCAGCACCCTCGGTCTTTTGTTGTTTAGGTGGCTTCCCCACTAAAAATGGTCAGCCCCAAAAGGGTTCCCATTCGCTACCAAAATTGCGTCGCGCTACACATTTGGCAGGACCTCATTTGAGAGGTGCTTGATTTCAACCAACTGAAGGCCCAAATAAATGCTCACTGCCTGGGCTGTACAATCATTTTGCTGCATGAGTCCTGTCAAGATTGTTTTCAGTAAAATGGCCATGCGTCAAAATCCCGTACCCCAGTGAACATCCCAATCCCCACTAAAATCGACTAAAATGGGTGGTGCACCTACCCCAAAATGGTACCATTGGTTTTGACCTACGGCCAAATGTGTGTGCAGCCTTGACTATGCATGCTGCAAGGAGCTTCAGCAAGGCAATTGAACGAGCAAGGATTTTGCTGTTCACAGAGACATGCCCAGATACAAATGACATGGCCATGAATTTCAACGGGGAATCTCCTGAAAAGTGATTGGTGGGCATGAATCCCCATCGAATTCTGATGTCCAACTTTTTTAGTTTACATGTTAATCACAAAAATAAAATAAAAGTCATACCCTGCCATTGAAAGATCAAGTCCGAGAGTGTATGCACCACTCAGCTCGCGCGGAGTCAGATTCTGTCGCCTGCCAGTCCGACCTGGATGCTCGTTTCGAGCTGAGCACTGACCGTCTGGATGCTGCCTCGCTCTGAGACTGCCAGACAAGCACTTTGGTGCATTTTGCTTGGATGTTAGGACTTCTTTTTTTGCCAACTGATGGTTTTTCCATGAAAAACCACTACCAGTGAAAAACTTGTAGCAGGGGAGCAGAACGCAACCGAGAGCATGTTGGAGGCGTTGAAGGGCGTTTTGTTTGGCTGCTCCGGGAGGGAGAGAGCTCATCTCTTCACAGCGATGTTTGGATTCTCGAGAAGCTCGTGCTGAGGCTTCCTGATGTCCTTAACAAAGAGAAGCTCCCTCCAAAATTTTGGAGGGCCGGAGAAGGTGATGTTCAAGCCCCACTCCCCCTGTTTCTGGCAGGTGATGTTCAAGCCCCCTCCCCCCTTTTCAATTTCCCCCCCCCCTGGCAGGTGATGTTCAACCCCCCCCCCCCCTTTCCCCCGTTCAACCCCGCCCCCCCCGCCCCCGTTCAAACCCCCCCCCCCTTGGCGCAGCCCCCTCCCCTTCCTGGTCGCTTTTTGGCGGACCAAAGAAGGACTCCTCACGCATCCGAGTCCTACAACATGCGCGCGAGCCCCTGCCGCAGCAGCGGCGGAGGCTGCATGGGCGCGGAGCCCAGCTGGAAGCCGCGCAGCCGCGAGCGAGCGGTGCGAGCGGTGCGAGGGCGTGGGTGTGGCACAGGAAATCAGGGAGCCCTGAAATGGTGCTTGTTGTTAATTGGTGGTTTGGGGATTGGAACCCTGAAATTGGTGGTTTGGATTGGTTCGGGAATTGGAACCCCCGGCTCTGGTTTTGGGATGGGAAACCCCTCCTTCACCAAACCACCAATCCAAACCAAGAGGGAAGCTGAGGAAGCTAGGTTTGGCTTCAACGGGATCCCTGTGGAGGGGGACCCTCCTGATTTCCCGGCAAAAAGATATGGCATCCATCCATATGGATGTTTTTTCCCAAACGGAGCGGGAGCGGAAGCCACATGTTGCCCCAATTGTTTCTTGTTTCTTTCATTTCCCATTTGGAGACACACCCAAGCCGCGGACCTCAGTAGGGTTCCTGTGAAGAAACTGAAGGACGCCTGAAGGCCTCTAGGTGGTTGGCTTTTGGTTTGCCTTGCCAACCCATTAGAAAGATCCATGTGTTTATGAATCTCAATGTGAACTCTTTTAGTTTATCTTAATTCCACCAAAGGCAACGACCCTTACACAAAATCCCTTGTGGTTCCTTTAAGAGGACCCCTGGGTTCATTCCCACCTTCCCCCCACCTCCCCTGGGAATCACGGCTCAGTCGCGAACCAATCCGAGCCACGTCGCTCGAGAGGTTTGGATCAGCTGCTGCTGCAGGATACGGATGGCACCCTCACAGGCGAACTCGGGCAACGTCTGGGCAACGTCTGACCGTCGGTCTCAAAAAATGAGATCGCCAGCTCGCTCACTCGCTTAGTTCCCTGGGCTGCAACACTTCTGGTTGATGTGGTCACGCCCAAGGCCGGTCGTGAATCCCTAAGAACATCATGTCCACCAAAGCATCCCCATTCAACATTCATGGCCACATCATAAGCAAATAGAAGTGTCATAGTTAAAAGCATTGCCCTGGAAGCGGTTCGTGTTTTGTTCAACCCCCAACGTTTTGGACCTTTACATCCGAAGAGCCCCTTCCCTGTTCTTGCTTGTTCTTTGCCCCTCGTCTCTAAGAGCATGTCAATCAATTGAAGATCATACTGCTCGCCTCATGGGCGGTGACATTGTCCCATTGCGCTTTTTGCTAGCATGGTTTACTGGGCATGGTCCCAACACAAACCTCGTGCGTTTGCCATGCGGTTTGTATTCTGGTTTCTGGGGGTATCTTCCACGGGTTTCAAGCGACCAAAATGGGTTGATCCCATAGGTGTCCTTTTTGGCTGTTTTGGTAGAAAAATAGATGGCCCTGGTTTACCTGGTGGTTTGATCATCTACCAGGGCCATCTATTTCCCCTAAAAGGACGCCTATGGTTGATCCCTTTATGAACCTTGCATGAAAACCAAGAGGACGCCGAAAAGCCAAGGGCCCAACATCCATGTCGTGGCTCCAATTGCGCCGACCCCTTCAATTGGAGCCCTTGTCTTTCTCTAAGGCACGCAAATTTCTCACCTACAGGTCCCGAGGGCTGCTTGGCCCATTTCTGGTCATTGCGGAAATGCCGAGCCCAAGAGCCCAAAAGTCCACCTTTTCCGTGCGGTTTTGGTTGGTTCCTATGAACATTCATAGCCATCTAGATCGCCAAGTTGCTGGTTTTTGCTCAGTCACTGTTGCTGGTTTTTGGATGGTAAAGTGGATGGAAAAAAGCGATCGCAACTGGCGATCCAGGCCTTTGATCTAGGGAAACCAACATGACACCAACTATGTTGAAAAGCAAGCCACCCTCTCTGACTTCTCTATTGGCTGATCCAGGCATGTGGAAAAATGGGCCCGATTGGTTAAGCGAGATAGTCGTGTTTTTTGCAAGTTTTCACTTCCTGGCAGCACCCACCGGGTTGAATTTTTCACCGGTTTGCGGGCGGTTTGCAGCAGAAAACATGCTGCCTGGATCGCCAGTTGCTGCTTTTTTCCATCCACTTTACCCAAAAAAACCAGAAACAGTGACTGAACAAATCAGCAACTTGGCGATCTAGGTGGTGGCACAGCAAGGGAATCTCCTTTCAAGTGATAGAATAGTTACAGGGATGGGGAAATCCCTCTTTCGCAGATTTCGGGTGATTTCCCGCAACCACGTGAGGCTCGGTCAGTTTTGGTCCAGCCGTCCAAGGTCGGACAAGCTCTTGTTTTCCCGCAAAACCAGGGGACTCACTAAATGTCTTTCAAAAAAGCCAGCCTGGATCGCCAGTTGCTGCTGTTTTCCATCCGCTTTACCATCCCAAAACCAGCAACAGCGACTGAAAACAAGCAGCAACTCGGCGATCTAGGAGGGGACTCACTAAATGTCCATCATACTTGGAAGCGCGAGGGGTGCCAAAGCGCCCGAGCTGGCGATTCTTTTTGAAGCCATTTTGGGCGCTTCGGACCACGGAAGCGACGTCTTTTTTGTCTTCTTCTTCGGAAACCCAAAGGAGACCGTTGCCATGTCAGATTCAGGGGACCCCAAACAAGTCTTGGCAAACTTTAAGACTGTTGAGCAATCTCCTTGGACCCACTGTTGGCATCGGAAAACAAAAGGTCAACAACTCGAAGAAGAAGAAAAAAAACGCAAAAAAAACAGGGGGGGGGGGGGGGCCGGATAGCCGGCCACACACAAACCAAAAGGAGGGAGCGGTTTCGCTGGATTCGAGGCACGGGCGCATCGCCCATGGCCACGGTATTGCCTTTGACACCAAGAACGGACATTGTGCAGGGTACCCCAGCCACGTCGAGCCGGGCCATGTGTTTTTTTTGTTTGAAGCGCCACCGATTTCGGCCATCCAAGACGTAAAGCACTTGTTTGTTGTGGAAGATTGAAACCCCTTGAGTTGTGAAAATATCATTGTGGTTTGAACCCGATTTGGTTGCAACAAAGAGTGTGGCGTAGGTTGAGCTATGAAAGGTACTCTTAAAGTAAAATTCGTGGCGATCCACATGTGAGTGTTTCGACCCCGTCAAACCACCTGGTTTAAAAGGAGACAACCATTCGAGAGGGGTTCCGGAAAAAACGGTGGGCAAAACAGCAACTGGCAAACCAGTAAACTTTTGGTTTTGGGGTCTGACGGCTCGAATTCAGGTGGGCGCCCTTCTGCGAAACCACCCTGCAGGGCACGGAGGTGGGGGCGCAGGCCAGGAACATCGAGCGGATCGAGTCAACCAGAACCACTGGCAAAAAGTTCATTGAAGAGCTTTGGGGCTCTTTTCAGGCATCTTTTAAAAGGGGAGCCAGAGTTGGTGTCGGCTTCAAGGGCGGATAAGTATGTTTTCCTTCGGTGGGTTCTGGATTCCTGCCGTGAAGTATGTCTCCAGGTTTGTGCCAACACCACCGTCGACCTGCTGGAAATGGTGAACTTGGACCGTCTGATGCTAAGCTGACTGCTTCCGTGACGGTGACCGCGGAAGCGCAACCAGCCCTTCTCAGCTGGCTGGGATGTGCCTTCGGGCGAAGCGGTTGCAGAAAAGGGTTCGCCAATTCTGACACCACTTCAGATGCTTTTGCTGCATACTTTTGCATTCCGCAACTCGTGAAGTATTCAGAACAGCAGGGCGGAATGTGCTATGTTCAATAGGGCGCCCTTTGCAGAATCGTTGGACACACACACACAAACATTCATACACACACACATTCACACACAGGCACACATTGACACAAATTCCCACACATTCACACACACATCCACACACACACACATACACACACACACACACATTCTTTCGACACGCATTCACACACACGCATTTACACACACGCATTCATACACACGTCACACACATTCACAGACATTCACACACATTCACACACACACACATTCACACACATTCACACACACACACATTCACAGACAATCACAGACATACACACACACACATTCACACATTCACACACATTCACACACATTCACACACATTCACAGACATTCACACACACATTCACACATTCACACACACACACACATTCACACACACATATTCACACACACACACACATTCACACACATTCACACACATTCACACACATTCACACACATTCACACACATTCACACACATTCACACACATTCACAGACAATCACAGACATTCACACACACATTCACACACACATTCACACACACACATTCTTTCAACACGCATTCACACACACATATTCACACATTCACACAAACATTCACACAAACATTCACACCAACATACACACACACATTCACACATTTACCCATTCACACACATTCACACATTCACACACACACATTCACACACACACACATTCACACACACACACACACACATTCACACAAATTTCACATACACACACACATTCACAGGCACACATTCACACACACACAGTCAAACACACACACACACATTCCTTAAACACGCATTCACACACACACACATTTGCACGCACGCATTCAAACACGCACACACATTTTTTTCAACACACATTCACACACACACACATTTACACGCACACATTCACGCACACACACACACACACATTCACACTCATACACATTCACACACACACACACACACACGCTTGTGTGTTTTATGGAGGTGGTACCTTTTTCGATCTGGAACCGAAAGTAAGACCCACTCATTGTTTTGGATCCAATCCGTCTTTTGACGAGCCATACCCAAATCCGCATGAGGATGCCCAGAGTGTGCTATCCACAAAGTTCTTCTCGGAGCACGCAGGACATGAGGTCTGAAAATAAGCCCGGCAATGTCTAGATTGGCGGGTCAGCGTCCGAATCCACATCTGATTTGCACATTTCATAATATTTGGATCGAATTAAAGGAATGCAGAACCCCGGATACCAACCATCGTACAACTACCTGGATCGCCAGTCGATCGCTTTTTTCCATCCACTTTAGCCCGAAAAACCAGCAGTGACTGAAAAAAGCGATCGCAACTTGGCTATCTAGGCAGCTATATAAAATCAACGGAGGGGGGTTCGGGTTCGGGCGGGCGGGGGGGCGGGGTTCAACTGGCCTGAAGTGCAGCTTTGCCAAAGGTGGGGCAAAGGACATCAAGTTCGGGCCGCTGGCCGGAGCCCCGTTTTGGGACAAAACCAAAATGCGTGGGCGGCTTTGGGGGGTCCAACACGTGTCTTTTTTATTTTTTATTTTTTTTATTTTTGTGTGTGTGTTTTTCCCTTTTGTTTTTCTGGGGGGCTGGGGGGCTGGGGGGGGGCTCAGTGTCCCGTGTTTGTTTGTCCGTGGAGTGATTTACTCGTCACCCCGGGGTCCAGATGTGAAAACCGTTTTCGTGGGGAACGTTCTAAGGTGATATACACGGAATGTTGTTTCAGAATCCCACATGGTGTACGATTTGTGTTAGCGCATTCGCACTGAATGGCTTTTCCCTAAGACATCATGGGGTTTTTCCCCCGCTCCCCTGAACCGTGGATCCGTTTTGGTGGTTGTTTTTGCGGTGCCCTGTTTGGGGGTTGAACCAAAGGAAGGTCCAAGCGAAGTTCGGAGGTTGCGCATCCCAATCGCAGGCCGCATCCCTTGTTCGCGGCAGAACAGAGGGGCGTGGGAGACAACTAAAAGAGTTGAAAGAGCCAAAGAAGAACTAGGTCTCCCAGCTAGGTGTCCTTTTACCGTTTACTTTTTGGGTGAGGGTTCCCCGGTACCCTTATTCTAGCCTCTCTACTGAAAGACCTAGACGACACGTTTTGTCCCTGCGTATGTACAACACTTGCAGTGGCTTTTATTCACGACAAGCGCGTCTCATTAACAGAAGCCACTTCCCCGTTCTGGATTTCGAAGATCATGTTCGAGGCCGGAAAGTCTCCCTGGACCCGAGATTGTACCCACCTGAAGGCAATTTCAGCCAATCTGGGTCGTACTTTTGAGTCAGCAATCCCCTCACATGCGGCACGTGGGTGTTTCGTTTTTCCGGGGCGTGGTACCCTTGGAGTGTTTTTTTTGACAGCAAAACCAATAGACAACTGCAGCCATGCAAGCCAACACATTTTGGGCCTGGTGTTGTCTCCTGAGAACCCAAGCGCCTCTGGAATCCGGCTGGAAAAATCTTCATAGGCGACCACCTCAAGAGAGGTGGACACGATCCCCCACCCAAGCTTCCTGTTTAAGACCCCTCCCCCCCCCCCCCCTTGCCCCCCCTTCCCCCCCCAACCTTCCCCCCCCCCCCTTCCCCCCCCGTGCCATGGACACCTATTTTGTAGCCAAGAGCCCTAAAAAAAACAACACCCTAAATGAAGGAGGTTGCAAAATAGATCCCAACTGTCCATCATACCATCCACCCCCCCCCCGCACGCACACCCCCCGCCCCCCCCCCCCCCCCCCCCTGTTGAGCCACAATCAAAACCCGGCTAGATGAAGGTTGGTAAGGCACAATCCCAACCATAAATAACTGCGGACATCCGCCTTCTCAATTCTTGAAGCATGGTTCTGGGATCACGACCATTTTGACACCGGGTTTTGATACCCCCCCACCCCCCCCGGCCCGCACCCCCCCCCCCCTCCCTTGTTGGGTAGAGAAGCATCCGAGGTGTTGACCCCGGACACGGAGGAGAACAACGGGTTCCAAGCTGGGGTGTTGAGCAGAGCCTCAGCTTCAATATTCGCACAAAAGTTGCTGGCTCCTTTGATTCCCCCCAACAAAAACGCAAGCGTCTCTTTTGTGTGTGTGTGTGTGTGTGTGTGTGTGTGTGTGTGTGTGTGTGTGTGTGTGTGTGTGTGTGTGTGTGTGTGTGTGTGTGTGTGTGTGTGTGTGTGTGTGTGTGTGTGTGTGTGTGTGTGTGTGTGTGTGTGTGTGTGTGTGTGTGTGTGTGTGTGTGTGTGTGTGTGTGTGTGTGTGTGTGTGTGTGTGTGTGTGTGTGTGTGTGTGTGTGTGTGTGTGTGTGTGTGTGTGTGTGTGTCTGTGTGTGTGTGTGTGTGTGTGTGTGTGTGTGTGTGTGTGTGTGTGTGTGTGTGTGTGTGTGTGTGTGTGTGTGTGTGTGTGTGTGTGTGTGTGTGTGTGTGTGTGTGTGTGTGTGTGTGTGTGTGTGTGTGTGTGTGTCTGTGTGTGTGTGTCTGTGTGTGTGTGTCTGTGTCTGTGTGTCTGTGTGTCTGTGTGTCTGTGTGTCTGTGTGTCTGTGTGTCTGTGTGTCTGTGTGTCTGTGTGTCTGTGTGTCTGTGTGTCTGTGTGTCTGTGTGTGTGTGTCTGTGTGTCTGTGTGTCTGTGTGTCTGTGTGTCTGTGTGTCTGTGTGTCTGTGTGTCTGTGTGTCTGTGTGTCTGTGTGTCTGTGTGTCTGTGTGTCTGTGTGTCTGTGTGTCTGTGTGTCTGTGTGTCTGTGTGTCTGTGTGTCTGTGTGTCTGTGTGTCTGTGTGTCTGTGTGTCTGTGTGTCTGTGTGTCTGTGTGTCTGTGTGTCTGTGTGTCTGTGTGTCTGTGTGTCTGTGTGTCTGTGTGTCTGTGTGTCTGTGTGTCTGTGTGTCTGTGTGTCTGTGTGTCTGTGTGTCTGTGTGTCTGTGTGTCTGTGTGTCTGTGTGTCTGTCTGTCTGTCTCTGTCTGTCTGTGTGTGTGTGTGTGTTTGCCTCGCTCCCCCGTTCGGGTAAAAAAGGCGGGAGTTGCCTAAGCAACCCGAATGCCAGTCGTGCGCTCTGAGAAACGTGAGGTATGCTTTGAGTGATGTAGGTACAAGTCGTATTTGAATAGGGAACCACCGCACAAGTGGACATGAATCTCCACCAAAATCTGATGTCAAAGGTCCCCACCAAAATCTAATGTCACCAAAGGGTCCCCAATTGTACATGCGAAAGAGAAGCAACCCTGGGGGACACTCCTCAGCTTCAGTCTGAATTGAGCCCAGCTGGATCCCGTCCTTTTCTGGGGTTAGCTTCCTTTCCGAAAGTCAACTGAAGTCTTCCGAATCCTAGGTGGTTGCGTCTTTTTTTGGGGGGACTCCCTTTTTGGGCTGATCTAAAAGGAAACCAAAAGGAAAGCCAGCATCTTGGTGCCCTAAAAGAGGCCCACCTAGGTCAACCTAAATTCCACCTCGTTCCCTGCGCATCCAAATGCCCGTCGAGTGGCTTCGAATGTGTCCTGTTCAAAAACAAATCCTTCCCCCGCAAATGAACTTGGACCTCGAAATCGAGTTTCCTCTACACATGGTTTTCTTCGGGTTCCAAGGCTAATCCTTATGCCTCGATGGTGGTTTCCCTTCGCACAAATGGCCGATTTGGATTGGGCAATGTTACGCTCCAGTGTGCAAGTGTTCCATTCCTGCCAGTCTTCCAGCGCTCCCAATGCAAGAGTTCCAGTGTTCTCGAGTTCCAGTGTTGCAGTGTCCTAGTGTTCCATCCAGATTTTGGGACACCCCAGGCGTTCCCACCCCTTTCAGACGCACCGGGCGTGGCTTTGTTTGGAGGCTAGTAGAGGTCTTGCCTCGCAAGGTGTTTTTGGGGGCACCTACGGAAAAAAGAAACTCGCCGTTTCCGGGGTCACATGTTGGAAAGGAGGGGTATTTTTGTTTAGGGTTTTTTTTCTTCGTTTTTTCTTTTGGATTCCGAAACGAATCCGCACCCTTTTGGAAACACCCCAACCTTGCAATGTGGAAGTTCGGCTACCCACGGTTTTACAAAGTTTGGAGTTGTTGCCCATATTTGACCAGCCACGGTCAGTGCACAACACCTGCTTGATTGGCGTTATGAGCATACGTAGGTGACCTTTTAAGGTTGGTTTGGTTGAACATTGATGGCACTGAGTTCAGTCAAACATGGTGATTTAATAGCCGGATCCATCTATTTTGTTCAAACGCACATCCAGGTTGGGGAATCTTCCATTTCCCCCATCTCCCCCGGCACTAAATTGATGAGTTCGCCCCTTGAGCTTGTGGGTGAGGCCGAACGTTGGCCAACAAAAACGGGGGGGGGGGGGGGGACAAAAAAAACAACCAACGCCCATCACGCCCCGAAGCCGGGACACCCAGAGACCCTTCCGCCGGGTCGATGTTGGTCTCATTTTCCCCGAGGCGTGGGGCCCTTCTATGCCTCCTGCCCATGCGGCCGGGCGCGGCAGTTCTCCGTGGGTGCGAGTTTTATTTGGAGGGCCATTTGGTTCCAGGATCGGTGTTCTTGTTTTCAACTTTTTTGTTGGTTGTTCTCCTGGGCTTGTGATTTTACTTGGGGATTCAAGGTCCATTTTTGAGGTTCCCTCTAGCTATATTCATTATTGGGGATAGCTTTGCTTTCAAGGTAGGACATAGGAGTCTAGGTTGCCAGTTTCTGTGAATGCAGGGGAATCCCTGTGCCAAAGTCATGAGAATCAACCACCTTGGTATCGCAGCTGTACTTGCCACCATGACAAGTTGCAGGGATTTCTGGCCAAACGGGGGGGGGTTAATCCAAGTAAAGGCTTTTTTTTTGTCGCGCTTTACGCGCCTCTTTGGTTCGCCTCAGCATCTTAAAAAATCATCGTGCTGGGTGTTCCCTTTTTTTGAGACACCCTCGCAGAAGCCTGTAGCATGTCGGGTGCGCTTCAAATACTACTTCCAGAAGGGGTACGTCTCAAGCTGCGGCGCCCTCGGCTCGTTTCTCCTTGGTTTCCCTTTGAACCACTTCAGCAAAATCCACTAGGGGTTCTGCTTAATCCGGGGTTCGCATTATACCGCCTTTTTTGTTTTGTTTGTTTTTTCAGCACTGGGAGCTCCTGATGCTGAGGTTGGGATTTCTCCTTCTATCACATCCTCATCAAGCCAGCCGCGTCCTGAGCGCAAGTTGTCACATGGCTGTGGTTGTCAAAACGTTTTGGTACCCCTGGTGAACGTCAAAATAGGTGGCAAATGGATGTTCATCCACCCCCAAAACGGAGCCATAGGTTATGCCCCATGGCCATGTGAGCCAAGGTAAAACCAATGGTACCATTTTGGTTGGTAGGTGAGTTCACCACCCTGGATTGGGATTTCACTGGGGGTACGATTTGGCTTTTGACCCATGGCCACATTTGACATGCGCCCCTGGACTGAATCAATTACCTCAAAGAAAAAGCCGCTGATTTTGTAGTAGCTCGTATTTCGATAAGTTGCTTGCATGGGAACGAGGTCGGATTGGTCGACTTCTGTATGCGAATCGTCACCCGGAAAGTGAACAATAGCAATTCAGGAGGTTTTTATTGGTAAGGGGTCCCTCAATTCCCCTTTTTTGGACCTCCAACAGTGGCATTTTTTTGTTGGACCCCGCCAACCGCAACTTTTGAAGGGCAAACCCAGTGACCGTGGTATCAGGAAAGTGCCTGACAAAGCGGTGAGGACACAACCTACTATACGGAAGTCATGTCCTTGCCGGAGAATTTCAGGCTGGACGCTCGGAAGACGAAAAACTGCCATGCGCAGGCTGCGCCAGTTCACTTGGGCTAGGTGGAAGTCCGACGCCAGCACCTGAGGCAATTCTACTGAACTATGGCTGAAAAGGACCCTGATGTGGGGTTCCCGTTCTTCCCGTTGTACAATTGTGGTTGTAAACATCAACATGCGGGCCAATGTCAGAGTGAGTTTCATTTTGGTGGGGTGATGCTGGAGAAAAATATAGGGATCCCTGCAGGGTTTCTCAAAATGATGGGCCTCTTATTTTGGTTGGTATTTAAAGGGAACCAACAGGAAAGCAGCAATTCTGGCAACCCCTACTTGGAGAACACCCATCTGGGGCAAACCTACAAAGATGACTTCAGGGCACCCCCTTAGCGATTTGAGCTGTGGGACACTTTTTTTCTTGGGGGGGACTCCTATGTTGAGAAGCACCGATTCGCGAATCGGTCAGCGGTTGGTTCATATAGCCCTTGCCATCGCCAGGCTTCGCTACTGGTCCCCCAGGCCAGACGACGCCGCAGCCTTACGCGCTTCTCTTTCAAGGCTGCCGAGTGTTTGTCTACGTCCAGTTCCGCCCAGGTTTGAAATCAAAGTCATGGTACATCAAAGGGCTTCAGCCCATGTTTGAGCCCTGGGTTACCCAAGTGGGGTTCGCTATTCTTCCAGCCCCCCCCCCCAACCTCTTTGGACCCAACCAGAAGTCGAGAAAACGGATGGTCAGGGTTGTGGGAATGATGCGGAGTCAACTGAGAGAAGCGTTCCCACCTGCTCGTTGGAAAGGTCCTGAGCCCAAAAGCTGAACCCATGGCTGACGGGCTTGCCGCAAGTCAGAAACTGGGGCTTTGAGCGTGAACCTACCCAACGACAAGGATTAAGAATGGTAAGATCATGAGGCCAGATAAGGGGCTACTCACTCTTTCAGAGCTAGCTTCCGTTCACCCTGATTCGCTGGGGCATCAGCGAATCACGCGAATCACCGGATTCGAGCCTCCTGAGCTGATAAAAAGGTCCACAGCAAGAGGAACCATCGCAGGCTTATAGCCACTATTGGTGACTAATAGTGGCTTTTTGGAGCACTAAGGGCCAGAATGGGAACCTCGGATGAACAAGCATCCTATTCGGTGACACCTAAACTAAAATGATGAACCCCCTCCCACTAAAAAGGGGGAGATGTGTCTATTCAACAAGGGGTTGAATCCGAAGTCAGCTTATTTCTCCGAATCTTGGGCCCAGCCATGGCCCTTGAATTCGTCTAGGTCCCCCAGCTAGGTGCCCTTTCCCACCCCTTTTTTGGTTGGGAGGAACCCCTCCTACTAAAATCGACGGCACAAAAAGAATCGGCCCCCATTAACCCCCCCCCCCAGTTGAGGATTGGCTGCCTGATACGATTTCTCAGGTTTTTTTTCTTCTTCAGGGATCGCCTGTGTCAACTTGGCCCAGCCATGGCCCAGCCGAGTTCTTAAATTCGCCGTTTGGCTCAGTCCATCCTGCTGGAGATCTTCTACCCGGACTCCCGGGGCGTGAACGTCTTCGTGGGGAGCCAGCGGGAGCCCGACATGGCGCTGAAGCTTGCGGCCGCGGCCTCGTGGGACGGGGTGGGGGTGAGGTGGCTGGGGGGAGGTGGCGGGGTGTTGGGGGGTGGGGTTGGGGTTGAAGAATTCAGGTGGCGGGTTTCAGGCTAGGATGCTTTGCTGGGTTGGTTGGTTGGGTTGGTGGGTTGGTGGGTTGGTGGGTTGGTGGGTCGGTGGGTCGGTGGGTCGGTGGGTCGGTGGGTCGGAGGGTCGGTGGGTTGGTGGGTTGGTGGGTTGGTGGGTTGGTGGGTTGGTGGGTTGGTGGGTTGGTTGGTTGGTGGGTGGGTCGGTGGGTGGGTGGGTGGGTTGGTTGGTTGGTTGGTTGGTTGATTGGTTGGTTTAGTGGTTTAGTGGTTTGGGAGGTATGTTTAGGGCTTAGGATGTTTTCGGGTTGGGAGTTGTTTAGGGTTGACTTGCGGATGGCCATCCATGCTACCTGCAAAACGGTTGGGAATAGACTGGTTTGTGATTGAATTGCCTCTTCAACATCCTCCCAAAAAAGGGTTCCCCAAGTGAGGAACCGCCTTGCAAAGTTCCCAATCGAGGCCCACAAAATTGAGATCCGCATTCCCACTTTGGCCACTTGGGGGGGGGAGGGACAATCCCAAAAGAAATTCAATTACATGGTGGTTGTTGGGAAGCACTTTACATTGTTGCTTGTTTTTTAGTGGGAAATCCCCACTTAACTGCTAAGATTTGCTCCCCTTCCAAGGTCAACCAAGATTAGGGCTTCTCCTTATGGCTGGGTGAACATGCCAAAACTTTAAATCTGGTTGCCTTGCTATTGGGTAAATCAAGCTTTCGGCTGCCAGCCTTCTGGTTTGCGGACCAAGAGGCAGCCACTCAAATCTGGGGGTCCAAATTCCGACAAGCTGCTCCAGGGGGTCCATGGGTCCTTTCCCAGCCTCCCAAGGGCGAAATCCGCGAATCCCAGCGAGTCATCCCAGCCGATCGATTCGCGTGGATTTTGTCCACAAGTCTCCAGTTGCAGGTCCCCCCTGTTGTGACTGGTGTGGACCTGCAACTGGTGTACTGGTGTGCAACTGGTGTGCAACTGGTGTGCAACTGGCGTGCAACTGGCGTGCAACTGGTGTGCAACTGGCGTGCAACTGGTGTGCAACTGATGTTTCTGGGGTGTCCAAGACCCCAAGACCCACTGTTCCTTTCGCCGAGCCTCAGGAAAGGCCTACGCTGTCCAGCTCGCACACCTGCCCTGTTTCTGATTTCCAGAGTTTTGCGCCGGTAGGACCCTGGCTGGTGTTGTCACGGTGGCCTTGGCCCGGGAAGACTCTTATGGGTCAGCTGGGTATGGGCCAAAACGAAGCCACCAGTCCTTGTGTCCATTGAGGGCTCCATTTGGCCATGGGTCATAATCTATGCCTCCATTTTGGGGGGGATGAACACCCAGGTACCACCTATTTTGATGTTCACCAAGGGTACAGGGTTTTGACCCACAGCCATTTTGGGCTCCTTTTGACCCACATCACTCGCAGATATCTTCACTCTGCACTACACATTGCTCGAATTCTTAGCCGATTTCGGTGCAGAAGTGTTGCTCGCCTGAAAACACTGGCCACGCAAGGATACTCCACAGATGAAGATGGAACCCACAGACCCGCGATTTGTAGATTTATGGGGGACCTCTTTTTTTCTAGGGGTTCATTCCCCATTCTTTTCAACCATCGTTCTTTTGAAAAACCGGTCGCGGTTCCTGCTGGGGTTCTGATGGTTTTCTGGAAAGATCCGGATCCCTGGAAAGAATGGGGAAGTTTCCCCTAGAATAATATGAATCAACCCCAGGTGCCAGTTTATGAATATGGGGGTGCGGGCCCCTCCAAAAGTGATCTGATTCCACTGAAGTGTCCCCTAATTTTTTGGGGTTCCATGTGAACTTGTACAGGGCTCCTTAAAAGATACATTTTGCCACCATTTGAGAAACATGTTGCTTTTTCCGTACCAACATAAAAGGGTTTCCCACCATTAGGCGGAGTGTTCAGGTGTCATGCGCTCCTTAACGGCTGGTGGCCAAGAAACATTTTCTTCGCAGGCGAGGGACTTGGTGATCCGGTGAAGCTGATGAACGGATTTTTGGAAAGAACGGGGAAGTGGCAGAAGATGGAACCCACAGACGTCCGCGATTTTTTCGGGTTCGTCAACCTAACCCACAGACGTCCGCGTTTTCTCGGGGTGGAGCCGCAGATTTTGGGTTCCACGTCTCGTAGGGAAGTGGGACCCGGTCTGCCCCAAGCTCGCCAGGCATGGCGCACATGTGGTGGATGCCCAGGCCTTGCGCCAGGAGCTCAGGGCCAGAGCCAGAGCCAAAGCCTCGACCACTTGGCCGAAAGTACTGCACAGGGGTCGGATTTTCCCATGTTTCCAACTTTTGGCGGCTTTTTGGTCCAAGGGGGAATGCTTTTTATTGGGGGTGATGCTTTTTTTGGGGGGGAAATATGGGGAGCCCTGTTACATTGCATTACATACAGTCACAGTCACACAGACACACACACAGTCTTTCGAGAGTCCAACATTTTTTCGAGTTGGGCCCGAGTCTGGATTCGTTTTTGCACCTGCAAGCAAAGGATTCAAGATCAATGATCCGGCAAAGCCCGCAGCAAAAGAAATGAGTCACACTCAAACTCTCATATGAACATGGTCTACTCAAGATCATGTAAAGAACCAAAAGGACGGATTCCCGCACCTATTTGGCTGTGGGCCAAAACCCTTTACCCCTGGTGAACATAAAAATAGGTGGTACATGGGTGTTCATCCGCAACATGGATTAAAAAACAGGTTATGACCCACCGTATACATGGTGCGGTATGTCGCCCTTCTAAGTGGTAACCTCTCCGAAACCCATGGAAATGGCCTTCAGGTTTGCAGGTCCAGTCAGATGGGGTGCAATGAGCTGACCTTTGCGTGCAGTTTGGGTTGACCCCTTCAAGAGCGGGTTTGGTTCTGGCTATAACAGGCTCAGCACAACCCAGTTTCAACGGCCAGATCTTTGGTGTTTGAGTGGGTCCTTGGTGCAGATGCCACCAAAAAAAAGGTTTCCTCAGAAAGTCGCTCCATCTGTGCAGAGCGAGGCTTGGTCGTTACCATGCGCGGATCTACTGAAGGCTTCAACGTGCGGATACCAAGCTCGATCCATGATCATGAGCCGACTTTTTGCCTCAGGATGCTGTGACGACAAAGAGGTACCCTTCCACCAATCAACATGGAGCCTGACACAAATTGCTGGGTTGGACCATGTTCGTTTTCAAGGGACCGAGTCTGCAACTCAAGTGATCCAGATGTGAAAAGGGGAGCTCAGGTAGGCTCGGAGGTCCGTTGCCGGCTATGCTCACCAGCGCCATCCTAGGCCAAGTGAATACAAAAGGAGGAAATGATTTTCTCATGAACAAGTAGAAATTAATTAGAGATGTGTATTTGTTGGAGGGGGGTATAATTTAAGGATTAGGGTTTTCAGGGATGGCACGTATTTCTATTGACACTCTTACTCCACAATCTGCGAGACTTGACTGTGTTGGCCATGTGGCTGTGGCTCAAAAACATGTACCAAAATGGCACCTTGGTAAATGGAGCCGAAGACTTCTAACCTGCGTAGCCCTGGGTCTTAAAGTTTTGAGCCACACCCATGTGATTGCAGCCTGGAGTGCCCGGTGCAAAGCTTGGCTTCCTCTTTGCCAGTCAGACGCAGGTTCGCCTTCTTGACCCAGCTAGGTGCCAACTTTCTCACCGCTTCTTTTTTGGTTGGGAGGTTTTTTTGTACCAAAAGGGAATACAGAAAAAATGGTACTTTTATTTTAATTTCTCTACTGGAGGACCTAGTTGGTTAGGCCCTCACTAAACCCCCGCCCCCCAGTTGAGAATTGGCAGCTTGATATACGATTTCTCAGGTAGTTTTTTTTCAGGGATCACTGGTGTTGCACGTACATTGACCCTACATGACTCAAGCTAGTGAAGGATCCCCCTCGAACATGTTTCATGGAGCTCCCATGTTGGCTGTTCACGGCCGATGCCCACAGCTCCAGGCATAGCCCCCCGCCCCAAAATTGGCGCCGCTGAGGCAAACAGATTGGAAGCACCTGGATAAGGGATCCCTGCAAGGAGTCCAGAATCCACTAGGTCTCCCAGTAGTGCCCTCTTACGGAGGGTTCGGGACCCTACTAAAATAGACTACAGGAAAAAGTTGGTACCCTGATTCTAACCTCAAACCACTGGAGAGGACCTAGCGCATTCTCAGTCAGAGCATGTGGCTCTTTTTTCTGCACTCCTTGAAAGATACATTTTGCCACCATTTGAAACATGTCGCTTTTTTCCGTACCAACATTTCCAAGGGGTTTACCAACATTAGGCGGAGTGTTCAGGTGTGGCTCATGTAAGGATCCCTGTTCTGCGCTGCTTTCTTGCGGGCCCAGAAAGCGCTTCGCATGAGGCGCAGAGGGACTTGGTGATCCGCCGCACTCCCACGGTGAAGCTGAAGATGAACATTGAGCCGGAGCCCCAAACAAAAAAACCCACTCAGTGGCTGCTCAAAATACAAAAAAGGGGGGGAGGGGGAACCAAAACCCACTCAGCGGCTGTTCAAAAAACAGTTTTTTTGGGGGGAGGGGGAACCAACAGGTTGCCTTGACTGCTAGTGGGCAACGGATCTGTTGACTTTAAGTTTTTGGTTGAAATCAAGTTGGGTTTTCCGGACTAAACCCCCCCCAAAAGTTAGACTTTTTGCAGGCACCCTTTGTTGGGCGTGGTTTTGTAGGGGCCTCTGTTTTTTAAGACACCCAAATGGAGGCTTGGATTAGCAGTACAAAAGGCTTGGGGAGCCATAGCAGCCTAGTGACTTGTGACCCTGGACTTTTCTGTTGCCGGATTGCAGGGTGTCACCCTTTAAGGGTCACAGGGCTTTTGCATCCCTTTGGCTTTTACGACTGCACGTACGACTGGTACTTGCCCCAAGCATTAGCTGTCAACGCCGTGGGTTTGTCGTGTTTGTTGGCGTAGCCTCCCTTGACATGAGTATTTGCCCCAGGGCTGGTCACATTTCTTTACACATCTCAGAACTGAACCAACCTGAAGTCAACAGCTCCCAAGCGAAAGGAACAATCAGGAGTCGCAGCGGAATGCCAGAGCGCACGCAGACTCAAGTGCATAAACAGAGTATTCCAAAGCAAACTGTATAGACATATACATACTATCCCAACATACACTCATAGGCAAAAATCAACAGAGGCCAGTTGATGCACCCACCCACCCACCCACCCACCCGCCCGCCTGCCCGCCCACCCACCCACCCAGTCCGGGCGGCATCCGGCCATTCTTCTGGCGTCTGAGGATCAGCATCGAGGAGTTCAACGCGGACCAGTTCCAAACGAACTTGGCCATTCTGCTGGGCATCCCACCAGAGCGCATCGTGGTCCGAGCCTTGGAGACTTTTGTTTAATGTTGACCCAGAAGAAAAGAAAAGAAGAAAACAAAACGAAAAACAAAAAACCGGAAGGTTAGTATGGGGGTGTCCCTGGTTTTAGTGGGGATTGATCACTTTTGGAGGGGCCCCCACCCCCATATTAAGAAACAGGGGTTTATGAATCCGGGGTCAACATTATGTCGATTGAGAGAGGCATTTCTCAAGTCGGCAAGGCCAGCTTTTCTTTGTTGCATGTTGCCAAGGGATGTTAGGACTTTCACTTTTTGCCAACTGGCGGGTTTTCCATACAACCACGATAAGTTGCACTTTTAGCAGGGGAGCAGAAAGCAACCGAGTTTTTTGGTGGCGGATATGGGAAGGATCGTTTTGTGGATTTGGGACGGCTCTTGGCAAGATGTTCGGAGATAGGGTGTGTCTTTGTTTGGGCGGGGAAGCCAAAGGGAAGCCGGGCCCTATTGGGACATGGACATGCGGAGACGTTTGACATGGTTTGAAGGAAGGTACTAGGAAGCCACCCATTTCTGGAGAGCCCTTTCTTGGAACTGCCAACAGCTTCCTGACTTGAACCGATTGTTTAGAAGCTTGACTCGAAGAGAGCACTATGCCAGATCATCCCCTTGAAAGTCCCAGGTGGTCCCCGTTTTGACTTATACGGGAGTGTCATTTTCTGAAGGAACCCAACCTTTTGGTTGGGTTTTAAAGTGAGCCCAAAGGAACCCACCGTTTGGGTGTGCCTTTGAGGTAAGTCCATATTCCTATGTGCAGTGAGTGCTGAAGATGACCCCTATGTGAATTGGTTTGGCAGTGTTTAACCAGTGGGTCGCCTCAAGTTGTTCGGGGGCACCCTTTATTCGCCAGCCACCAGCATATGTAGACTGGACGGTTGAGGTCGGTAGGGGGCCATGGATCCTTCGGGAGCATGGGCCGTTGTAAGAGCAACCTGCTAAGGGAACCACGGCTGTGGGCCACATAGATTCATATTTAATAACAAGTTTTGACCATGGCAAATATGAGCAACAGTCAATACTCACTGTTATGCAAGTCATTTGCTGTAGTAAAGGGGACGCGATTGGGTACGCTGACCAAATAAAGCTTAGATGAACGGGTGTTGCTCACCATTTGTTGGGGACAACTAATGTTGCCTACATGCCTGCACACCTACATTATTCCTGCCTACCTTATTCCTACCTACTTGACCTACCTACTTCTTTTGTGTCTATGGTTGCTAAGAAAGTGTTTTTATTAATTCATAATTTTGAGTGTTCTGAGGGTCGCTTGAATAGAAAGCGGTTTTGCAAACAAAAATAACAAAACAATCCGGGCAAACAAAGACAGCACAAATGCCAGATCAAAGAGAGTTGTTTATCCACGCCCTTCTCACTAAAGGCATACTTAGGTTTGGGAATTCCTGTTTTTGAAGCGGCCCCCAAAGCAACGATTTGTAGATAAAACCTAAAACCAAAACACACCCAAACAGTTGTTTTTAACTAAATTTAGAATTGGCCATACTAAGTTAGTAGTGGCAGGACTAAATTGAGTATTGGCAAGTCCAAGTCCAACCCAGACCCCCCACCCTCCTTGCCCACTAAGGAGACACCCCGCTTGCCAAATGAGAAGCACACCCACTCAAGTGCCCCCCACTTAGCACGGCACACACACACACACACGCACACCTACAAGGGCCCTGCCACATGATAAGCACATCCTCTCACCCGCTGAGCACCCGACTGATACTTGTCCTTTGCGCATCCGCGCACGATCAACGGCAGTCGCAGAATGTATTGAGCTGCTTTACTGGTGCATGGTTTGATTCTTGATACTCTTCTGACGTGCAAGACGTCGCCGCAAAAACTTTTGCGCTGCCTTTAACAAAACTGCTGAAACCGCAACTGTTGTCCTGCGAAAGTGCCCAATGACTGCCATGTAAAGCATGAGCTGTTGTCAAACGAGGGTTTTCCATATGTGAAAGCATTGGTACCCCGGACTTCTGATTTGAGCTACGGAAAATTTCGGAGGGGGTGACTTTGCAAGGCCGAGTTTGAAAGAGTACGGAGTTGCAAAGCAACGCGCGGGTGAGTATTTGCCCGGCGCATACTAACATGCCTGCATTCCCCAATCTGACGCATTTTTCTTGCGTGCCAACCAAGGTTTGGCAGAAATTGTTTGACCAAAACCTTGGTCCCTTTAAAGGGAACAACAAGCAGGTTTAAGCAATAGCGGGTAACCATGTTCCTGGACATGCAAACCACGCTGAAACATGGGATATGGCACTCAGATTCCGGGTGAATTCCCCCATTCTAAAGGGTAATTCCATGTTTTCCAAGGGTAAAAGTAGATGGTGCATGCCCCCCTTTTGCTGGTGATTTTGTTGTGATGACCTGTTTTCCATTTGGGGGGACCTTTTTTTCCCGTGTGGGGTTCCCTTCAACACCATCGCACACGCCTGAAGCAGCTTTGACCACGGCAGGTGGCTGCCGTCTCTGCCCGACGCCGGCTGACCTTGGTGGAGACGGACGAGTCAGATGCCAGCTCTGTGCTGGGCACCTGGTCAGTTTGATGTTTGAGATGCCGGACGATTTCGCGCTCGTATGGCACGTATGGAGTTTTTTTTTTTTTTTTTGTAAAGCCATTGGGTGGGTTTATGTTTTTCTTTTCTCCCAGGGTTTTCAAAGCGTCCCAAAGGCTTTGGGGTCCGTTTCGGGCAGCGGAGATAGCCTAACTACCGTTGGGGGTATCCTAGTTTAGGAAACTCCCACACCCTGCATCTGCTCTTTACCTGAGCTCTTTTAATTCTCATTGGGCGCTGAGAAGAACTTTGTGGCAGTGATGCGGTCGCAAGAAGCCAAGGCTCAAATAAATTGCCGACATGTACACCATGTGAGGATGGTCCGCTTTGAACTTTCAGATTTGCTCTGAGGCTTTGTACTTCCTTGGACGATTGTCAGACGCCAAGCCAGAGCCTGAGCAACAGTGCAACCTGCAGCGGGCATGCTGCATGCCCGGGCAAAGCGGCGTGAGACCCGAAGCAGAGGGATGCTTGTTTAGGTGCTGACCTTGTGCCAAACGTCTTGGGCCATTGTGGAATTGTAGGAGTTGAACTTAAAACAATCCCCTTTGACCAACTGGGTGTGGCTCAAAATTAAACAGGAGGGGTTACGCAGGTTTTGGTCCATGTTTCCACTTACCAGGGTTGCGTTTTGGTACCGTTTTTTTTTGAGCTCAGGTCTTAGGCGTGCAAGTCAGTCGATGCTAACCACTCCGAGGGGCTTAGTTTGTTGCAACCGCCCAAAGGTGAAGCGGACACCTGAGCTCACAATCTTGGGATTGGCCCCCTGTCCTCACCTTCAGAAAATCAACCCACAGTTGCGGAAAATGGGTTTTGGCATGGTTTAGTGCAACCTTCTGTGACGTCAAAGGACCCCCCTTCCAAGTAAAACTAGTCATAGGGATGGGAATCCTAAAATCAGGCTGGGACAAATGAGCGGCCCCCCGAGTGTGGAAACCCTTTTCAAGGGAGGAGGTTCATTTCAGACCCTGAAATGCTACTTTTCACACCGGATCAATCGCGCGTGCTTTTCCAGGGCGTCGTTTGGCGACCACCACGGCCACTGCTTTGGACGTGTCCATTACCCCCTCGGACGATGCCGTCGGGGACTCAGGGCATGGCATGGACGTGAGGCCCGGCGCTGCACCTGGACAGCCATGTTGCCGTTTTTTTTTTTTCCGCCAGGCATCAACGCAGTCGCAGTTCATGGGAAAAATACATGTACACATTTTTACCTTAAAACCCTGACAAGCAGTGATCATGAATATAATACCCTCCCTCCCACTAACATGGCAGCTGACACAGGGTACCCCCAAGAGGAAAGTCATTCTACGGATACCCTCCCACAGGTGGTATGTTTGTTGGAGGGAGGGTAATTCATTTTAGGCGCTCGAGGTGGTGTGTGTCTGGTTGCATAGCTTCCTGCTTCTGTTCATCATGTTTCCGTTGTCTACCCTACCTCCATTTGCTGAAATGAAATTTTATTTATTGTCCCTTGTTGGTTTTAAAAGGAATTCATCACTACTGCAAGTATTGTTATTTTCTCCTGGGGACTTAACCAAATGGAAGTCTTGTATTCGCAGGTCTTTTGAGCAGGTTTGTTTTAGATGCTTAAGGGTTTCTTTTCGGTGTCCTTTCAAGAGCCGTCCAGGAGGGGCATGGTGTTTTTGGAAGCAATTTGCTGAAATGAACCTTTTTTTATTTTCCCTGGTTGGTTTTAAAAGGAATTCATCACTACTGGACATATGTTTGTTGTTTCCTGGGCCAAATGGAAGCCTACCATGTGATTTGAAGCAAAAGTCTGTTGACTGAAGTCCCCTGCCACGAGGCAGCCGCAGCATCTGGCGGCGACGCGGCCAGCACAGGCCGGCCGGACTTGGTGAGAACGCCCTCGCCGCTAGGTGCCAACTTTTACCGTTTCTAAAATAGACTACAGAAAAAAAGAAAGAAAAAGAAAGCATCGGGCACCCTCATTCAAGCCTCTCTACTGGAGGACCTAGAGCCCTTTCGAGCATTATTTCAGGAGCTGAGTGCTGCTTGTTTGGCTCGTAGCTTCCAAGAGACGGTGAGTGGGAGAGGTAGGCGAGACTTGGAGTTGTCGCTAGTTCCATGACCCCGCACCCGACTTGTTGAACCATTAAAGTTGCTTGTTTTCCTCCAATCGCCGGAGTTCTTGGCTGGACTCCAAATCTGTGCGGCGGTGCTTCGCCATTCCCCTGCCTCAAAACTGGGGGATGCTCTCCCTCACGCCTTTGGGTGACCCAAGCGTATGTCTCCAGGGCTATTTGACACACAATGTTAACCCCTTCAGAACCCCCCCCTCCCTCCGCAAAATGTGGGGATGCATTGCTTTTCTGGGGACTCTGAACAACATGGGTGGCTTATTTTGTTTGGGTCAAATATTTACCCTCGAGGGCCTAGTGATCCGGCAAATGGATACCGGTTGTTCCTCTTTCATACTCCTTTTTCGTACTCCTTTGCTGTGCTACAGGGCTGGATCCACCAAAACCGCATCCAAACCGTTTCCTAGAAGTGAATGAACCCCCCCCCCCCCCTTTCCGGAAATTGTGGGGATGCCTGCCTTCCATGGGGACCCTGAACAACACCCATCTTGTGGGAACTGTTCTTTACCATTTGGAGACAACCCCACGTATAGATGTTTTAAGTTGGGCTTCCGCCTCCAACCCCTCCCAAAAAACAGTTCATGAGGTATGTAACCTTCACCGGCTAAAGGCTTGCCCCAGTTTTTTGGGGGCTTCTGTCTGGGTCGAACATTTTCCACCGAGGTCCAGAGCCGGAATTTCGGATCCTTTTTCTCGAGGCACGGATGCCTTGAACGCACAGACCTCGGAGCTGACGGAGGTCCTCGCCTCAGAAAACTCTCGAAGCAAGTCTTCCATTTTTTTTAAATATATATATATATATGTACATATATTTATATATATTTATTATTATATTAACCCTTGTTGGTTTTAAAGGGAATCTATCACTAATTACTGGAAATGTTAATTTTCTTCCCGGCGGCTCAAGCAAATGGAAGAAGTTCTTTGTGAGCCGGGCTTGAGAGCGGGGAAACAAAAACAGGTGCTGCCGTGTCTTTTGGTCGAGTTCCCCCCAAAACCCCCCCTAAAAAAGGGTCCGTGCTTGAGAGCGGGAAAAAAGGTGCTGCGTGTCTTTTGGTGGGGTTCCCTTTTTCTTTCCTGGCCACTGAACATCTGAGAATTTTCCTGTTTTGAGGATAGCCATCGAGAGGTCGTTGCGTAGACGGAAAACAGAATCTGCATTTGCTGGACCCCCCTATTGTTTTGACACATGCTAGCTGTACTTCTCTCATTGTTTCAGGGATCTCCTTTTTGAAAAATGGGCAGACACCGAAAACCGGATTTGCTGGAGCCCTCCTGCTATTTTGACACATGCCCTTCTAGCTGCACTTCTCCCATTGTTTCATCGAGGAGACTTTGAGTGGTAGAAGGATGGGTGAAAAATAGTTTGAACCAAGCTGCTGAACCATGGGCTCAAGTATGTGGCGGAGCTTGTACAAATCAATGAGCATGTGCCTGATATGCAAACAGGTCTTTGGCGGAGCGTCGTGTACCTCGGGACCTCTAGGGTTGTGCCTCTGGGAATCACATCCCGGAAGGGTTGCTACACGCTCCCTTGAGTCTACATGGGTGTGTAATAAAGGGAGGCATAGTTAGCTTTCCTTTGGTTTCCCTTCAAACCCCAAGAAGGGTGCCCTTAAATGAGAGACACCCCCCACATGGGTTATGTAACGAGTGTGAAGCCATGTGGAGAAAAACTCGTTTTCCAGCGGTAAACGACAGTCCTGGAGCTGGTGTGATTTCAGAGTTCTCAGCCTCATGAAGCGTGCCGGGGTGTTTGCATAGTGTTTTCAACAAGACCCCTTGCTAGACTTGCTGGATTTATGCAACCACCAACCCATTTTTGAGTTGGTCTTCCAAACATCACGGGCAGAACAGGCACGTTGTTTCCGTGTGTTGTTCCACAACAGCTGAAAGCTTTGGGGTCTCAGCCCAGATAGGCTCCGGGGTGGCCAGGGGGCGGCCCTGGGGTAAGGTCCCACGAGGGTTGCATCAGGGTTCCACGAAGGTTCCACCAGGGTTCCACCAAGGGTTCCACGACATTTCCATGAGGTTCTGTGAGGGCTGCGGGCTGGTGCGAGCACTAAAAGGAGCACCGCATGCGGTTGGGGATATCACCTGAGCTTTTTTTTTTCCCCCCCGCCGCCGCCCCAGGTGAGCAACAACTTGCAGGCCCTCTCCAGTGGATCAGAGCTGGCGGCTGCAGTGGGCGCCGAGGTCAGCTTCTGGGGTTGGGGGGGAGGGGTGTTGGTGGAGGTTGGTGGGGGGGGGGTTGGTGGAGGTTGGTGGGGGGGGGTTGGTGGGCGGGGGGGGGAGGTTGGGGGTTGGGGGTTGGTGGGGGGGGTTGGTGGGGGTTGGGGGTTGGTGGGGGTTGGGGGTTGGTGGGGGGGGAGGGATGCGGAGGGATGCGGCAAGCCATGCAATGCGCAGATGGTCACCTGCCCCTTTCCTTGGAATATCTGGGGAATGCCAAGCTGCATGTCGGAAGTTCTTGTGGCTTCATATTCTAAATCTATCAGAACCCAGTAGTGCCCTTTGACCTTTTTTTGGGGGAGGGTTCCCCTACTAAAATAGACAGAAAGAACATCGGGTACCCTTGTTCTAAGCTCTGGAGGACCTATCAGAAGACCCTGGCGAAAGGGGCGTCAGACTCACGGCTTACAGTGACAGGTGGTGGTAGAAGAGATCGCTGCTCCGGTGGAACCTGATGAGGCGGGCCGATGCCCGGCGAATCGATGCGTCGATGCGTCGATGCGTCGATGCGTCGATGCGTTTCCGTTTCGGGGGGGGGAGGGGGCGGATGGTTCAATGGTGACGACCAGATCAACGAACTTGGGTGCCCTTGTCCACCTTCCCTTGTAATGTGGGAGTGCCATTTTCCAAGACATGCCGACACCGACGCCTTTATTGTCAGTGGAATTTCCACTTGAGCTCGACCTTTTGAAACCAAATGCCGTTTCCATTAAACCTGCAAAAGGTGATGAACTTTTGCTCAAGGAAAAGCAACTCAGACTTGGGGGTTTCAAAAAAAGAAAGAACCTCACTTCCGACATTGCGGCACTTGCTTGAGAATATCTTATTATGTTCCCTTGTTGGTTTTAAACGGAATTTATCACTACTGGACATTCCTGGATCGCCAGTTGCTGTTTTTTTTCATCCACTTTACCATCCAAAAACCAGCAACAGTGACTGAAAAAAAGAAGCAACTTGGCTATCTAGGTATGTTGTTTTTTCCATTGTTGGTGTTAAAAGGAAGTTATCACTACTCGACATATTTGTTGACTTGTCCAGGGGTCTTAACCAAATGGAGGTCATCGAGCGCCGAATTTCGTTTGGCATGGCGCAGGCGGCCAACGAGGCTGTGCCCAGCGATGCGGAGACGGCGACGGTGGAGGTGAGAGGTTTCAGCTTTCGCATGTGGTGGCTGTGAGGCGTAATGACCCCATATGAATCACCCCCAGGTACCAGTTTAGTAACTTTGTTGCATTTAGCTTGGATGTTAGGACTTTAACTTTTTGCCAACTAATGGGTTTTCCATTAAACCACTAAAAGTCAAACTTTTAGCAGGGGAGCAGAAAGCAACCGAGTTGGTCAACCCCGGTTGCCGGTTTATTAATATGGGGGTGGGGCCCTTCCAAAAGTCATCTAATTCCGCCAAAGTGTGATTTGTAATGACCCCGGATTCATAAACCCCAGTTTATTCGGTTGGGGGGTGTCCATTTTCTGGCTTTGGGGAATCACCACTTTTGGAGGGGAACACCCCCACCCACTATTACTAAAACTGGCAACCAGGGGGTTGATTAGTATGGGGTCAACATGAAGTAGGAACCTTTGGAGGGGGGGCTATGTCCACCAAGCATTTTAGATGGGGTTTCCTATCGAACTTCTTCGAAGCATGGAGCTCTGGGCATCGAGTGCGGCGCTCGATCATTCCTGAACTGTCAACGGAAGTGGGTAACTCCTGATTTGGTGCTGAGGTTTCTTTCTTTTCTTGCAACACCCTTTTCACTTCCGTTGCTGGACATAGGCTATGTCTCCACAGACCCTTGGAGATGTTCGCTGGCTTGAGACTCAGGTCATCGATGTCACTGCGGTGGCCGAGACCACTGCTTCTGCAGAGGTGTCGGCGCAGGCCGTCCTCAACGCAGCCAAGCTGTGGGGGTGGTTTGTTGTTTTGTTTTTTTCATGGATGCCCCTTTTTGGACTGGTTTAAAGGGAATGCAAAGGGAAGCCCGGTTTCCCATTTTGGAGGTTCCCCTATGCAAGCCAAAGGGACCCTTAGGGTTCCATGCCTTTGATCCTTGCTGGAATTAACCTAATCCCAAGAGGGCAACCGGGTACCACATTCAAAGGTTTGGTTTTCCTCAACCTAATCTCCAAAAAACGGTACCGTCCAAAGGCGCACTGACTTTTTTGCCATTCTCGAAGATGCAGTAACAGCCCGCCTCATGCACCATCCCTCCCATCGCAGGGGTTCCGGGTTGTGCGTATTTCAGGTTCCAGCATTCTCGGATGCAGGGAAATGGGTCTGTCTTTTTTCGGGGGATCCCCATTTTTTGGTGGTTCCAAAGGAAAGCCAGAAGGACCACCACCGTTTGTCCCCTGAAAAAGACATACCCAACTGGTCTGCGACACACGGGTCAAGCGGATCTTTCTGCGCAGGCAAACTGTGTCACCACCTTCGGAGTGAGCGTCAGTGAGCTCAGCGTGCTGTGAGGACAGGCCCTTTGATTGCCGGGTGGACAAAGACCGCCACCTAAATGATGTCCATCAAAGGGTCGCCAAGTAAGACTCACACCCACCAGCAAAACTTAATGCAGGTGCCTGGCCATTTTTTCCCCCGTTTTTTTTTGGTTTTTTTTTCTCCGGGGGGGGGTAGTATCCCCGCGGGGATCGATCAAGCGGCCTGACGAAGCGCACTCTAAGGCAACAGTGGGAACTACCAGCAGCATCGTGTACTTGCAGGCTTTCGGCATGGCGACGGATGGGAGTTCTACTCCCTACTCCAAATACCCACTTTTTCTAGGGTATTTTTGGAAAACCTGGCTTTTCAAGGTAAATACCTCCTTTTTTAGTAGAGGGTTGACATGTTACCCTAAAAAGTGGGTATTTGGAGTCGGGGGTAGGGTTTGATTTTTGATTTTCCCAATGCTTAAACCCCGAAATTGATTTCCCCCGAAAGCGTACCTTTGGGTTTGAGCCTACCGCGACCGCGAAATGGAACCCTGGTTGGAATGGTCCGCTTTTTTCACCGCATGTGTTTGTTTTCGCTGTGACAATGTCCCCGGTTGTTCAGTAGCAACTGGAATTCAGAAGCAATTTCCATGAGCACAGGCACAGTGCCTACCGGCTTGCAGTTTTTTTTTTCCACAGGGCCCGAAACGGGGTCTAATTCACAATTGGGCAGCTTGCAGCATTGGGGACGTGTAGCATCCTAAAACCCAGTTTTCACTAGTAACCCACTTAGAGCCCCCCAATTTTTGTATGCCCCGGAAATATGGGCTGCGTGTTTTTTTTTTCTTCCAGCTTGCCTTTAAAGCTTTGAGAGATTCCTGGACCGGCCTAAGGTAAGACCAAAGTTGAGCATTGGCTTTTGAACCTTTTGATTGGGTGCTCACTGGATGTGGGTCAAAAATAGGTCCACACAACGAAACCCTGGTAAATGGAAACAACAGCTAGAAGCTGCGGTCCCTGGTTGAATCTTGACCCATGCCCAAATCACTCAAAACTCTCTTGATGTTTCAAGGAGACACCAAAACGGGAGGGGCAATGATTCTGCACCCAGAATCGCAAGTGCCTGGCTTTCGCGCCTGCAGCCTGAGGCGGTCGCAGTGTCAATCCCTGGTCAGCTTCGATTTGCGGCAAACTTTGCTGCCCAATTCACATGAAGCCTTGTTTCTCCAGTGATGTTCAGAGCTTGGGCTGAAAATGAGATGACATGGACCACCAAAATGCAAGACCCGCAGAGTTTACTTCTTCCCTTGCATGAGAACTAGGTTTTTTTCAGTAGTGCCCTGTTACCCTTTTTTTGGGGAAGGTTCCCCTACTAAACACCCTCCATTTTTTTGTTGGAGGGACCCTTTGGTTGGTAAAACAAACTTTGTTGCATTTGCTTGGATATTAGGACTTTAACTTTTCGCCAACCAATGGGTTTTCCATTAAACCACTAAAAGTTAAACCTTTAGCAGGGAGCAGAGCGCAACCGAGCAAAGCGGCTGAAGGTCCAGCCAACCCCCCCGCCCGGCCATTTTCGCCCCGCGGGTAAATCGGCCAGTCGGAGTTGGCCCATGGCGGCACAACCACCTCGCGCGGAAGCTGAGTGAGGAGTTCTCAGCGTGAGACAAACGTCCCGAGTTTCTAAGGGTACCTTCCAATTCCACATGTGCGCCATGACTGGCGAGTTTGGACAGACCAGGTTCTACTTCCCTACAAGTTGACGTGGAACCCAAAAAGAGGTCCCCCAAAAGGCGGCTCACGCAAGTCTGTGGGTTCTATCTTCTGTCACTTCCCCATTCTTTCCAGGGATCCGGATCTTTTCAGGAAACCATGCACAGTCATGCGGGTATGAATGTGGGGAGCCTTGGGTGACATCAGCAACACATAGCCATGGGGCACAACCTATGGCTCCATTTTAAGGGTGGATGAACATCCATTTGCCACCTGTTTTGATGTTCACCAGGAATACAGGGTTTTGACCCACAGCCACATAGGGATATATGCAACCACCAAACCATTATTGAAACTCTCAGTCATATTCGTCCAAAAATGGCCATGGGTTTGTGGTGAAAAAACCCCGCGAACGTGATGTCCGGTTCGGTGGTTTTCAAGGGACACCAAGCAGAATCCAATCGCCTGGAGGGGCGGCAGTCCCAACTGGTGGTCAGCTGTCAGTTTGGGAGATGGACTTCCCAAGTGAAAAGTAGAGGCCCCAACTTTTTCCCATGTCCTCTTTGGGACCAAATAATATTGTCCGTAGCTCGCAGAATGTGCCCGTGCTCTCCAAGCTACTGTACGCTCTTTTGCATGATCATGTTTTGTCAAGTGCCCTCCAATGGGGGGTGCCGGCGCCGAGTTTTTGCTTCTCAGTTTTATCCTTTTGGGAAGACTGCGAAAAGCGAACCCCAATCTATGCTACAAGCGCTCCTGCTCGTGGTTGTTCATCGGGGACTTGTTCTCTTGAAAGTGAGAAAGTAGACATGGGCATAGACATCAACTGCACGGGTGTGTCTTAAAGTAGGGGATCCACTCAAACATATAAAGAACACATATATATATATATATATATACACATGTGACATATGTTTCCTTTGGTTTCCCTTTAACCCACAACAAAGGGGTACCCTCAAAAAAAACAGGCATACACTGCCAGAGCAAACCTTCTTAGAGAACAACAATCTTTCCCCATAGAATCCTGCAAGTTGTTGCTGTGTCCTTCAAGCGGTTGAATTTCCACACTCCAACGCCTTTAGAGTATGTTAAGTTTAAAAGAGGGTGATCATTGACCATCCCACTCCTGCCACACAAAACTGAGTTGCAAATTCGATCTGTGGGTGATCCACACGGCTTTGCAGAAACGAGCGAGGAATCAACCACCCGGCATCACAAATTTCGGGTCGGCCATTTTCATCACCTTTTCACAGCCTGGCCTTGCCTCCAGCCTCAGGCTGTGTAGCGACGTGAATTCGGGCTTCGAAGGATCCATCACTTTGTCGTGGCGAGCTGAGTCCTCCACTGAAGGAGTGCGACGTTGCCACGTTGTTTTGGATTGGCTTCCGTAGGTGTTGGCCGTTTTCGCGGTCTAGTTTGGAGAACACCAGAAGGGGGGTGAAGGGTTTTGGTAAGTCGTTACCGTCACCAGCTTGTTCACTTGCACTATTCACAGTCAGGCTTGGCGAGCCCAGTTTTGTTTTGGCCCGAGCCACTCAGGAACTGGGTGTGGCTCTCAAAATTAAGCCACCAGGAATTGGACCGCAGGTTTTATTTTTCGGTTCTCCATTTACCAGGGCAACCCATTTTGGGGTTGCCCTTTTGTGACCCACAGCCAAATCATGACTCAGACTCTTCACCCTCACATGTTGGCAAGTCGCCCTCTCCACAAAGGTTGAACATGACTCCTGTTTTGGCATAGAAAGCAGCGCCTTTGCTGCCCTCATTGAATGCAGTGCCATCGACTCGGATTCGATCGCCAAGGTGTAATGCTGGCAGCCTGAAGGCCAACGCGGCCAGCTGCACGCTGGGGGCGTCAGTCCGAAAAGAAACCCCAGGATCAAACATGGAAAGAGGTGTGTGTGCGTGTGTGTGTGTGTGTGTGTGTGTGTGTGTGTGTGTGTGTGTGTGTGTGTGTGTGTGTGTGTGTGTGTGTGTGTGTGTGTGCGTGCGTGCGTGCGTGCGTGCGCGTGCGTGCGTGCGTGCGTGCGTGTGCGCAGTGCGCGTGGCGTGCGCGTGCGCGTGGCGTGCGCGTGCGCGTGCGCGTGGCGTGCGCGTGCCGTGTGTGTGGTGTGTGTGTGTGTGTGTGTGTGTGTGTGTGTGTGTGTGTGTGTGTGTGTGTGTGTGTGTGTGTGTGTGTGTGTGTGTGTGTGTGCGTGCGTGCGCGTGCGCGTGCGCGTGCGCGTGCGCGCGCGCGTGTGCGTGTGTGTGTGTGTGTGTGTGTGTGTGTGTGTGTGTGTGTGTGTGTGTGTGTGTGTGTGTTGTGTGTGTGCGTGCGTAGTGCGTGGGCGTGGGCGTGGGCGTGGGCGTGGGCGCTGGGCGTGGGCGTGGGCGTGGGCGTGCGCGTGCGCGTGCGCGTGCGCGGTGCGGGCGGGCGGGCGGGCGGGCGGGCGTGCGTGCGTGCCTGCGTGCGTGCGTGCGTGCGTGCGTGCGTGCGTGCGTGCGTGCGTGCGTGCGTGCGTGCGTGCGTGCGTGCGTGCGTGCGTGCGTGCGTGCGTGCGTGCGTGCGTGCGTGCGTGCGTGCGTGCGTGCGTGCGTGCGTGCGTGCGTGCGTGCGTGCGTGCGTGCGTGCGTGCGTGCGTGCGTGCGTGCGCGTTTGTGCGTGCGTGCGTGCGTGTGTGCGTGCGTGCGTGCGTGCGTGCGTGCGTGCGTGCGTGCGTGCGTCGTGCGTGCGTGCGTGCGTGCGTGCGTGCGTGCGTGCGTGCGTGCGTGCGTGCGTGCGTGCGTGCGTGCGTGCGTGCGTGCGTGCGTGCGTGCGTGCGTGCGTGCGTGCGTGCGTGCGTGCGTGCGTGCGTGCGTGCGTGCGTGCGTGCGTGCGTGCGTGCGTGCGTGCGTGCGTGCGTGTGTGTGTGTGTGTGTGTGTGTGTGTGTGTGTGTGTGTGTGTGTGTGTGTGTGTGTGTGTGTGTGTGTGTGTGTGTGTGTTTGTGCGTGTTTGTGTGTGTGTATGCGTGTTTGTGTTTGTGCTTGTGATTGTGCTTGTGCTTGTGCTTGTGCTGTGCTTGTGCTTGTGTTTGTGTTTGTGTTTGTCACATGCAGAAAGGCATGACATGGCCATAGTTCAAAACCAATGGTGCCATTTTGGGATAGGTGCACCACGCATTTTAGTCTGCTTCAGTGGGGATTGGGATATTCACTGGGGGTACAGGGTTTTGACCCATGGCCATATTAACAGTGTGTTGCAAGCATTGGAGCTCTAAAACTACATTCCCAAGCGGCCCTTCTGTTTTGTTTCGGGACCCCTGCAGCCACCCACCCGTGGTTGGTATTTCAAGGGAAGCCAAAAGCAACCAAGCATTTGTGGGTACCAATCCCGATTTGGAGAACCTAATGCCATGTCAGAGCACCCCCCCCCCCCCCCAAAAGAGCCCCTAGGCCTTATGAGTCGCCAAAATGGCCCCTGTTGAAATTGGGGCCCTATAGTATAGGACCAAATAGCCGTAGGAGATCACTGCCACACATGGCTTTCACTTAACTTGTTGCCGTCTTGGGTTTCTTGGGTTTCTTTTTCCAATCCAACCAGCAACACGATTTTTGCGTTTATGAAAAAAAGAAAACAACCAACAAGCCCCCCCCAAAAGAAACACAATTCACATCCAAATTGGGTCTTTGCCCATGCTTTGTTCGGAGCCCCAGAAAAGCCAATGACCGACCGATCAATCAACTAGTTAATTAACCAAACAACCAAACAACCAACCAACCCACCAACCAACCAACCCACCAACCCACCAACCAACCAACCAACCAACCAAGCAACAAGGCCCCCCTCACCCCCCCGCCAAACAAAGAAGCAAACGAAGAAAAAATATCAAATCCAAACAAACCAACAGATTTCCTCCCCCCCCTCTCCCAAAGCAAAAGAAAGCAGAAGAACAAGACACATCCAAATGAACCAACAGATTTCCTTCCCCCCGAAAGGAAAAAAGAAAAGAAGAACAACACACATCCAAATGAACCAACATATTTTTGGGCCACGGGACATCTACTTCCAACCCGAGACATGCGAGAAATCCGAAGAATCCGAGGCCTAAGACCTGCAGCTCAGCCGTCTCGGTCACGGCGCCTTGGATCAGTTTTGGACTCTTCAGGAAAACCCATATATGCATATATTATTGCGTATATTATATTACATATATGCCATATATATATATGCACACATATTATAATATATATATATATATATATCTACATATTGTACACAGATATATATATATATATATATATATAGTATATATGGTGTATATGTATATAGAACTGTATTCACCAGAAACAAAAAGCAACATATATTAACACGACAATACCTTGGAGCCTCCAACAGTGGCGATCGTTTCAATGAAAATCACCGGTAAAGATCCTTCTGGGTCCATGGATGTAAGAACCAAGGGCTTGTGTGGAATTGCCCGGGTGTCCTTCCTTTTCCGCTTTTGGAAGTTTGGAACCCCTAAGCGTCGCTCGTTTCGATGGAAGCCACCAAGAATTGATCAAGAGAAGGGGAGATCGAGTACCTGTCCGGGCTGGGAAGTTGCCCTGACCAGACTCCACCTTGAAATTTCAACCTGCCAGCGAAGCCGAGCGGGGCGATGGGAATGGATCTGGGAGTCCTGGAGACCCCAGAAAAAAAAGAAAAGAAAAAACAATAAGTGAACCAGTGGATTGAGCCCGGGCGCCTTTTTTTCCTCACTTTTCGAGTGCATGAACTTTGAACCTTTGGAAACGACCCTTTTAGTGGCAAATATAAAGTGTGCACACATGGACTTTTTCGGGCCATCCACGCCGCAAGTGAGTATTGGTTGATCCTTAGTGTTCGGAGGGATGGGAACTCCAGTGTTTGGCATAAGGTTGATTTCGTCATGAGCCAAACCCCAAACCTAGCATCAACCCATCCCCAAAATCGGAAGGTTGCCACTAGCCACAAACCTCAAGACAAGCCCTACACGAAATCTTGCACCACCTAAGAAACCCTGGTTTCTGATGATTCCCCTGTAAATACCAACAAAATCTGGTTGGCTTCAAACTGGCGCGAACGGATTTCGTCCATCCGCAGCTCCCAAACCCTCTCGCCGCTCGGCCGCTCGGCCCAGATCGGCAGCACCACGGCAGACGTGACCCCAAGCGCCACCATGGCCTCCGGCATTGTCAGCAGCGAGGTGGGGGGAGCAGAGCGGATGGCTCAACATGGACCATCCCCGAACAGAGCAGAGCTTGGCTCGCAATGGACGCCCCGAACAGAGGGACTTAACCTGTAGAGGGGCCGAGTTGAAAAGAGGCAGGTCTTCCAAAGTCCCCCTTCCAGTGTTCGAAAGAGCCTTGTGTTTGGGGCTTGCGAGTTTGAGTTTGGGTCAAGCAAAAGACCTGTTGAGTTCCTCTTCGAGGTGATCTTGAAAAGCCCCGAAGCCTGCGGTTTCTATCAAAATGGGTTTCTCGTGAAACCACCTAGATCGCCAAGTTGCGATCGCTTTTTGCAGTCACCGCTAGTTTTTGGGTCAAGGCGGATGTAAAAAGCGAAAAAGCAACTGGATCGATCCAGGCACCGGCCTGGGAAACCAGTCGAAAGAAGGTAAAAAAGACACGTTTCCCACCAAACAAGGGGACGGTGAAAACGGCACCCAACATCAAGAAGAGACAGACCCCCACAGTTGGAAAGGGCTTGGTCGCCTTTCAGTTTCATCCAACATCACCATCCAAATTTGGTTTCCCACCAAACAAACACATCGGAGGGGGGTGGGATTTTTGGGACACTTTCAGGGATGTCAAAAGTTTGGGACCAGGCAGCTCCCGTTTTGGCGGCGGTGACTTGTTTTGGTGACGTTCCCAGGCCGCGGTTCGTTTGGGGGTCTAAAGGACCCATTTCGGCCCCTAGGTAAGTCAGTGCTGCTATATGGGTACCCATGTGTATATATGTGTTGCTCTACGAGGGAGTGGAAAAAGCAACTCAAACGGCTCTCCAGCAGGCGGCAAGGCGCTTCTCGTCCATCTTCTTCAAGCCTCTAAAGAAACTACTGGAATCGTCTGAGCACCAGCCAGGCAAGCAATTGACTTCAGCATTGGCAAAGACAGCTTGCTGCCTTTGTTGGACTGGAGATCGTATTCGGCAATGTGTTCTCGGAGCCATCGAGGTCAGTTTCATGCAAGTAGCGGGCGAGAAAACGTGCAAACGAGCACGAAAATAGAGTATACCCGCATATATATATATATATTAATATACACATGTTTTTCGAAGCTGCTCGTGTTTGTACGTAGTTTTAAAAGAAAACCAAAGGACACCATTTTTAGTTGCCACTGTATTTTGAGACATGCCCATACTTGGGCGGTGGTATCCCTGTCAGATGTCTTTCCTTCAGAAGACAACCCCACTAGCAGCATCACAACCAGGGACCTGTCCTGAATGCTTGGTTTCCTCTAGCACTTTCCGCCACGTATCTCTGGCGTGTAGCTCAAATGACCACATCATGTTAGGTCCCGGGAGTCGGTGGGACCGTTTGCAAGCAGGTTTCGTTCTTAGCAGCTTGCTACTGGCACACCCTGCCTCCAACCGTTCTTGGCTAGCAACCAAAACGGGAACCTCAAACTACCCTTGTCGCCACACTTACGAGACAATTGTCCATAGTTGTAATAGTTGGAGTGTCCATGTAGCAATTGAGGTGGAGGGTTGCCCACCGTGTTTCTGAGACCGGGGTGGGTTTTACTTTACCTTGAGGGTCTTCTCCCGGCGACGAAACTGTCGGCCCGTAGGCCTGTAGCAGCGTGAACTCTGGGTACACGGGCAACTTTGAGCTCTACTGCAACCAGGGCACTCTCAGCTATGATGTCTCGCGCTTTGGCAAGAAAGGTTTCGACGGTTGATTGCTGAAAGGTGTTTCCTTTAAGCCTTTTGTTGTTGATGAGGAATCATTCACTGTTCTTGGCATGTTTTTTGGTTTTTTAGTTGTTTGGTTCTGTTCACTTTTACTGGGGGTCTGCAAAAAACAAAGTTTTTCGCTACCATACCAAGAGTAGAGATGAATTGTTGGTTTTGTTTTGTTCTGTCCTTTGCTTTCACGGGCTTTTTAGCCACGTAAAGCATTGAGTTTTGAACCAGACCAAATGAGGGGCAATCTGCAAGTGGACACTATGAGAAGAACCCCCTCTTTCGGTTGCCAGGCCTAAGTAAGCTTCCTGTTGGTGGGGTGATGTCGAATTAGTTTTGCGAAATTTAGTCGGGCCTGGCAGATTTCTAGGAGGTTTCCCCTGCGAGGTGCTCCAGCTGCCCTGACTCAAACTTTGCACAAAGCTTTTATCCGCAGCTTCACCAGCTGGGATTCATTTCGCGTAACATGACCCCACCCGTTCTTTTTTGCAGGACTCCTCTTTAAAACAAACACACACACACACACAAAAGCAAATAAACACATATTCACTGAACCGTCTCCACACAAACCCCTGTGTAACCATAAAATAAGGGACCACCACAATCACCATGTAACAAGGCCCGTAGGTGTTTTAACACCCCCCCAGCTCCCCCGGCTCCCCCGGCACTGTCGGAAGCGAATTGTCAAGACAATAATACCTTTGGCCAAAATCTAAAGATTGACCTCCACATGGGGTGCTCGTGCTGACTTGCTTTCCAAGCTTTGACTTTTAGAAGGACTCCTCTTTTCTTGTAACACAAAAACACATGTGTTGTTTGTTTCTTTGGGTGGGCGGGCAGGCGGGCGGGCGGGTGGGTGGGCCTTTGGGTGGGCGGGGCCTTTCTGGTGCCTGCCGCCCCAAAAAAGCAAAACGCCGGGCGGGCGAGGGGGGGCGAGGGGGCGGGAAGATCTCGATCGCCTGAGGACCTGCAGCCCTGGATGCGCCGACACCGACAGTGCAGCACTCGGAGCAATCACACCTTCTAGTTGCTTAAGATGCGTTTTTTTTCTTCTTTCTTTTTTCTTTTTTAAGAGACATACATTAATACATAAATGAAGGACCGAAGGAATCATTTTGTGTTTGTTTTTTGAAGGGACATGAATGAATGAAATGAATGAATGAATGAATGAATGAATGAATGAATGAATGAATGAATGAATGAATGAATGAATGAATGAATGAATGAATGAATGAATGAATGAATGAATGAATGAATGAATGAATGAATGAATAAGCAACTGATACGTTTCCCTGTTGGCTTTGAGGGAAATCAATCACAACTGGCAATATGTTTACTTTTTCCAGGGGAATTCAGCGAATGGAAGAACCAGATATGAACGGTCAACATGGGAGGGGGACTTCTTGAGTGACTTGCAAACAGCGTGCGTTCAAGGTACACCAAAGAACCCGTCACTCAGAGGGTCCCTCTTTGCTCAAACAGGGGACCCGAACAGGTGGTTTCGCTTTGGGCTCCGCGCCTCACAAAGAGGAAACGTGGAAACAGATTGAGGGGTTCTCAAAATTGCCCTGAGGTGCTTTCCTGTACGCCCGCGCTTGTGTAGTTTGAGGATGTCTTACTTTTACTTTACTGACCCAGTTAAAGGGGTACCTAAAGGAAAGCTACCATGTGAACAGTCAACAGGGTGGGAATGGCATGTCCAGAGAGATACATTCGGAAGGCCCATTCTCCATGAGGGGAGGTTTTGTTTTGGTTCCCTGGTGTCACACTGGGAATCAATTTCAAAGCAAATTTCGGGCCAGTTCCGAAGACTGCTCCTTGGTGTTGGATCTGCTGCCAAGCCTCCAGTGCCCTTTTTCCTTGCTTAGAGGGGGGGTTCCCTCTAAAACTTCGGCAGGAAATGAGGGAATGACCCCGACAAAAACCATCCCCTATGGTTTTCTTTCAGGGAATCCCCAGGTTCATTCCCAACCCCTGGGTCATCTTCAAATTATCGCACCAGCAAGAAAACCAGGCCTCCAAAAAAGGGTGGCCCAGAATGGTGCTCAAGACTTCGCAGAGCTAGAAGGGAACCTGGACCAAACTTACACACCCTCGAGGGCAAATTCCGCGTTCCTTCCAGGGGTCATCTTTCCACTAACAACCAGGGTTTCGAAACGGCCGCTTTTGAAAGGCACAATATGCCCAGATGTCAAAATTACACCGAAAAATGCATTTCTTAGTCCTCCCCCTCCCCCTCCCCCCGCCCCCCTCCCCCGCCCCCCTCCCGCACCTCCCTGGTTGAAAGAATGGGATGTCTTTGGGGAAATCTCCTAACGCCTTTAGCTTGCTGGTTCGATAGGCAGGGAATGACCCCAGCTGGTGCCCTTTAAGGTGATCCCTTTCCCAACATTGCATCCAGTTTCTCTGCCGGGGTCATGATTTTGAGTGTTTCTAGGGGATATCAAAGTTAGAAGCTGGTTGGTGGTTTCCCTTTGACCCACCACTTAGGAGGTGACTTTGACAGTGGTAAAATGTTGGGGCCAGTACTGAGAACCAGCTAGTGCTTGTGTCTGTCGCTAAGGTATCACGCTGACAGTGGCAGGCAGCACGCAGTCTTGGAGCCTCAGTCTCAGACAATCGTGCCAGAGGCAAGCGTATTTCTTCTCTTTGCTCAGTTTCGCGTTTCGATTTTCTCATGCTTCCCCCCAGCAACTCCATCCAAAAGGGGTGGATTTTCCTTAGGGTGCCCTTTCCCGCACCATCCAACTGTCCCCCCCCCGCCCTCCCCCCGTTGTACATAGCGAGTAGGTGAGCCAAGGCCTTGTGAGGCTTCGCCACATTTGCGTGTTTTCTCAACTAGAAACTGCGCCCTCCTTTTGGATGGTTTCCAGGGGAAACCCGGATAAGCCCATCATGGAGGCATGGGAGGGATGGGGGATTTGAGTTCGAAGGGCTTGGACCGAAAAGTCATATGAAGGTTCCGCTCACTGCAGTTTTCAGTCTTCACGTTTGGCCTTATTTTGGGTTTGTGAACCACTGACTCACGTGACAATGGCCGGTGATTGGGGGGTCAGGCAAAGTAATTTTGCACAACCCCCAAAAGCGTTTCAGAATATATTTTTCCTGAGTTTAAAGGGAATATATGGCTGAAATTGTTCTTTTTTTCAGGGCACTTCAGCAACTGTTTTTGATTGATCGCGAGGAGAAGACAGGACTCCTTGATTCCATGTGACCGAAAACAGGGCAGCACCGAGACACCCTCTCAGGCCCCTCTGCCGCTATGGGCTCGGGTGAGACCTCAACGACGCCGGGCGCCGAGAAAGTTGTCTCGGCAAAAAGGCGCACTCTCAGCTGCGCAAAACCTACCTCTTGACCCTCTTGACCCCTGAGCTCACTCTCAGTAGGGTATGGGTCAAAATTAAGCCACCAGGGGACCGCAGGTTTTAGTCCTTGGTTCCATTTACCAGGGTTCCATTTCGGGCACCAGTTTTTGACCCACACCCAAGTAGTTTCGCCTTGGTCCACTTTTAGATGTCCCAAAAGGGTATCACCTACTGGGTCCACAGAAAAGGGGCAACTGGCAGACTGAAGTTCGCAAGTTGAGAAAGTCTCAGCGTAACGGACCCCCCCCAGACTGTCTCTGTGTGTGTGTGCGCGTGTGTTATTTTTCTGTTCATTTCTTTTTTGCTAAATGCAGCTCAAAAACGGGTTTGAGGTTGGAACAACCTGGGCCCCGTCACTTGTTTGTCCGTGTGTTTGTGTGTTCGTGTGTTTGTTTGTTTTTTGTTTGTTTTTTTGTTTGTTTGTTTGTTTGTTTGTTTTGTTTATTTGTTTTGTTTGTTTGTTTCTTTCTTTCTTTCTTTCTTTCTTTCCTTCCTTCCTTCCTTCCTTCCTTCCTTCCTTCCTTCCTTCCTTCCTTCCTTCCTTCCTTGTTTTTGTTTGTTTGTTTCTTTCTTTCTTTCTTTCTTTATTTCTTTCTTTCTTTGTTAGCCTGGTTTGGTTTGGTTTGGTTAGGGAAGGGTAGTTTACCCATTCTCTTCACCCATCATTCTCTTCGGACACACTTCGAAGCAACTTTCTGAGCAGCCGGGGACGGCTAGAATGGAAAAGCTCAGCCGTTGGTCTCAACAGTTTGCGGTGGGAGGAGGATCTTTCCAAAGCTAGGCGGGAATTAGTCGGCTTCCTTTTCGTCTTCCAGTTCACGCCAGCTGAAGAAAATCCTTAATCTTAGCAAAGACGCTCCCATTTCGGCTTTCAAAGCGCGAGGCTTTGGCAGGGAACTGGGTGTTCCCTTTGTTGTTTAGATGGCCTTCCTGCTTTGGCTGCTTTACCAAAGATGAAATAAGGAAATAAGGCTATTCTGGATATTCCAGGAGGAACCACGATGAAATAATCTCATGTGTGCCATCTTCACAGAGATCCCGTTGTTGGTGTTTCTTGGCTTTTTAACCCTCCAATGTGTTTCTTATCCTTTTTTTCCCGGGGTCACAAACTCCTCAGCAGGGGCACTCGCGACGGTTTTCCTTTGGGCCCCCCAAAAGAACTGCCCAAGGTCCGGGGCGGCCACTCAACATCGCGCAGAATTAGAGCTTTGTGAAGGGGAGCTTTTCCTCTCACTTGAACACCCGAACAGAGGGTTTGTCTTCGTCAAGAGCCCCGGGCGGAAAAAAAGAAAAGCAAAAGCACTAAGGCCTTTTTTTTTCTGTGGGCTTAGGTTCCTTTCCAGTTCCTTTGCAGGTCTCTCCGGGGGCCCCGGAAAACGGGACGCCGATGTCTCGGGCGGCTCAGGGACTGCGAGCCGATCAACGCGGGCTACGCTGGCACTATCGAGTGCGGCGCCCGGCCGGCGGTCCTTCGGGCGCTTCCGGGGGGAGAAAGCCTCCCTTTTGGTTGGCAGCAGGTTTTTTCCACAAGTGCCGACTTTGGGCGGTTGTTTCCTTTTTGAGGAACCTAAGCAATGATTCCGTTTAGGCTCCAATTTTGGCAAGATTTGCTAGCCGAAGGTAGAGAATTTGGGGTTAGTTGGTTGGGAAGTTGGTTCGTTTGGTTGGTTGGTTGGTTGGTTGGGAGGGTTGGGTTTAGAGTTTAGTTCCAGAACCTTTGGCATCATGTATTCAGCTCTCTACTTCCTGATATGTATATATATATATATATAATATACCGTCCCCCACACTAACCTGGAAGCTCCCAGGACCTTTTTGGAAGTCTTGGTTCCATTTACAGAGGCCTTCTGGGAGCTTCCATGTTAGTCTGAGGGAGTGTATGCATATATATATATATATATCATGCATATATACATATATACACATGATTGCTGGTTTCATCGATCTACATGGTTTGCTCACCGGCACAGCCAGCACGTAGCACGCGGTTTTTGCGCCAGGATCAGCTGCTTCTTCGGAGTGCTTTCCGCCAACCCGGCAGGATGCAGCCGGGAAGCCCAGCGAGGTAACAGATGGGTAGGGTCGGTGAAGCCACGAGGTGACTTGCCTTCATTTTCTTAAGAGTATGTTTTTATTTCCCTTGTTGGTTTTAAAGGGAACCTATCACTGCTGGACATACTTTCACGTATTTTCCAGGGGCTTAAACAAATGGAAGCTTGCTGTGCTCAACTGGTTGCGAAACTTGATTTAACTCATAGAGAGCAACCTCACACGTGGTTGGTGGACATAAATCCCCATTAATTGATGGCCACGGATCCCGAGAGATATCAACCCAAATCAAGGACTGATGCCAGATGTTCCTGGCCCGGTGTACCCCTGACCCATAGACTGGCACGGCCTGCTTTTTGTCCGCGAACGATGCCTGTGTAACCTCAGGGGTACATGACATTCGCCCTTGAAAGGAAAGGGGGTATTCCACCACACCCCTATAATGTTTGAATGTTGGGCTATTCTTGATTTTTGCGAAAATCCTGAAGGTTTCAAGACTTTCTGACCGCTCCAAGCTTAACCTAGAAGTGACTTTCGATTGTCCTTGAAGCAGCTCATTTTGACAGATTGGCATTGAGATGCTTGATAGGTGTTTGAACACCTATCCGTGCGGGCAGCAAGATGCACGGCACCTGAGCAAACATGTGGACCAGGAGCGCACCAAGAGCCGCTCACTTCAGCATGTTCGGTATGGATTTTAATTGGACATGGACCCGTTGGTGGACATGTTGGAATGCATGGCCCCGAACGCGCGGGTCCGTCCTTGTCCTAAAGGCTCCAAGAGGAAACCACCACGTTTGGGGCAGGGGGGCGGAGTTGAGGTGGTCACGATGCCGGCGTTGGAATTCTTACAGGAGAAGTTTACAAGGTCTTGAAGACCAAGCGTGAAATGAGTGGAAACCACGGCGGACAAATCTGATAGGGCCCAAACCTTCATGGGAAATCATGGGAATGACGAGAATGGGAATTTGAGCTAGCAGGGTGAACACTTCTATTCCCAGCTTCCCAAAAGAAGCCCTTGAGCTTTTTTCTTAGGAATCCCTCATATTCATATGGTCCGCTTTCTTGAGGGCACCCTCTCTTTTCGATGGTTAAGAGGAAACCAGAATGACACATTTTTATTTTATTTTATTTTTTGCAGGTTTCTCTATTTTGACCCCTACCAGCTTCCGCTGGACCTCATCCCCAGGTGCGAAGGGCTGCAGCGTGGGCGACACGGTGAGCGTCACCTTGGATGGCGCCCCTTGGCCCAAGATGCGCCACAGGGGATTCGAAAGCCGCGAAAAAGGGCTCCAAACAAATCGGAAGGACATGCCCAAGCACACAAAGGCACATACTTGGACGTCTGACTCATGACCCTTGAAACATTTCGGGTCATTACCCAAAATTCAGGGGGTTATGACTCGTGACCCCTTTTTCCAGGGGTCATGGAGACTCTAGGTAGTCCTTTTTAGGTAAGTTTGGTTGGACATAGATGGGTTCCGCTGGTCTAGATTCGTTTTATCCCATGCACCAGGGCCATCTATCTTTCCAAAAGGTCACCTATGCCCCAAGCAATGGTTCTGTTTGCACTGCCATCGGATCCCCCATTCTCCACCCCCACCCCCCCCCCAACTTGAGGCCACAATCACATGGGGGTCTGAAAATGGGCCTAAGCAGAAGCTGTCCCCGAATCTCTGGGCGAGCAGATTGAGTTGACGCTGTGGTCCAGTGCTGTACAAGAAACGGCAGAGACTTGGCGGCGGAGAATAGGGTTGCCCGCAAAAAGGGAGGGGATGGGTGAGGGTTCCCATGGTAGAGCCTTTGCTTGAAGTGCCACTTTCTAAGATACCAAGGTTCCTGGATCGATCCAGCTGCGATCTCTTTGTCCATCCACCTTGCCCCCAAAAAACCAGCAACAGTGACGGAAAGAAAGCAGCAGCTTGGCGATCTAGGTGCTCCCCTTTAAAGTGAGATCATGGTTCGAGCGTCAACCCCGCAGCTTCAGATTTCGATGCCAGCCTAGCCATTTGCCACAGTGCTCCAGAAACGCCCCTCGAGTTGACGTAGCCCAATCTGGAATCCTGGACCGAAATGACCCTAGATGGGATTGATTGACCAGGGACCCACCAATCAAAGCCAAATTTGACCAATGCGAATCCACCAAGCAGAATAAAACTGGAAGAACGCATCTTTTTGGGGACCTCAACAAGAAAGGCATTATTCTTAGGATTGTGCCGGAAGTTTTCCCATTTTTTGGTAACCTGGAAGAGCGTGAGGTCACCGCCTCGTTGACCCTGGGCAGGGCGATCAGGCCTGACCTCGTCGTTTTCGCGCGGAGGGCGGGATAGTTGGTCTGCTTTTTTTTTTTTTTAAGGATCATTTGTTTGCTGACCCACTCCCCCCCCGGAAATAGAACCCCCAACAAAACCCACCATTTGTTGGTGGAAAAAAAAGCTCCTTTCCTTCTCGAACATGTGGATGTGTAGCGCACATGTGGATGTGTAGCCAGAACCCTTGGCTTTGGTTCAGGTGACCCATGGCCTGCTGGTGTTTGGCATGCTTGCGCAGTGTTTCTGGCGGTGATGTTTGAAGGGGAAGTAGAAAGGGAATGCTTAGTGAGCGGGGTGATAAATCAAAAACAACTGACTTCATTTGTGTATATGTTTTTTTCTTCCCCCAGAAAGCCTAGTTTCTCTTGATACGGGTTGTCCGATCAAAACTGCGCGTTGGTTGATGGTAGGGAACAGTTTCCAGGGGACAGTCCCAGAACTGATCGCAGATACACTTTGAGTTCTTTGCCATTGGTATTTTGCTGCCATCTTTCATATCCTCAGTGTGGTTGGTTTGTATGGGCATGGTCAAGTTTTTTGTTCACCCAATCCCGAAGCCCGTTCACTGCAGATGACTCGCAACTCTTGCCTCTCCCCTCCAAACAAGTGTCGTGACTGGAGCCCTGCAACCTTTGAGTCCCCCCCCTTCCCTCCCCCTTCAGAAGGGAAGTCACTCAAGTCACCATTTGGGGGTCAAGACCAACCCACCTAGAGTCTCCGTGACTAGAAGGGGGGTCATAACCTTTGAATTTTGGGTAGTGACCCGAATGCTTTGAAGGGTCATGGAGACTCCCAGCCCAGTTTTCACCCCACCCCAACCACTAGACATCACCGATGGCCCCCGGTTTGGGCTTGCGAGCCTTACACGGGGCTTCTCGCCTCGAAGATTCCACGCGTCAGTTCGGGGCTCACGGGCACTGCGTCCTGCACGGATGTGAACTCGGCGCCTGCCTGAGCGTTTGAACGGGGAGGCAACCGGATGGTGCAAATGTGTTTAATTTGATTCTAGCAGCTGTGACTACTGCTAGGATGAATAAAGTAAAGTGCCTGGAAGAAAAGGAACCGCAACCTTGGCCCCTGGGATGCTTCTTTGTTGGGCATGGTCATGGGGCCGAAGCACCCCCCCAAGTCTGGGCCCCGAAAGTGGGACAGAGACTTTTGGAAGACATCGATGGCGCTTCCATGGACCCAGTTGACAAAGGCAGGCAAATGGCAGGTGTGATCGTTTGTGGTAGGGACCGCCCAGCATCCAGGCGATTCTTTTTGGATAGGTCTCCCTTTGTTTGGCGGTTTTGAAGAGCAGCTGTTACGGGCCGAATGAGTGCCCAACTCCTCTTAGGGCCATTTTAGGGGATGCCTTTTGATAGCGGTTATAGGAAGGCATATACAAACCTTCAGAATGTTGGTAGAATCAGAGTCCAGAAGCTTTGGCAAAGCTCAAGTTTCGCAGGCTCTCAAGAGAGACCAGCAGGCGCTTTTGATGGGAACCCTCAAAACGGGGGGGGGGGATATGAATCTTGAACAAAGCCCCAAATGGGGTATCCTCGAAACAGAAGACACGCCCACATGGGCGGCTCGGTTTTTGAGGATTACCCTGTTTGGGAAGGTTTTAATCGGACGCCAGAGGTCAATCCACCAGGTTGGGGGATTTCTGTGGATTGACGAGGGTGGGCAAACCCTTACAACTTTTGGGACAAGCCATCTACCCTATGCGGGATTTAGTCCATCCACAGAACATGGGTGTGTCTTCTTTTAGAGACCCCCCCCCCCCCCGCCCCAAGCAACATGGCTGGTGTCCCTTTCTTTTCCCCTTCAATCACCAAAAGAGGGTTTTTCGCCCCCAAAAAAGGGACGAAGCAGCCTCAAGAATCTGGCCGTGAGCTATGGGTTCCTATGGTAGGCCTTCGCCCATTTTGAGACACTTGACATGTTTGGACAAATTTGTTGCAACATTGATTCAAATGTTTGACATGCTTGCACAAATTGGACCAACCATTTGTCATTTTTGAGCAACAGTGTTGCAAAAGTGACCCCATTCTTCCATTTGCTTCAGAATAATTCAGAATATTCATGATTTCCCCTGTTGGTTTTAAAGGGAATCGATATCACTACTGGACATTTTTTTTTCAATATAATAATAATATTTTTTCCAGGGGTCTTAACCAACTGGCTGTGGGTCAAAACCAATGGTACCATTTTGGGTAGGTGAATTCACCACGCGTTTTAGTCTATTTTAGTGGTTCGACCCACGGCCACAAATGAATTGGAGTTTCTCAAAATGGTGGCAGTGCCCCATCTTTCTAAGGGTTGATTCCACATATTTCCACATTCTTTCCAACCATTGTTGCCAGACGGGACCCCACATTTGGAAACCCCTTTGCTTGTCCACACCGCGGAAAAGGTGTTTTGCCATGGATAGAAATGGCCAAATGGAAGCAGAGCGTGAGACCAGCAAGAGCCAGAGGCTCAGGCTGACTCGCCGAGGCCTGGGGAGCAGACCTCACGCTTCGATGCAACCTGGGCACGCTGAGCCCGGGCCCTTTGCGGGTCGCGCGGGAAGCGCGGGAAGGGCGGGCAGGCTACGGGTGCCTCCCACGTGGGCCGTTTTGTGAACGTGGAAGGCATCCGGTTCTTCAGATTTGTTCAAAGCTTTTTGGTGGGTTTAGGAAGGGTTTCCGAATTTAAACCGCTAGAAGTTGAACTTTTTAAGCAGGGGATCTGAGGACAGCCCAGTTAAGAGGAAATCGAGTGACCCTTGAGGGATGGACATCCACTCAATTGCACCTTAGGAAATCCACTTTGACACTTGAGGGATGGTCAAAATGTTTAGATAACCTTTGTGCAGTCCCTTTTCGAATTGCATGCTTGGCATTTCGATCAAATTATGACCAGCGCTGTTTGTTTTTTGCTCAACAAAAAGGGTTGACCAACATGACAATTCTGGGACCAAAGCACCCAAGATTGCGTGTTCCCAGCAAGAACCCCGTCATCTGCGGAGTGCTTTTTGGGAGTGTGCTTTCTTTGCATGTTGCGACCCACTGACCAAGGGATCCGGAATCAAAGCATATCCTTTATCGGTTTGGGATGCGGAAAGGGAAAGCCGACAAGAAGCCTTTCGGCCATCCTAGTGAGGGAACCCTCGTTTTTTCCGGAACCGCCCCTCCCCGAGAAGAAAGCACGATTTTCCGGCATCGAATGTTGGGACACAAGATCCGGCCAGCTGATAGCAAAGTGCTCAAGTAGATCACCTCACCTGCGCAACACTTTTGTGCGAGGAGATTTGTTGCTTTCAATTGAAGAGGCAATGATGTCCCTCTCTCGCAAGGGGGGGGGGGCCTGGAACAGGCGCATGTTCATCTCAGGTCGGTCAAGGCCAAAGCACATGCTCCTCTGAAACCTAATGGTTCCCGAGCTCTTGCGTTTGCAAGGAAAAAGAGACGGCTGCATCATGTGGGTATTTCCAGAATAGAGCCTTTCAAGCAAAAGGGTGGGAGCAATACCTCTACCCCGGCTTTGGGAGGCACAAGAAAAGGGTGTGATTTCCTTGGGGTAAAGCACACACAGAACACCTCTACCCCCTCCCCCCCCCAGAAAAAAATAATAATATATATATATATATATATATATAAATCACTCCCAAGTGCACAGACCCCTGTAGAAAGACTACTCTCCTTTTGGAAAGGGCCGTTTTGTACTTCCATGTTAGTTGGTGGGAGGGTAGGAGGAAAGGCGCATCCCTTTGTTCAGGGCCGGGCCTTGGATTATTTAACGTTTAACACTTGGCGTTTGCCACATGTTTGAAGCCTTCTTTTTCCAACGGTGACTTCCAGGTTCCCTTTCAAGGCTTTGGAAAGGCCTCAAACAACCAGATACCCATCGGGGTGTGTCTCAAAGTAGAAATCGGAACCCCACAAATGGATGCTTTGGCATTCCTTGTGCTTTTCATTCAAAGCCGTCCAAGCAGGCTTCAACCAACCTTTCCTTGCAAATTGTTCCTTATGGTAAGGTGCACCAACCTAAAACGTCTATCACTTGCTGGTGCGCAGTAGGGAATGAGGGAATGAACCCAGGCTTTGGTCCCCTTGCAGGAAACCACCAGTTGGATGGTTTACTGGGGTCATTCCATTTCTCATTCCCTGCATCTCTCGCACCGATCGCAAGCTCAAAGACACACCCAACATGAAATCGTGCCTTCTGCTAAGGTAAACCAACCTAAAACGTGCCTTCTGGTCAGGTAAACCAACCTAAAACGTGCCTTCTGGTCAGGTAAACCAACCTAAAACGTGCCTTTTGGTCAGGTAAACCAACCAAACATGTGCCTTCTGGTCAGGTAAACCAACCAAACATGTGCTTTCTGGTGAGGTAAACCAACTTAAAACGGTGCCTTCTGGTTAGGTAAACCAGCCTAAAACGTGCCTTCTGGTCAGGTAAACCAACCAAACTAGGTGCCCTCTGGTCAGGAAACCAGCCTAAAACGTAACTTACGCGTATCAACCTTCCATTTGCTTAAGATGTTTTTCCCCTGTTGCCTTTAAAGGGAATCTATCACTACTGGACATATTCTAATTGTAAACGCTTCGCGTTGCCCGCCTCGGCCCAGCCTAGTTTGAGGGAAGGGTCAGGAACACCGAAATCCAGTGTTGGGAAGGTCCGAATCCTACTGAAAGCTTGTGACCGCACCAGTTCGCCCGTGCTAGTTCGATGTTCGGAAGCCGTCCTGCTCGGAAGGTTTGAAATCCAAACCCAAGACTGTCAGCCTGGGCTGAGCTGCTTGGGCAGCCGGACTGGGGGGCTGGGGCACGTCAGACAGGCTTAGTAGCTGGCGTAGCTTGAGACCAGTCTCAGACACGTGAGACTGGTCGTTGGCCTGAGGCCAGTCTCAGACAGCTGAGCTTGCTGGGCTGAGCTGGGAGCTGGGGGCCGGCCTAGTGGCTGGCATGCCCTGAGATGCGCCGGGGCCTGGGCTGGGCAGGCTGGGCTGAGGTGGGTTGCTGGTTGGGCTGGGCCTGAAGCTAGTCTCAGCCACGAGGCTGCGAAGCCATGGGTGGGTTGCTGGCTGCCGGGCAGCCGGACTACGCTGCTGTTGCGCCTGGAACTTTGGATGGGCAAGGCCTGTTTCATACACTTGGGCCTGAGGCTGGCTGGGCTGGGCCTGAGGCCAGTCGCAGACACGTAAGACACGCCAGCAGGCGGGCTGAGGGACTGGGCCTGAGGCTAGTCTCAGGCTGGAATACTTTGAGACCAGTCTGAGCTGCGCCGAAGGGGCTGGGCCTGCTGGATGACTTCGAGCTGCTTGAGGGGCTGGGGCGCGTCAGACAGGCTTAGTAGCTGGCATAGCTTGAGACCAGTCTCAGACACGTGAGCCTGGTCGAGGCCAGTCTCAGACACGTTAGACAAACATGACCTTGGCACGCTGGGCTGAGCCTGCTGGCGGCGGGCTGGCATGCCCTGAGATGCGCCGGGGCCTGGGCTGGGCAGGCTGGGCTGGGCTTGCTGGATGACTTGGGGCCGTGGTTGCTGGTTGGGTCAGTGCCACAGGCAGGCAAGCTTGGGCCTGAGGCTGGGTGGGCTGGGCTGACGGGCCTGAGCCTAGTCTCAGACACGTCAGACAGGCCTGGCCAGCAGGAGATCATGCTTTTCAGGACAAAAAAGCGATTTTTAGTGATTTTCTCTGTCAGCGACAAAAATAGACCCATGGAGCTGGACGCCGACGAACCCCGAAAATTTCAAGGCCCGCCGGACAGGATTTTGGGCCAGCCGGCATGGGTGAGGGGGGGGGGGGGGCGGGCCTAGAAGTTAAGCTTTTAGCAGTGTTTCTGAGACACCGAGGCGCAGATGTCGCCGGCTGCAGGAAGGCCTGCGCCAGCAGCGACAGCTTGGACGTGACGCTGGGAAGCAGCACGCAGACGGCACGGCCCGAAGCGAGGGAAGCGAGGGACGGGCTCGGAGTGACTGGGTACTTGGTACTTGTTGGGAATATAGGTGTCCTTGTTGCTTGGTTTGCTTCGAAAATAGAGAGAGGGCCCTGGTTTAGATGGGGTTTATTCCATTTGCCAGCGCCATCTATTTTTCCAAAAGGCCACCTATGGTTGGGAAGCGGCTAAAACCATGGTTTGAGCCCACCGTGGCGAAAAGATGGTTGTTGTCCTTGAACACCTGACAGGATTTGCTTTTTAGAAGCAATTTCCCTGTCTGACAATTTGATTGAATCTCTAGCAACATTGGAGAGGGTCCCTTTATTAATTTATTATGAGTTTTTTTTGGGGGGAGGATCAAACAGCGAAAGGAGTGCTAAACAAGGTGCTCGCCAGTCAGGAAGACATGGATGATGCTCGTTGCTGCCGCCTTCTGAAGAGGTGGCCCCTTCGAATACCACAGGGCTCCTGAAAAGATACATTTTGCCCCATTAGAAACATGGCTTTTTCCACCAAAATAAAGGGAAATCACTATTTACAAGGCCATTCAGGTGTATAATGTAAGGATCCCTGCACTAAGTGGCCCTTGACTCCAGGACACACCAGCGGTTTGACAAACCTTGCACTAGGTCCAGAAAGGTAACTGTAGCATTGCTGGCGAATTTTAAAAGTTGCATGTCATGTTCAGCTGAGTCACAATCAAAGCCCGGGTGGTTGGAGGGTAAGGGGCAATCCCAGCCCTTCTTAATTCTTGGAGCATGGGTTCTCGGTAGACAATTTTACTACCGGCTCTTGATTGTGACTCAGCTGTTTGAAGTGTCATGTTCATTTTAACGCACTTTAGGCGGAAGGTGCTGAAGCCTCCGCACGCAGATGTTGTTTAAGGGACATGCGTTTGTTGTGTTTTTGAAGCTCAGTACCCTTTTTGGGGGTTGCAAAGGACACCCCAAGGCACCAAACTCTTTGGGGTTTCCATATTTTGAAAGAAGCTGGGTCCCTCATTGCAGTTTCATTGCCAGCATTTTCGCTTCAATTATTGGTGCCCTGGTTGGGTAGGCGTGAGATCAACATAGCCAACCATTTTACGAATGTTTTCGTCCACAAGCACCCAAAGTACACCTCCAAGTGGGTATGGGCCAGAATTAAGCCATCAGACCAGCTCATGTATCCTCATGCTTTAGTCCTTGGCTCCATTTACCCGGGTTCCATTCTGGGTACCTATTGTTGACGCACAGCCAAGTGTTAGTCTATTTCAGTCTTCGCTGCCGTATGGACCCAGGTCAACCCCAGTGCCACCATCGCCAGTGGGGCTGCGGAGTCCCTCGGCCGGGCTGAAGTTATGGACCTCTCGGGGGATTTGACGATCACCTTGCCTCTGTTTGCTGACATACGTATCCATTGGTTTATTCTAAAACATATCATTGTCTGTGGCTTTGCTGGATTTGAGTTTTTGTCATGCTATTATCCCCTGTTGGTTTTAAAGAGAAGGTGTCACTTCTGGACATGGTTTCTCGCTCGTTTTTCCAGGGGACCTCTGCAAATGGAGGCTTAGTGTGACATGGGTATGGATTTCGGGGATTCATGTCCACGAACCACTTTGGAGGTGGTTCCCTGGCCACCTGACCGCGCTTTTGGGTGATGCTGAAGAGGGCATCAAGGAAGCAGGGGTTGGGGTTGGCAGTTTGGAGGCCGGGTATCTTTCATGTGCAAGAACCAGACATAGTCCCAAACCACTACACACCACCAATAAATTTGAGTTGAGTTGACGCCCTCATTTTTTTTCCTGTTGAAAGGCAGAGACCGCCCACCAGTCATTTTTTTCTTTTCTCGGTTTATCGGTTTCATCATGAACAAATGAAGCTTCCTGTGGGGGCTCAAAAGTGAAGGAGCGGAACTGTCTGAATCCAGGTACAACCGCGACTGCTCGGAGCTCAACTCGGGCTACGAAGGGGCCTACACGCTGTCCTGCACAGCTCAGACCCCAGTGACTGAGGAGTAGCTGGCCGGATGGGCACCCTCACCTGGCACTTGCGGACTTGAACCAAGATCTCGGCGCGGCCTGTTGATCACAAATCTGGGATGTGCCTCCAAAGCATCATCTTCGCCAGTGATTCCATGCACTTTGGCCAAGGGGAGTCACCCTTCAAGAAACTATCATTGCCCCAAATTTGTCCAGGGAACCTTGCAACTCCTGGTTCAGAATCAGCTGACCGTTTTGCCGGCGAACCAGCTTGGCCTTCTGGGGGCTTTCGTGAGCCTGAGTTGCAGCCACCGCGGTGAGAGTCCGGCGACGGGTCCGCTCCTTCGCTAGCTCCTTCGCTCCGAGACGGGGGCCTTGAGCGCGGACGTCACCTTCTGCTCGGAGAAGGGCTGCCTCGCCACGGACACGGTGGCAGCCAGGGCCCAGGATTCGCCAAACGCGGGGCCGCTGTTTTGGTGAGGGAGAGCGGGTGGCAAAACCATGGGGTGTCCTTCAACTGCATAGTCTTGGCAACCCCACAATTGGCCAAAAGCAAATCCAGGTGGTTGGTTTCCTTTTGGTTTGCTTCAAAGCCATCCAGGGCTTCCTGCATTTTGAGACAGATCCAAGTGGCTGGGGGTGGGGTTTAGATGCCGTTCCGCCCGTCCCTTTTCGGTATGTTTATGGAGGGTAAGGTTACGCCACCTACGTCACTTTTGGAAGTTTGCCTTTGAAGCCAACTGATGGCTGGGGTGGGACGAATCAGGATTGAGGCGCCCCAGTTGTGTCTTCAAAAGGTGAACCTGTAATTGTGGTGCCCTTTTGGTTCCCTTGAAACCAACCTCAAAAGCCCAAAAGAACCCAAGCCCACTTTCGTGATACCATGAAACCAGCCCTTCAGACTTTGTCAAGGACAGACTCTCAGCGGTACCACAGTTGTAAGGCAATGCGCACAAGCCATCAACGCATCCTTCTGTGGTTGATTCTTTTTTCTTTTTGGAGAGGAAGCCCAAATCCTGGCGGAATTTGACACCCTCACGCCATCGGATTCTGGTTGCCAGGTTGTTCAAAGTCGAACCGCGATTTCCCCTTGTGGTGTACAGCAGATTTTGCATTCCCCAGGTTGAACACCCGTTTGGCTGTTTCTTGCAAGTGTGTTTTGGTTGAGAATACGGTTTAGAAGGACACGAAGATGATCGAGTTTTGGGATTCCGCGCTAAACCCGGGACCCTTCAAGGCCCCCCCCCGCCCCTTCGCCAGGTTCCATGTTCTAGGGTGCGTTCAAACCAGCGTTTAGTTGTACAAGATAGTTTCGCGGTTGTCCCGTGCAGGGACCTAGTTTTGGATCGATTGCCCAGAGGCTCCGGAGGTTGGGACCCGGTCTCAAAACCAGGTTGTAAGGCCCTAAAACAGTCGAATTGGAGCCTCTGGGTGGGCTTTCAATGGCAGACCCGACCCCTCCATTAGACATCCCGGTTGGGGGTCTCAAAACCAGGTTGTAAATCAGTTGGGAGCCTCTGGGTGGGGAGACTCAAGTTGGACGTCCTTAAAATGGACAGCTGAGGTCACGGTGGGCGATGCCACGACCAACGTCCAAGCGGGTGAAGCCTTGGTCCATGGTGGCTGGGAGCCTTAGCCGGTGTGGAAGAAGATGGGTGTTGTTCTCTTTTTTGGGAGCCCCTTGTTGATTGGTCCTTAAAGGGAACCCAAGGAAACCGGTCGTTTTTGGGGTCCCACAATTTTTGAGACAGACCCACATGATTTGGTGCCACGCTTTGGGACCGAAAAGAGTGAGAGGCACGTCATATGGATGGGAATCCACCTTCAGTATCACAATTTTCGGGTGACTTTCCGCGGTGCCAGTCAGTAACCCTCGCCATGTCGGCTCCCATTGTGCTCCCCATCCACAACAAAGCACTCCCTCACCGTTCCCCACCAAACAAGCAGATGAATTGGTACAGGGGATCAGCCGCCTTGTCCCCGCAACAACAAAAGCCAAGCCCCAAGAGGCTCAGCCACCATTAGCCAGAAACAAGAGGAACAACCCAGAGGATCAGCCACTGTTTCCCCCCAAAACAAGAAGAGGATGGGTTGGACCGGGATCATTGCTGGTGCCTTTGATACCAGTTGGATCCACTGGCGCCACATCCAAGCGCTTGGGTCCGCGGCCCAGGTTCCATCCAGCAGCTTTGCGAGGACGTGAATCCTGTGCAGATGCCCCAGGATTCAACTCAGCGGGCCTGCAAGACAGGGCCCCAGAAGGAGTGACCTCAAGAAATGAGGGTATTTCGGGTTCCATGCTAAGCTGGATCTGAGTGGCGTGGAGCCCAATGGGCTGCTGGTGTGTTCCCCTCGAAGTCAAAAATGAATTCCATCTGCCAGGGTCATTGGAAGGCAACTAGGCAAAAAAGGGGGGTCCTTTCTCCAGAAGGAGCTTCCAATCCTAAGAATGGATTTGCCTTTCGGGTTGCATGTTAATCGTGGAGACGTGTCAGATGCCTGTGACCCCATTGGGGTGGTCGACGGACAAGGAATCCAATGATTTGGAGGGGTCCAACTGGTGTTGAGAATCGATGAGTCCCCAAGTGTTCTTCCAAGACATGCTTCTGCCTACAGCCACCGCGAAGCGATCTACTTGCAGCAGACTTATTTCAAGAGCGCGACTCTGTGTCTACCTATGGCAGGGCCATTTCCAATGCGACGATTGGCCGAAAGGCATCGCGTTCGCAGTAGCATGCACCGACATCGCGGAGTTTTCTCTTGCTGGTGCTCAGTGGGCAATGAGAACTGGAATCCTGAAATGACCCCAAGAAAAACCATCCTTTATGGTTTCCTTTGTTCGGGAATCCCCAAACGGTTCATTCCATGTCTCATTCCCTGCCGCATCTCTCGCACTTATCTGGGAATCCCGAAACGGTTCATTCCCTCATTCCCTGCCACATCTCTCGCATGCTCTCGCAAGTTTTCTCGCAGAGGTACACGGGTATCCTCACCATCGACTGCGCATTGGGCGCCGTGTCTCTGGGGGAGACGACTTGTGAGGCAGACTGGAGAGCCCACTTACTTGATTTGACCGCCAGACGAGTACCTCGATAGCCAAGTTGCTGCGTTGTTCAGTCACCGTTGCTGGTTTTTGGGGTAAAGTGGATGGAAAAGTTTTGTCCTTTGTTTCCACTTAGGGTTGCATTTTGGTACCGTTTTTTTTTGAGCCACAGCCACATGGGTTGCTTTCCATTGATTTCCCCACCTCTTCTCCAGGACCTTTCCGATGGGCGTTGGATTGGGCCCCCCAAAATTGCCAAGAGGAGAAGCGCTAAAAATCCATTTGATGGGTGTCAGATTGCCTCCAAAATAGGCCAAAGGCCATTTGCCGTCCAGAACCCCCCAATTGATAACAGGAGGCCGCGAAAAAACCATTTGATGGCCGTGGGGCCGTGGGGGGGGGTGGCTGACTCGGTCGCTTTCCGAACGTTTCCTGCGGCTTTGGCCAGGTCAAGCCCTGCGAGCCTTGGGACTTTGTGGCTGCGACCCTGCACGATGCGACTCGGCTTGCTTTCGACGTCTCGAGCGAGCGGCGAGCGCTGAGTTCTTCTTGTTCTTTTGGCGTTGGACAGCTGATCAAAACATGTGGGTCCCAGTCACCTTTTCGCCAGCTCGTTTAGAGGATCTCGAGAACACGCAGGTGAATTTTGGCGGCGTTGGATTTGTGGGGTTCGCCATCAACCTTTGAAGGGGAAATCAAGTGACGCCTCTGACCGGACAAAAGACCCATGCATGTCCAGCCCCAGTGAGTGCCAGAGGTTTGCCTATTCTGAGATACAGCACAGACATGCGCATTCATGGCTGTTACATTCCCCAGGAGTTTGGTGCAAACCTTGAGTTCACACTTACGTACGCTTGCCTTGAGGCAGCTGTTGCGATTCCAACGCCCGGGATATTCTGGCCTCTGAGCATGTGTCTAAAACTACACAGGGCTCCTTAAAAGATACAATTTTGCAACCATTTGACGCATGTGGCTTTTTCCGCACCAAAATTTCCACTGGTTTCCCACCATTAGGCGTTCATTGGACCCACAAAAAGTGAGACACTTTTGCAGAGGGTCGTTGCCATGTCCTTTCTAAGTTAGTTTGAGAAGAGAAATAGCTGGCACTGGTTTAGGTAGGTTTTGTTCCATTCACCAGTGCCATCGATTTGTCCAAAAAGCACACATATGGGTGTGGCTCAAAATTACACAGGAGGGGTTACGCAGGTTTTGGTCCACGTTCCACTTACCAGGGTTTTAGTTTGGTACCGTTTTTTGAGCCACAGCCACATGGTCGTTACAGCAACCCAAAGGGGCAGCCGCTGCCTCGGTCCTCCCGCGACACGTGACGAAGCTTCGTACACCGAGACCTCCGGGCTGCTGTCCCCTCGGGAGCAGATCCTCAGCGGCTCTTCAGGTCGGAAAAACCCGAGTTGATCCGCGCGACCACCGGGGTTTGGCTAAAAATAGATGGGTTTCACTGGCTTAGATGGGGTTTATGCCCCATTGACCAGGGCCATCTGTTTTGCCAAAAGGCCACCTATGAGGGTGACCGGAAATGAAGACTCCTCTTTGTTGGTCAGTAGATCCTTTTTGGGGGTTGGGACATTGGGAGCTACAGGGAAACCAAAGAGGACACCGATGTTCCATGTTTGGGGCCTTATAAGACACGAAATGCGGGTTGGTAGGACCGGTAGGAGAGACCAAATGGGTCTACCCAGAAGATCCTTCGATCAGAGCCCTTCGATCGGAACCGGGGTGGTGGGCCCCCAGGGCAAGGATTTTGGTGTGTGTGCTTTTTGAGGGTACCCTTTTCAGCATGAAAATGTTCTTTTAAGGGCCGTTGACACATACCCAGTTCTCAAAAGATTGGATTAGACTTTATGGTTGGTATGGGAATGGTTCGGGGTTGATTCCGGGACGGTTTCTGCTTTGTTTGGACACGGGCTTTGTTTGCGAATGGTTTGGGATTGCTTTCGCTTTGGTTGCTTCGATTGCTTGGCCTGCTGGTTTGCTTCCGTTTCAATCAGCTTTGGTTCCTTTCTAAAAGTTTCAATCAGAGTTAGCCAAACCTTTTCTTTGTTGCATGTAGCTTGGATGTTAGGACTTTACCTTTTTGCCAACTAATGGGTTTTCCATTAAACCACCCAAAGTCAGTCACTTTTAGCAGGGGAGCAGATTTCGCAACCGAGTTTTGAATCGCCCAAATGTTGGCAGACTGCCATGTAGGTGTGGGCGAGTGTGGCAACGTGAACATCGAGTACAGTGGAGACTTCGAGTCTGGCACCTAATCGGATCGGATCGGCAGGCGTGGCGTGTTTCAGGAGAGGCGAGGGGAAGGCAACCCAATAGATCTGAATACTTTGAGGCACCAGTTGGCTTGGATGAGGAATGCGTGTCGTCTGTGCACCTGGAATTCGGTTCGTCTGTGCACCTGGAAATCGGTTCGTTTGTGCACCTGATTTGGCTCGCAAGCGCATGTCTGCGTAGGGAGCAGCAGCCTCTTCCCTCCATCATTGGGCTCAAAACAACATGTGACAACATGTCACATGTTACATATTGCATGAAGAACAGCTATCCATGTCGCCGACCAGCTTCGTCTGCGCGCAAGCTGGTGCTGAAGCGACCGGCCTAGTCCAAGCCGCTGATGAAAAACCTAAAACCTAAGACCTAAAGTGATGTAAGCCAAACCCAAAAGCCTAAACCCCAACCAAGAAACTTAAAACCTAAAACCTAAAGTGATGTAAGCCAAACCGTAAAGCCTGGGGAAACAGGGCAGTCAGGTGCGCGGATGAACGGAATTCAGGGTGCCAGAACCCCAACACCTACAGTGATGCGAGCCAAACACCAAAGCATAAATCCTAAAGCGACGCGATCCGTCTGTCGGAAAGGTGCACAGCGCTGGGGGAACGGGGCAGTCAGGTGCGCGGATGAACGGAATTCTAGGTGCGCAGATGACCCTCATTGCTAGGTGCGCAGATGAACTGATTTTCAGGTGCGCAGATGAACCCAGTCCCCCATGCACCAGTTGGCTTGGATGAAACCCAGTACTGGGATAAACTACTTGACAGATGCAGGATTTAGTCCATATGCCATCCCGAGTACTGCGCGTGACACGTGCTTTGCTTGATAGCCTGAGCAGTGCTTTGAGCCGCAGCAATTCTTCCTGTCTTGATGGGGACAGCGCTGAAAGCAGGGCAGTTCCGTGAATGGCTGCTTCGAGACGAGACTGCTGGAAAGGTGGTCTTGCCTTGAGAGCAGCAAGCACCATATCAATAGGCTTGATGGTTGAGAAGGATGGCATGATAGTCATGACCATCATCATGATGATGGTGGTGATGATGACGATGATGTTTATGATGGCTATGATGGCTGGTTGTGCTGCTGGAACAGCTGCCAATGCGGCTGCTGCTGCCGCCGAGGATAAGTTGCGGCTGAGAACTGTGGACACTGAATCCTTAGCAGCTGGTGATGCTGATGGTGCTGGTGCTGCTGTTGGTGCTGTTGGTGCTCGTGGTGTGGTTTCTGCTGTTGGACCATCTGGTTGCCAACAGCAGCAGCAACAACGAATCAACACCAACAAAGTTAAGGGGCTATGCTTTCCAGGCTAACATGGAAGCTCCCAGGACCCTTTTGGAAGACTTGGCTGTGAATCAAAACCAATGGTACCAATTTTGCGGTTGGTGCACCACCCATTTTAGAACCTATTTTGGTGGTTGGATTGAGATGTTCACTGGGGGTACGATTTGGATTGTGACCCATGGCCACTTGGTTCCATTTACAGAAGGCTGTTGGGAGCTTCCACGATAGTCTGCGGGAGATGTAGCCCTTACGCCGATGGAATTCCTGCTCAGGATGAGCTGCGACTTGGGCGTTTTGGCAGCCGGGCGCTCGGCGCGTTTCTTCGCGGGAACCCGGGGTGTGACCCCTTTTTAGTTGGGTTTAAAAGGGAAACCAAAAGAAAACCGATCTTCTTGGAGGTGCCCCAATTTTGAGAGAACCCCTGATTTAAACAGACGTTCTTTTGGTGGTTCCTTGTCAATCTACAGGGGAGCATGGTGGGGAACAGCCTCAAGAAAGACTGGGGGGCATATTTACGATTTGAAGGAAGTCCACCCCCCCATAGGTATCCAGTCTATCGCGCGGATCGGCTTAACGTTCCGATTCAATCTGTGCCCGAGAGAGATTCGAATTTGGAGGCAGGGGTCTGGCGAATGCGGAGAGTGTTTTTTTTGTTCCAAGAGAG